TTCTTAAGTTTAATGAATGTTGGTAATAGGCTTGTTATTCATTAAATGTGTTTTTAACCAACTGCTGAATGTGCTTTAACTTGTAGGGTAATGAAGCTATAGGCTTTTTAACCAACTGTTGAATGTGTTTTAACTTGTAGGGTAATGAAGCTATAGGCTTTTTAACCAACTGTTGAATGTGTTTTAACTTGTCCTGTCATAAAGTGTGTTTAAGTTGTAAGCAGAGACATATAGTCTCCATGTCTGGTTACTTATTGTAGTGTTATCAGAGGACACATTTAAACAATTGGAGTTATCATTGTTGTCTAAGATATTTCTGTTTTTACCATAGCTTTACTGTTAATGACAGGTCAATTGGCCATTAACCTTCAAACAAATTTCCCTGATCTATAAGTGACATCACTATTTTTGGTCAATCTTGATAGTTAGCCAGTCAACAAATGATCAAATCCACTTTATCACTCTGATTAGAACTGTATCATACAGTGTAGATATTTCAGAGAATAACCTACAGGTATACACTCGATCAAGTCACTGACAGGGCAGTGACCATATCATAATAATATACATTGGTACCCTGTTAAACTGTTCTGGTCAGTGACAAGGTCATCACTGTGTACATTGGTGCCTAATTTTACTGTCAACATCAGAGACAGGATATAGTCACAGTAGTGCTAAGTTAACCTGTCATTGTCAGTGACAGGATATAGTCACAGTAGTGCCCAATCCTACTGTCATTGTCAGTGACAGGATGTAGTCACAGTAATGCCCAATCCTACTGTCATTGTCAGTGACAGGATGTAGTCACAGTAGTGCCCAGTTAAACTGTCATTGTCAGTGACAGGATATAGTCACATTAGTGCTTAGTTATACTGTCAATATCAGTGACAGGATAAAGTCACAGTAGTGCTAAGTTAACCTGTCATTGTCAGTGACAGGATATAGTCACAGTAGTGCCCTGTTATACTGTCATCGTCAGTGACAGGATATAGTCACAGTAGTGCCCTGTTATACTGTCATCGTCAGAGACAGGATAAAGTCAAAGTAGTGCTTAGTTATACTGTCATTGTCAGTGTCAGGATATAGTCACAGTAGTGCCCAATCCTACTGTCATTGTCAGTGACAGGATGTAGTCACAGTAGTGCCCAGTTAAACTGTCATTGTCAGTGACAGGATATAGTCACATTAGTGCTTAGTTATACTGTCATTATCAGTGACAGGATATAGTCACAGTAGTGCCCAATCCTACTGTCATTGTCAGTGACAGGATATAGTCACAGTAATGCCCAGTTATACTGTCATCGTCAGAGACAGGATAAAGTCACAGTAGTGCTAAGTTAACCTGTCATTGTCAGTGACAGGATATAATCACAGTAGTGCCCAATCCTACTGTCATTGTCAGTGGCAGGAAAAAGTCATAGTAGTGCCCATTGATAATGTCATTGTCAGTGACAGGATATAGTCACAGTAGTGCCCAATCCTACTGTCGTTGTCAGTGACAGGATTAAGTCACAGTAGTGCCCAATCCTACTGTCATTGTCAGTGACAGGATGTAGTCACAGTAGTGCCCAATCCTACTGTCATTATCAGTGGCAAGAAAAAGTCATAGTAGTGGCCATTGATAATGTCATTTTCAGAGAAAGGATATAGTCACAGTAGTGCCCTGTTATACTGTCATCGTCAGAGACAGGATAAAGTCAAAGTAGTGCTTAGTTATACTGTCATTGTCAGTGTCAGGATATAGTCACAGTAGTGCCCAATCCTACTGTCATTGTCAGTGACAGGATGTAGTCACAGTAGTGCCCAGTTAAACTGTCATTGTCAGTGACAGGATATAGTCAAAGTAGTGGTCAGTTATACTGTCATTGTCAGTGACAGGATATAGTCACAGTAGTACTTAGTTAACCTGTCATTGTCAGTGGCAGGATATAGTCACAGTAGTGCTTAGTTATACTGTAATTATTAGAGACAGGATGTAGTCACAGTAGTGCTTAGTTATACTGTAATTATCAGTGACAGGATATAGTCACAGTAATGCCCAATCCTACTGTCATTATCAGTGACAGGATATAGTCACAGTAGTGCTCAATCCTACTGTCATTGTCAGTGACAGGATATAGTCACAGTAATGCCCAATCCTACTGTCATTGTCAGTGACAGGATATAGTCACAGTAATGCCCAATCCTACTGTCATTGTCAGTGACAGGATATAGTCACAGTAGTACTTAGTTTACCTGTCATTGTCAGTGACAGGATATAGTCACAGGATATAGTCACAGTAGTGCCCAATCCTACTGTCATTGTCAGAGACAGGATATAGTCACAGTAGTGCCCAGTTATACTGTCATTATCAGTGACAGGATATAGTCACAGTAGTGCTTAGTTAACCTGTCATTGTCAGTGACATGATATAGTCGCAATAGGATCTGTTATATTATCATTGTTAAAGACAGATTTGATTTAGGACTTATAATATTTGTGAAGCACAGATACAAAGCTTTCTCCATGGTCACATGTTATATGCATTGCTTTCATAAGATGAGATGTTGGAGGTGTTGTCAGAGAGAATCTTTTCAGTGATAGAATATTTCCAACAGTGTAACATTTTTCCAGAGATACTCTGAAGTGTTGTAAGATAATTTGAATATGATTTACAACTCTGACCAAAGTTGTAGGATAAATCAGTTTTATATTTGAAAACGATTCGCAAATGTTAATATAATTGCAGAGTTTTGTATGAAAAAGAAAAAGGTTTTGAGCAAAATTTTGTCAGTATATGGGGTTTGAAATAGTATGGGGAAAAGGACAGTATTTCAGGGGCCTACATATACTGTTTTATGCAAAGTATATGTCAAGGCAGAACATGTCAAAATATTTACACAGAAAAATAAATTGCCAACTTGTAATAGAAAAGTTTTTCATTGTTGCCCCCAGAGGAAGTTTGATGGTTCACTAACATGCATCCACTATTGATTTTAACAACTTTGTGCTTTATGAAGTTTAAGAATGACATTTTCTTTGGAAACAAGGGATTTCAAACTTTATAAATTGGCGATGTATCAATTAAAATTTTGTGAAGGATTTGATATCTATTCTGTAATTGCATGTGTATGTTCTGTAGGAGGCTGTTATGTTATAGCTTTATATCTAGGTTTCCATCACACTATAAAACAGTCAAGGTTTGCTAACCTGAAAAACTACACTCCGGCAACAGCCTTTTGTTTCAGCCTATCTGATATCATCATTACAATGATAGGAGTAACTAACTCTATAGATATTGCATATTTGAATATCGTTAACTCAATAAACCAGTGCATGTCAAATGTTTTAATCATTCCAATAGAGAGTTAATATTTTAAGTTTTTATTTAAATAAAAAGATTAAAACAGGAATTTCAAATACACTGTATTTAAGTATGCCAAGTATAGGCTATAAAGTTTGTGGGAAGCGTTCATTGGTTACACTACAGCAATGTGATCGATTAGTTTTATTGATATAATAGTTGTCAGTGGAAACTGTAAAAAAATATAAACTTGTATGTAAAACTATATATATAAAGATCCAGCAATGTCTGGTAATAAGCCCTTGTCAGGTAATAAGTCCATGTCTGATAATAAGCCCATATTTGGTGATAAATCCTTGTCTGGTAATATGTCCATGTCTGGTAATTAGCCCAAGTCTGGTAATAAGCCCATGGCTGATAAGTCTGTGCCTTATAATAAACCCATTTTGATAATAAGCCCATGTTAACAATTGCTATTTCATTGTCCTGCAACATACCTCTTAAGTCCATATAGGCAATGCAATTACATAGAACTCCACCAAGGTGATATATGTTTTTTTTTTTTACCACTGAGTCATATTTCCTTTAGAGTACATGTGTGTTATTTCCATTCCTTAAAATTCTAAAGGTTAAAGTGTGAAAGGAACTCATCAGTTTCAATATCTGAACAAAATAAACCTGACATTTACTTCAGACCACCTATTTTCTTTGTTTGATCGTAGGATGCCACATTCAGAGTGATAAGTTAGAATTTCATTACTCTCTGTGAAATTATTTCATTAAGATATATCACAATACACTGTACACATAAGAGATACTTTACCAAACAGTAACGATAGTCACATATCTATATCTTTATTTGAAGTTTGGATTAAAGATTCTCAAAACTTGGCATTGTTGCTCATTCTACTAGTACATCATTGATATGAGTTGATTTAAGTTCATTTAGAAAATGATTTTCCTTCAGCTTACATAATTTAATCAGTCTGACAGCTGACATTAAACCAGAAATACATCACTCACTCCACCTTTTTGTTGTAGCCATGTATTTATGTTATTCAATTTGCGAATGTCACATTTTAATTTACTTCAATTGTATACCTGATATTGTGCTGTGAATTTCCTTTAATGGAATAATTAATTTGATGCAAGTGTTGTGAGTTAATGCCAGATCTAAGAGGATTAGTTACACAATACCACTGTGACACCTGTGATGTAAGACCTGCTTTAAAGTGCCTTGGATAATGTAACCATTTCTGAAATGAATTTCATTAATAAATGTTACATTTTAAAGGTTGACAGCCTTGGCCAGTATTGTTATCTATTCACTATTCAATGCTGAATCAATTGATGTTTGTCTGATCAAACTTGATGACACTTTTGAGGCTGCATCATATAGTCTAGGGTGCTCAAATCATCTTTCATACATGCTCTGTTATCCTTTGTAAACAAATACAATACACCCATCCTTGGTACGTGTTGTTAACACTGCCTCTTGATAATGACTGGATGTTCCATCCTCAGTTTTCATTTGATAGATTTAATTAGATATTTTATGTAATGGTTCTTGATTGTGCATGTCAAATTAGCACCAAACATAATAATTAAGACAACTTATCTGTATAATCAATATCTACCACCCTAACATAATGACCCACAAAGAGACCTGCTTGACAAGTACTAGCTGTATATCAAGTGTATGTGTTTATGTTACAGTTTGTGCTGCTGTTTGAGGTTTTCATCCCCCTTGTCCTGTTTGTCATCCTGATCCTCATCAGAAAAAAACAGCCAGCGGTGCCCATGCCACAAGGTAACCACCAAAATTGATCTAAATGTGTCGTTTTAATCAGTAAGATTCATATACACCTTATGTCTTGTATAACTCCTTGATCTGTAACGGATCACCGAAACTTAAATTATAAGCTACTTCTATCAAGTTGAAATAAATCAAGGGTGATCAAAATGTCCAGAATAAATTAACTGACAATATCAGGCAAGATCATTCTAAGTGATCATGAAAGTGTTTCCTATTTAAGTTATGTCTCGGACAAGAAAAGCAAACAAAAGGCAATTCCTCTGTAAGTGAGGATAGTGCAGTAATAAGTAATAATCTGACACTTCTCTCTGAATATACATGAAAAAATAGATAATAGTAAATTTATCTTAGTCTTCAGTGTTTTATTCTCACTACAAGGAATAAGAAAATACCAACATGGCAACATGATTATAATTCAAACTCAAATTCCATAAAACTAGGGCAAAATATGAACAAAAGGAAGATTTACACGAAGACTCCTGAAAAGTACAGGGAGAATAAGACCAGGTGTTCTGGTAGAGTAAGCACCTTCTGCTTCATGGGCGACAACCACCATCAGTTCAGTGGGTAAAGCACTTTCCTTTCAACAGAGCAAATGGGGCTCAAAATTCTAATCAGATGTAAGAGGTATGGAGTCACCTATCTGACTTAATAGGTTTCTCTATGTATTTTTGTTCCCTTTGACAGTAAGACTGCCTTCACACTTCTTCCTCTGTACACTTCTTGTCTTGCTTGGATATTGCTAGTGTATTTAACTCTAAATAAGTATCTTCTACTTGTTTCAGGAAACTATTTTGCAGAACCTTTACCATCTTCTGGTGTCGTACCAATTATGCAAATGTTTTGTGATGGTGGACTTTCAAAAGACAAGAATGGTTTCCGAGAGTTTCACCGTGCAAAGTATGTACCCGATGTCATGTCTTCTTTTTTTTTTCTGTAAAATTAGAGTGAACAAGTCATCTTCAGACTGAACTGTTCAAATCACCTTTCGTCTGTGATCTTGCTTTGATCTTGTCCCTTTGACGTTCTCCATCTGTCTTTGTACAATTTTTGTTATCGCTATTTCTTGAAAAGCACAACTTGTATTTTTTCTGAATTCATATGTAGGTCCCTTTTGGTGCTAATTTTTTTATGTTTAATTTTACGATTGATGGAAAATGCAAAATTGCCAATCAGCCATCAAATTCTTCTATCATTATCATTATTCAAGAATCTTTTTAAATGTCTGGATGTGCTGAAGTTACAAGGAAAAGATATAATTTTCAGGTACAGGTATTTCCAAGGTCATATAGGTCGCATTTATTGAAATACTCAACAGAATTCTAATGATGTATCAAAAACATCCAAAGGTTTGAACTCTTTGGAGTTTCAAGTGTTTTACTGACATAAAATGTTACAAAGTTTGGAAACGAAAATGACCTTTATCCATATTAAACGTCATTGGGTTAAGATTAGTTCTAACACTCAAATGAATGTTAATGTTGTAAAAGAGTCGTGACATTTATCCTGAAGCTTCCTTGTAAATCTGCTAACTTTACTTGATTCAAGTCACAATAAATTCCCAGGATGAAACATTGTTGCTCAGACTTTGAAATCATACGACTAAAACAGTAAAAACTTTTTTCTATACGGTGAACAAATTAATGGTTTTCCTGGAGTGTCTGTCAGAGTAGATGGTAACAACTGACTCTGTGTGGTGAATTTAGAGATGTGTTTGACCATCCCCACAATGACAGCTCCATGATAATGTTTTCTTTGTCAGAGACCAACAGTGTGTTTGTCGTGGTGACAGACAGATTCCATTGATATCAGCAATGTGTCTGACCTTCTTCATAATTTCACCATTCCTGTCTAACAGAGTTAATGTGTCACTGTAATGGCTGGTCCACACCTGACCATCAGTAGAAGGGTATATAGAAGATATATTACTTGGAGATTTGAACTCCTCTATCACCTTTGTCTCTGACAGTAGACTGTTGATCATCATTGCTTTCTTACCTTCTGACCAATGTTCATTTGTTGAGGGTTGTCTCTGATCATCTGATGCATCTATCAACCTGACTGTTCTGTTACTCTTGACCTGTGATGAGAAAATTACCTTTGTGAAAAGCAGAAATGCTTTTTGAACATATTAGTTCTTGACATTTTCTGCAAAAAAATTCTGGTTAACATCTCAGGTGATCCGTACAAGAACCTTCAGTTTGAAAAAGCATATCTCTTTGTTTCACCAAGGCCATGTGTCGTTACAATAGAACTGTCTTGCTGTTAAATCAATTTGCTTGTGTTATATTAAATAATGAAATGTTTTCTTCACTGCTTCACTTATAGTTGTACATGTTCATTAAATAATTGGTAATGTAAAACACAGTAGAATAACTATGTGTTACTCGTTGATGTCACATGTTTACTGGGTTGGTAAAACAAAGTTATCCAATTCCAACTTCAGAATGATAGATTTCATTAATCATAAATTTCCAAAGTCTTGGAATTTACATCTAAATGGACTTTCTTCTTATTCTGTTGATATGTCTGTTGCTTCCTGGCTTACAATTTCAGTGTTTCATTAAACAGGAGTCGAATCAGAATGAGAAATTCCTAGTGATAGGTTACTGATTTAGAAATAAAAATATGGTATATACATGGAAGGAATGTGACGATGTATTTACATAGATCTGCAGCTGTGGTAGCCCTATTACTTCCTAAATGTTGTGTGAAGTTACCGACAGAACAAGACCTGTAATAAAGAGATAAACCATGGAGTACTTTCATGAAGGTTGTATCACAAATCATGGTGTTTACGTATGCTAGTCAGGTTTGCACTAGATGACCTTGTGATAAACCACTTTAAAAAAAAAAAAACAGTGTAACTTTTAGCCTAATCTCAAACAGTGGAGTAGCCACTCATTCAAATTATAATCTGATCATATCAGCCCACCACCATCTGATAAAAGGCTGTTTACAATGCCCACTGTCTCTAGTTGTCCAGCCTTAAACAAACATGGCCTCTAGTTGTCGTAAAATTATTGTAGACAGGCAGACATGTTGAATTTGGACAACCAAGTTATGTTATTGCAATTTCTCAGAAAGTATTAGAAAGATTTTTCTCTGTAAACTTTGTTTTGCACCTTAACTGAAAAAAAAAAAATGAAAACAAGAACAATGGTCATATTAAAGTATGACACTTTTTGTTGGCTATTTTTTTCTGAAAGAAAAATGCATGGCTGATAGTTTTGGGTAATTATACTCATCATTTTCAGTTACAGGTAAATATACCCATGGTTCCTAGTTAGAGGTAAATATACCCCTGGTTCCAAGTTAGAGGGTTATATATCCCTGGTTCCTAGTTAGAGGTAATTATACTCCTGGTTCCTAGTTAGAGGTAATTATACCCCTGGTTCCTAGTTAGAGGGTTATATATCCCTGGTTCCTAGTTAGAGGTAATTATACTCCTGGTTCCTAGTTAGAGGTAATTATACCACTGGTTCCTAGTTAGAGGTAAATATATCCCTGGTTCCTAGTTGGAGGAGAATGTGTGAAGTTTTTGAAATAAATAAAAGAGCAATCAATATTTTATCAAACATGTAACCAACATTTAACAAATGATGATATAAATTATATACAGTATGTAATTTCTGAGTATAGAATAGAATAAAATGACACCAAGTTCTACACTCCTTGTCAACAACAGGTCGAGGCAGACAGAAAGTAAGAGAGAAAAAGGTAATGGAATATGAGTTAGGGAAAATACTTGATACTGGAGAGAGAAAATAATGAATTAGGTTAACAGATGATTTACTGAAATATGAAATAGATTTGTTGCTTATTTATAATTAATGAGGTCTTTAAAATCTTCTGAAGAATTACTAAATCTGTAAGACATTTTGAAATAATGTGATGAAATAAGTCTTAAGTTCAGACTTTGCTGAAGGTGCTCATTTGCTGTCTCTGGAACTGATTCTGAAGAGCAGAGCCCAGACTTCTGTAAAACCTGTCTACATCTGTAATTGATTTTTCGTGTACCACATAAATGATGAAATTTATTGCGTATTTATCCACTGTCTGTTTTGACAGGAATATAGATATAGTAGTTGGAGTATCAGAGATTACTATTCAATCTTTATTTTTTATTTCATAAGGAAAAAAAACCCAAGCTTTTCAAAAGTTTACCATGATGTCACTTATATATGAAGATTGATAGAACCCAAAGGAAATATTCTTACTATAAAATTGTGCAGATACAGATACTGTCAGTTTTCAAAAGATTGTCTCAAAAAGGATTATGTATGTCATGCAAGCATTGACAGGAAGGTCTTACAGGACAAGGGAGAGTGATCAAATTGTTTGTTTGCTGGGTAACAACCTTCAAACAGCCAGAATCATTTTAAGGCAGTGCTTCTTTGTACTAGTTGATGGCAACCTCACTGAAAAGCATATAAAATGCCCATCACATGCCATCTACAGCAATTGGGGTGTCTCACACAAGAACATAACCACATCAGCACAGACTGGTGTGTTTTTAAGTTTCCTGAGCAGTATAGACTGATATGGGTAGAGAGTTTGGAACCTTACACCTCAGACCTTCACCTGATACTAAAGTTTTAACCAATTGAGCTATTGTGTCTCCACAAGGAGATCAAATAGATATAGTTATACAATATATACACATGCAATATAATTCTATCAGTCATAGTTTCATGTTCTTAATGCATCACAAAAATAGCAAATTGAATATAAGTAAACATATTCTGCTGCAAGACCAGAGTCAGGAGATAGGCTTATTACAGGACATTCAAATATCATTTGTTTATAATTTTCCAAAACTGCAAAATGTATGGATGGGCTTTTTAACTGGCTGCAGTTTGTTGCTGGATAATACACATTGTTGTACAATAGGAAGGTTCCTCAGCTTAATTTACTCATGTAATAAAGAAGGTTTCTACAGTTGCTAATAATACATATCATGATTCTGACGTACAGAATGAAATACACAATTGGCAACTCTTACATGTGAAGGACTTGTTTTTGTCTTAGTGAAAAATTAATGATTTAAAGTTAAGCTACATCAATGGTAGGCTAAATGAACTCATTGCAGCCATCAGGCTACTCTGAATTATTCATCAGTCACAGTTGAAGATCTTCTGCCAACATTTGTAGCAAATTAATTTGAAAATACCAGAACTTGACAAAAAAAAAAAAAAATTCAGAAGGCCTTGCTGTTTAGAAAGTAATACAAGTCTTTGAAGCGATGGTAAGTGAGTTTGCATACCTATGACCTGATGTTAAACTGTATGAGAGTTGAGTCTTCCTGTTAATTGGTAATTACTGGCTACTAGCCTGTAATATAAGTGTTGAGTATCAATGTTAATGACCAGATTTTGACTTGTTAGTGTCTAGTCTTACTGTTAATGACCTAATATTGAACTGCAATTGTCTAGTTTTACTATTAACGACCTCTAAGTGTCTAGTCTTACTGTTAATGACCTGATAGTGTCTAGTCTTACTGTTAATGATCTAGTAGTGTCTTGTATTGCTGTTAATTACCTAATATTGACCTGTGAGTGTCTAGTCATTTTAAAGACCTAAAATTGACCTGTTAGTATCTTGTCTTGCTGTTAATGATCTGGTAGTGTCTAGTTTTACTGTTAATGACCTGATAGTGTCTAGTCTTCCCGTAAATGATTTAATTTTTGGCCTGTTAGTGTCATGTCTTACTGTTAATGACTTGATACTAACCTGTTAGTGTCTAGTCTTACTGTTAAACATTCTGTTAGTGCCTAGTCTTACAGTAAATGACTTGATATTAACCTGTTAGTGTACCTCTTACTGTTAATGACCTGTTAGTGTTTTTCTCTTACTGTTAAATGACCTGATATTGACCTGTGAGTGTCTTGTCTAACTGTTATTGACCTAATAATAATCTGAGTTACTGTTCCTACTGTTAAAGACCTAATAATGACCAGTGAAGTGTCAATATTTCAAACTCTTTGTATGACCATAGGATTGTTCTATTCCTTGAATGACCGTTCAGACCCCAGATTCAAGTGTTCTGTGCACTGTTTAGACCTGATGTACTGCTGTTGGCAGTGACAAGTGATGTAGCATGTGTACACACCACAGAACATCCATGTTGTACATGTTTGATAGGATTTCTTACTGTCTGATCTAGCTGTAATTTCTGTCACTGAGGTCCAGATGGTCAGGATAGACAAGCTTTGGAGGAAACATTGTGTGTGGTACATTGATTGTAGGCTAGGACATGTAGAGATTACATTTAGTCCATGAGGTCTGTCACTGAAATTACAGCTGATTTGAATTAAAATATCACAGAAAGAATAAGTGTGTCCTGTTCATGTAGTTTTATACAAATACCAATTAATTGTCCAACAATATATTCAGTGCATTGTTATTTGCATTGATAACTGAATATTGTTAACATTTGTAGCTGCGTTTTTAACTACAGCTTTGACATGAATTATGTGGAGTATGGAGCTTTCCTGTTTTTTTTTTAAATAAAGTACATGCTGGTTGAATCATCATGGGTCAGTGATCAGAAACTTCGTTCAAATGAATATGTAATTATTCCGCCTAATTTTCTGGAAATCATTATATCACTGAGGTTATGAACAGGCCATTTAGCTGTCTATTTGTCTGGCTGTGAATATATCTGAATGTTTACTCCCGTTTCTGAAGAATAGACTTTATTTTAATTAATGCAAGATGTAACGAAGTTCCTAATTGATCGATGAAAATGATTTTTAGTAGTATAACTACTTTACAATATCTGCAAATGTATTAAACTGACATAGACATTGTGATGATAATGATCTGATCTCAAAAGTCCAAAGGTATTTGTTTCCCATTGAATGCTACTGGTTTAAAAATACAAAGGAGGTGTCTGTTGTTTCTGAAAAATTAACAACAACAACAACAACAGCCACTCCATATGGAACAGTATCATTATAAATGACATTGCAAAATATAAGGTACTAAGTTCAGCTCTCTTAAAGATTAGCCAAGATCACTTTCTGTTACAACAATCACGTTCTTGTAAAACATATCAACATGATTCATGTACTATTTCTTCTTCATTGGATTATGAACTCATGTTTCAAGGTCAGGGGATAAAGGCCAAGTTAATTTTGGGGGGTAATTACCTGGGTAAAAAAAAATCTGTTTTCATTGTGATTTTAGAGAAATCGTTCCTATTGGATATAATTAAGCTTAATATATTCATAAGAATGGATGAGAAATAATTTGGAACACAAGCAAATAACTGACATCAAAAAGTCACAAGGAAGACATTTGGAATTAAAATAGATCTATATAAGGTCAAATATGTGTTGTGAAAAGATGCTTGACTTGAGGGTGTCCTTGACCCATCCATATCTCTACCCCGTTAAACCTGCTGTTCTTGTGACTGTCTGTAACTTGATAAACTTATTATTCCTTTGGTGTTCTACCCATTCCTTGTCACGTTTGTAGGACCAGGTAATAATATATTTCCTATCAGAAAGACAGGTTGACCTTAAATCAATTGGTTACACGCGATTGTGAACCAAAGTGATTGTTTATCAGTTTATTACACTGAAAGTAGTGTTGTAGACTTGGTGTATATACATTTATACAGCCATTATACACACGTACATTTATTACCATCAGACAACCTTGAGATTACTTTGATAGGAAATGACATTGAAAATTTTGATTTGATCTTCCGATGTAAATGTGTACATAGGTTTTCATGTTTAGGTTTGGTCTTTACACAGATTTTGTAAACCCCAATTAAACTAGTCTATATTCTGATAATAGATATTAACAAGATTACTAATCCAAAGTATTCTATGACCAGTGGATATATTTGATGATATGTTCAATGAAAAAGTAAAGATGGGTGCATTTAGATTTTGACAGGACATCTCTGGGTACTATGGTGTGGCATTTCTGGCCTTCCAATATCCTGTGAAATCAACTCCTTCCACAATTTTGCATAAATTCTGTCCAGATTTAGTAAACAGTATAAGAGAAAGTGGCCCTGATCTAAACTCTTTGCAAGATTTAAATAATTGGAAAAGATAGTGAAAGTTTTCTTGTTTAAATGTTTTGTTTGATATTTCCACAGTACAACACAGTTCTTGAACCAGCTACAGTCAGTTGCTAAGAATCACCATTTCTTCAATCCCGGTTACACCCCGTCTGAGATGGATGATCTCCCTTACATCTACAAAAGTATCATTGATGACCCGGCCACACTTCATGAGCTGTTCAAACATGGCCACGGTGAGGACCAGAGTGCATCATGACCAACCATATCCCATTGAAGGCAACATAGGCAAACTATGCTAAGTCTACCCTCAAAAATATTAAAGCTTTTTTGTGTAAAAATTTGTTCATTCAAAGTAATGACAATACAATTAACAGAATGATTAGCTGGAAATTATGATTGATCTAAAGCTGCATCCTTCCAATGATGTCCTGGAAATTATGATTGATCTAAAGCTGCATCCTTCCAATGATGTCCTGGAAATTATGATTGATCTAAAGCTGCATCCTTCCGATGATGTCCTTTTTCTTTGGTTATGCAGGATTTTGTCACATAACAGAGACTGTTCATAGTATTGCTTAAAGGATTTGTCTGTTTATCTGTACAAGGTTAGAAGTTCTACATCAAAGTTCCACATCAAACTTGGTGTATTTGTACATATACTTTGAGTCAGAGGTAATGTGTTGGTCCCTGGGGTCTGTGATAAGCCCACTGCCTGACTTTGAGTCAGAGTTAATGTGTTGGTCCCTTGGGTCCTGTGATAAGCCCACTGCCTGACTTTGAGTCAGAGTTAATGTGTTGGTTCCCTGGGTCCTGTGATAAGCCCACTGCCTGACTTTGAGTCAGAGCTAATTTGTTGGTTCCCTGGATTCTGTGATAAGCCCACTGCCTGACTTTGAGTCAATGTGTTGGTTCCCTGGGTCCTTTGATAAGCTCGCTTCTTGACTTTATGTCAGAACAAATATGTTGGTCCCTTGGGTCCTGTGATAAGCCCACTGCCTGACTTTGAGTCAGAGTTAATGTGTTGGTTCCCTGGGTCCTGTGATAAGCCCACTGCCTGACTTTGAGTCAGAGCTAATTTGTTGGTTCCCTGGATCCTGTGATAAGCCCACTGCCTGACTTTGAGTCAATGTGTTGGTCCCCTGGATCCTGTGATAAGCCCACTGCCTGACTTTGAGTCAATTTGTTGGTTCCCAGGGTCCTGTGATAAGCCCGCTTCTTGACTTTACATCAGAGCTAATGCGTTGGTCCCCTTGGCTGGGTCCTGTGATAAGCCCGCTGCCTAAGTTTGAGTCAGAGGTAATGTGTTCGTTCCCTTGGGTCCTGTGATGAGCCCATTTCCTGACTGTAAGTCAGAGGTAATGTGCTGGCTCTCTGGGATTCTCTGATGAACCTAACCCTGACATGAGTCAGAGTAATCTTTAGGCCTGTTGGATTATTGGTAGTTAATCTCATTCATGCCTTCTCACAGCTTGATATAAGGGAATGTCTGATGCCAATGTATATATTGATCTATATTCTGTAAATAAATGATCCTTTGTTTTATTTGTATTGTAGATTTTAGGTTTGGTTCTGTAGTAGGGAACAGACAGACGTTTGCTCAGTACCTCCATAACAACCTGTCTCTTCCTTTGGACGATGTGTACAGCATATTAAATGCGACCGTGCATGTTTCTGAGGTATAACATGGACTGGTCCCAAAACCATTCTTTTCACAGCTATTTCCAGAAATGTACTTAATAGCTCCTCTGAAAGTTTATTTGAACAGATTCCACTTGCTTTCTATAATTGTTAATGTTTGATATTTATACCAATTAAAAACCAAGCTCTCATGCATGTTCAGTTTAGAGATCAATTAAACGAAGCAAAGCAAAATTAAAAATTAAAAAAAAAATAAGTACAGCCATTTTTTAATTTAAGTCAAAGTTTAATTGATGTTAATTTCAAGAATTTGATTTACCACTCAGTATGTAAACTTTCATTACTTGATAGTTTTCACATTTATTTGGAGACATACTGAAATATAGATACTTGGTATGGTATTATATTGTACAAATTCTAGTATAATTATCAAGATCACTTAGAACCAACGGAAGTTACCTGGTTATTGTGTTAATAGGAGTCTCTTTGATTGTAGTTAAACAAGTTATTATTTGGAGAAGATCTACAGACAGCACATACCATTTTACGGAGATTCCGCCGAGATATCCCATGGGACCATCTACAACTCCCATCACTCTTTGACCATCAAGAGTTTCAGCAAGTGCCTTTTCAGTCATTACTCAATGAGAGTAACTTACTGGAAGATGTCTTCAACTCACAAAATACAGATTCCTCTGAAACTTTATTTTACAATGTAATTCACAATGAGGGTTTGCTGACTGACCCTGTCGTACAGAAGTTTCTCACACATTACCTAGACCTGATGGATGGTAACCCAGCTTTACAGACTATCACGCCAGCAGAGACTGCACAGATTCTGAAGGTCTCAACATCAATTATTTTTAAATGGCAATTATGTGTTTCATCTTTGTTTTGTTTTTTTTACTTCATAAGAAAGTTTACGGCACTGAATACTCATGTTTTCTCTGTCTTAAGACTAATTTAAGATTGTAGACAAAATAGCAGCACTAATCATTCAAATTTATTTTACAATCAAATCATTAGAATCTTCAAACTATTACCATTCTAAGTTTAATCACAGTTAAAAGTCATTGTTGTTTCTACTCCAACTATGTATGTAATTCACCTATTATAAGGATACTGTTCAATATGGCACTACTCTCTTTAAGAACCTAGTGATATATTTCAGCTGCTTTATAACCAAAAAAAAATTTTTCTCTTTGCTTAAGTGAGTGATAATTTCCCAAAATGAAGAAAAAAATTGGATTAACTTCTCAATTTTAAAGAAAATATCATATAAATGCAATATGTTCTGATTTGTGCAGGTACATTCAGTTGTTCAGGTAGAAAAAAGCTTTGAGACTTGATCAGTGCAGTTTGATTTTGTTTTCTATTGCAGATGGTGCTCTTCTCTCCGACAGCATTACACCGGCTAGCTTGTAATGATGAATTCCTTCAAGTTATCATTCCTGAGACAAGTAGTAATGAGTCATACATCGTAAGTTTAGTTTCTTTAACCTGAGTCAAATGATGGATTGTTAGGTTAGTTCAGTTAAGTTGGTTTCCTTGTAGTAGCATGTGACTGTCTCATTAAACAACATATGGGAGGCTGAACACATGTCATCCACAGCAATTGGGGTAAAGTGTGAAACACAACCAACATGGGTTGGAAGTGTCAAACCAAGGACCTCATATCTTAATGTTAGGTTATGTGTACCAATAATAATTGTATTTAGTCTCAGATAAATATCCAAGGTGCATCCATTGATCCTTGTAGAAAGCTACAATCCAGTAAAACATGCTACTATATGGAGACTTAATGCATTATTACTTGTTTTCCCTATGACAAGGTTTCCTTTGTATTTTGATTGACAGACAAAACATTTTGAACATGGACATTTCAATACACCAAGTTGCTTTGAGTAAACTTATCTATTATCTTATATACAAATATATTTATTATGAAATATCCTGAAATTTTAACTTGGTCCCTGCAGGCTGATGCCAAGAGTCGTCTGTGTAATATGAGTAAGGAACAACTGTCAAATCTCTCTGTGCTTCTCAAAAAGGAGATCGATGACCAGGAGGTCATCAACGCTGTAAGTACTATTGTCCTACCTGTAAAACAGTGCTGGTAGCCATCTCATTATACATCTGTTATTAGAGCATTTTCTCTGAAATCATTGACTAGAATTTGAATTTTACATGTTAGTTCCTGTGGTGCCTATTAATGCTTACTGCAGTTTTGAACTGTTTTGTATCCAGTACTGCCAACATTCCATACTTAACTAAATTCAAAATTTCTGAAGAAGTTCCTGGAAAAGGTTTGCAGAATATTTTCTTAAAAGAAAGCTTCTTAGATGACCGTGAGAACCAATTTGTCTGTTAATATTTGATGTTTCAGTTACAACTTCATACAGTCAACTTGACATCTCTAGAAACTAAAGTGAAGACATTTATGAAGGAGGTAAGTTAATATTTTCAGATGGTAATGAAGGTCAAAATTGTGAACAGCTACATCAAGTGATAGATAAGAATTTTAATCTGAGGGGGAATCATATTTAGAAAACAAATCAGCGAAAAACATAAAGAAAATACCAACCTGTCAACATAATCATAATCTAAACTCAAATTCCATAAAACTAGAGCAAAATATGAACAAATGTAATATTTACATGGAGAATCATGAAAAAGTACAAGAATAAGATCAGGTGTTCCAACTGAGTAAGCATCCTGCCATGTAAACCTTGATCAATCCAAGTAAGAAATGTCAGGTTCTCAAATAAGAACAAGGTATACAACAATGGAACAAACAGGTAAACTAACAAGCATCAGTCATGTCCAGGTTCATATCACACAAAGAAATATTTCTCAATGAGATCGCTATGGCAACAATAGAACTTCCCCATAATCTTTTAAAACCCTGTGTTATAAGTTTGTCTGTCAGTTGATGACTTCTTGCATGTTGGGGATGCAGGAATATTGATATCCAGAAATGGAAAATTCACAATAGAGAAATTGAAATAATCTTGTTTATCTTACTGCTTGGTGGAAAGCTGTCCATGTTGGTTTCAGTGTAGGAAAAGATCAAGATAAGCAGCTGATGCAGAAGAGTCAATTATGTCCTTGATTTGCCATTCTGCAAGGCCTTTGTGACTCATTTTGATAAGCTCTTCAATAAATTAAGCTCATTCTTGTTTTGACAAACAGCAAAAGTAGTCTTATTGCTCTTTGAGATCTGCGATAAAAGTCAAACTGAGACAAGCAGTTGGACATATTTTATGGATATCTCAGCATTCACTGGGGTTCTGTAATAGCTGTTTATATCTGTGCACAAGTATTTCAATTATGTTTACTTAACAATTGGTCTGCTATAAAATAATTAATTTCCCTGGTTAAATTTCCTGTCATATAACTACCCACACGTGCCACATTTAAAGTTTTTACTTTTCTTTGCTGTATCTAGCTCCAGAAGTTTTACCAGTTCCAAGAGAGTCTATATGAGATGAGTGTATTTGCGGAGACCCTTCCCCAGGATGCCTGCGATGGAGTTAACCTGACCACTCCTTCCAGCCCTGTCAATGTCACAGTCACCGCAGGGTTACCTGGAAACATTACAGCAGCAACAGTAGTAGAGGATGGAGATGAGGATGATGATGATGACGCTGAAAAAAAAGATAAGGTAACAATGAAAAGAACTGCCCTTTAGGTGAAAATATAGTGTTACACATTTACTTGTACAGCTATCAAGTTATGTTTTCTAAAAACTTTTCTTCAGAAGAGTAAAATACACAACACATATCTAGAAGTTAATTGAACATTTTTATTGGGAATGGGGCCCATTTTCAGACCCAAGTAGCCTGTAAAAAAATCCCTGATATTGTGATGTATACAGTATCATATGCCTTCATCAAGATTGAACTTTGGACCTTTGTACTACCAGTTCTATACTTTACTATTGCTATTATGAAATACACTGTCAAAAGGTTGGATTAATATCATATTATGACAGTGACTGTTATTCAATCCAGTTCAACGTTTAAATATTGTCAATAAACTTTGTTGAAATGAAATTATGACAGTGAAAGTAGGTATAAGTAAAAAAAACCCTCTTTTTTTGTTAATTTTTTTATCTTTTATTTTTACATTTCCAATAGTTTATACAAAAAAAAAAAAAATCAAAATTTAGGTCTCATGAATGAATTTTTAATAAAGTATAATTATATGTTTTCAAACAAAAAGGACGACCAACTGACGAAAAAGCCACCTAACAAGTTTGCGGGATTTCTGCACCTGTGGAATAGAATGCAGAGAACGTTTTGTGGTAGACAACCAAAGGAAGTACCCAAAAAACGCATGGAGCGAGACATAAAACACCTGAATCTAGGTATGTCATTCTTGTTTTGTCATTAATATACCGTTCTAATATTGGCAGTAGCAGTTATATCACATGTTGATTGGTATAAATTTCCTGATCTTCTCTCTCCTCTGTAAAGACTGTGAAAGGCCCTGAAGAACTATACCTGTTAGCATATGAATGTTTGATATATTTATCTTTAGTTTGTTACTGGTAACTTTTGAATCTTGATGTCACTGCTAATTCCAGATGACCTTGGAATATCAAGGGCGCAACAGGACAACCTGAAAATCCTGGTCCATGTTCTGTATAGTAATCCTAAAGTGCTGTATGCCCCTAACAACACTGCAGCAGACAAGATCATCAAGAAGGTCAGTACTCCTACAGTACTTAATGGATAGGGCATGTGCCAAACTCTATAGTCATACAATGTAATTTCAAATTTCAAACATTTTGATAATGGTGTACCAGGAAGACATTTATGTCTTTAATCAGTAAATCTAAAGTGGATACATTTGCAGCATTTTCATTCAAGTCTAATGATTAGATAATAAGATTAAATAACTAAAGAATTATTGATATTTTTTGTTTTTTTTTTGTGTTTATAAATTTTTCCTTGAATGTTATCCCTTTGTGATAAATGCCTAAGAATAGGGCTGTTTGTATGTATGTAATTCTTATCCTTGTCAGCACTAGCAGTTTTAATTCATGAGGAATTTTGATCATTATTCACATTATTAAGGACTTTCATATCTTGTATGTGTTTGAATTTCAGGATTCTAGGGTCAAGGTCTTTATTACTACATGTATTTTCAGAAAATCCTTGTCAGTGCTCTAACAACGTCAGTTCTTGAAGGATTTCTAGTAAACTTCATACGCTTATAAACGTTGTTTATTATCGCAGAGAAGTTTTAGTTTCAAGGCTGTTGAGTCAAGGCCAAAGTTACTATTTAGAGATGATCTTTGCCAGGATTCCTTATAAGGATTTTGATCAAATTTACAATAACTTACCTGCTTCTTTATTGTGCTTGAGTCAGGCTGGAACAACTCCTTCTTTATTGTGCTTGAGTCAGGCTGGAACAACTCCTTCTTTATTGTGCTTGAGTTAGGTTGGAACCAGGAGGAGCTTTGTATTGTTTGTGTTGCCTTGTTGATATTTTGTTTCTCAATTAAAACTTATGTATATTTTACTAAATGAATGATTTTGTTTTATAGTTTCTCTGATCCTAGATTGTGCTGATCTATAATTTCAGGGCAGTGTTAATATTTTGTTTTTCTAAGCAGTTTTTGTATGTATTATTTACTAGCTGGTGTCAGTACATTGTGTTCCTGGAATGACGTTAGTTAGGTAACCTGCTTTATTGTACATAAGGAAATGTTATAGATGTATATATATTATTGGATGCTGATGGAATATGATTTTATTTCTTACAGGCTAATGAGTCTTTTGCCTTGATGGATGAGATCAGTACGTATGCCAGGAAATGGCTCAACATCTCTGGTGAGCTGAGGACCTACCTAATGGAGAACACCACAGCTTACAACCTAGCCTCCATTAAAGAGGTAGTGTATGTTGTAAAAATAAGGAACATATCTTGATGCAGAAATGTTTATTTTAAGAACAAAACACCAACTTTAAAAAAGAAAATAATCATGTCAGAAATTAATAAATCAATTTTAGAATATTAATAATGTATTTGTACAATTGATGGAAGTTATACACAAAGTCACATTACATTGTAGATGCATAGACAACTTAAGAACAACCAAGGCATGTTTTCCTTACTACGTGGAGTGAAGGGCGTTCAACAGTTCCTTAATAGTTCCATACCGGATATTTCATTCTTCCTTCACGAACTGGACAATATAGACAATGCAGCATGTGGCTGGCTCAATACACTTGCAGGGATTAACCTTAATGTGTTCCGAGGGTTTCGTACAGAGGAAGATCTCGTGGATTATTTCCTTACTAAGGCTTATTCTGAAAATGTCACTACTGTTGCAGGTTAGTGATATTATGTAAGAGAGAAATGAGAATAGTACAAATATGTACCATGACATTATTAACATAAATATTTAAGAAAATAAATGAAAATTGCTGCTACATTAAAAGAATAAGTAGTAGGATATCAGTGTGACTAATTTGATGACGGAAATTTTTATTTCACTCTGCTGATGAATTGTATTAATGTTAAGTTTACGCATGCCATGTATACCAACTTAATGAATTGATCTGTTGTCCACAGGGTTGATATTTGAGAACTTTCAGAAAGGTAAAGGTCTTCCTCCTCATGTCACATACAAGATTCGACAAAATGCTACCTTCACACCAACTACTAAGTACGTACGGAATCGCTACTGGTATCCAGGGCCAGGATCCTGGCAACACACCTACTACCAGTTTGGCTTTGTTTGGATACAGGTAAGTTGCCTTGATCATGTCTTCAGGTAAATGATTAATATCTATTTATGTTCTGTAAAAATGATAGAATATTGTTAGGTTTGGCTTTTTCATTGACCTTAATATATAAACTTTATTTCTTTTACAACAAATGCAAAACAAGTTATGTCAACTTATACTAATCACTCTTGTTGGCCCAAATGTAAGGGCGCGAGGGGTCTTATTGTGGGAGGAAACTGGAGTACCCAGGGGAAACCAACATGGTCGGGCAGGTGACCCCTTATCTTTTCACATCTGTTCTGGGAATCGAACCCAGGTCGGCTAGGTGAAATGCGAGTGCGTTACCACTGCGCCACCCGACCACCCTTTCATTGACCTTGAATCTTCTGGTTTCAGGACATCATTGAACGTGCCATCATTGACGTACAAGTTGGTCGAGATGTAGTGGAGCCTGGCAGTTACGTCACACAGTTTCCCCACTCCTGTTATAAATATGATGAGTGAGTTCTTAAGAGTTGTGATTATAATAGAACATGTGTGATTATAATAGAACATGTGTTCCTCTTCAGATTTGTGTTTATGATAGAACATGTGTTCCTCTTCAGATTTGTGTTTATGATAGAACATGTTCTCCTCTTCAGATTGGTGTTATGATAGAACATGTACTGGTATTTCTCTTAAGAGTTGTGATTATAATAGAACATGTGTTCCTCTTCAGATTTGTGTTTATGATAGAACATGTGTTCCTCTTCAGATTTGTGTTAATGATAGAACATGTGTTCCTCTTCAGATTTGTGTTAATGATAGAACATCAGGTTTGTGTTTATGATACATGTGTATTTCTCTTAAGAGTTGTGATTATAATAGAACATGTGTTCCTCTTCAGGTTTGTGTTTATGATAGAACATGTGTTCCTCTTCAGGTTTGTGTTTATGATAGAACATGTGTTCCTCTTCAGATTTGTGTTTATGATAGAACATGTGATGCCACTGTGTCTGACTATTTCCTGGGTCTACTCCGTTGCTATGCTGGTGCAGAACATTGTGTATGAGAAAGAACAAAGACTAAAGGAGGTAAGATTCAGATTTAATTGTTTCTTACGTGGAAGTAGTTTGTTACAGTTATATCCTAGGTATACATCAGTTTAAGTAAGGTTTTAGTTCTTGGAGTATTACAAGCCAAGTGCCTAGTGTTTAAGTAGAAATCCCTACAATTCTTTATAATGGTATACCATTCTACCTTAAACCTCAGGTTTGGTGTTTTGCTTCCTTGGCTCATTGCAGGATAAATACGATATGTAGTCATGTGATTGTTGTGTATTTGTCATTACAATAAGACTCTAATAAAGCTTAGGACTTCCCGTCCCCTATACAACTGAAAGCTAATTCAGTTTCAACATTTTTACCTTGAGGTCAGATATTTCAAGCAGATCATTTGCGTGAAGATAAGTGTGTTACGTTAATAATTTTTTTATGTTAATTTTTTTAGTGTTACGTAAATGGGTTACCTAGGTGAGGTGTTAGTGTTACATAAATGTGTTACCTAGGTGATGAGGATGATGGGTCTAAGCAACGCTGTCCATTGGTGTGCGTGGTTTACCATGACCTTCATACAGATGACCATCACTATGGGCCTACTGACTGTCATGCTCAAGGTGGGAAATGTTCTGGCCCATAGTAATCCTTGGATCGTGTTCACTACTCTGGAAGTGTTTGCTGTTGTCACCATAGCGTTTTCGTAAGTTGGTCAATTTGAAAGTTACCCAGCCAGTTTTCAGTCTGTGAGGAAATGTATTGATTGAAATAAGTATTGAGACAGGTCTTAAGTTTAAAAATGATGTTTTACAATTTTACTTTGAGAAATCTAATAATCAACTGATTTGCATGGGACATTGCACATATTTGTATGTGTTGGTAATGAAATGCTTTGTATGTAACAGGTTCTTGGTGAGCACATTCTACTCTAAAGCCAAGGTGGCAGCAGCTTGTGCTGGTATTGTGTACTTCCTCACTTATGTGCCCTACATGTATGTGGCTATCAGGGAGGATGTGGCAGGGGACCAGATCTCGGCGGTCATCAAGTCTCTCGTGGTCAGTGCATTGCCAAATCTTAGATCTACATGTAATTCTTCTTTTATGAATTATGAAGATATGAAAATTCTCAGCTAGCAAAGCAAAAAATGATTTGACTTTGGAGGAAATAACAAGACTTAACTAAACTTAATGATTTGAACCATTGACAACTAGATGTCAGCTGATCTGATAAAATAATCAGTTGTTATAATGTAAAGCTAGAAACTTCTACTCTCACTGTATTTTCAATGACTCATGCCAATTTGAATGTACTCTGTTCCAGTCTCTGTTTTCTACAACTGCTTTTGGTCTAAGTGGGAAGTACTTTGCATTCTACGAGGAGGAGGGAGTTGGAGTTCAGTGGGACAACATCCATCTGTCCCCTGTTGAAAATGATGAGTACAGCTTGCTCACATCAGTACTCATGATGATACTCGACTCATTCTTGTACTCACTTTTGGCTTGGTACATAGAGAATGTATTTCCAGGTAAGATTTAGATTTGAATACCCGATTTCCTCACTATAATTTATCGTGTACATTTGAATATATCGCATGGATGAGGTCCAATCAATAACATAATGTTTGTAACATGACTACAATGCATCTAAGTTACTAGTATCATTTATAATTGTTATCAAATCTTTAATCTATGAAGAGTTCCTTAAAGGAGGTTGAATGATCTGGTGTTTTCCAGAGTTTGTAAAGAAACTGTAGATAGAAGTGATGTTATGATGCCTGTTTAATAGCTTAGTCTAAATGGTTGATACTCCAGGATCTTACGGCCTGCCTCGACCCTGGTATTTCCTGTTTTCCAAGACCTACTGGTGTGCAGGATCTACAAAGGTGCAGGAAATGGACTGTGGCAACATTCTGGACATGTGTCGTCGTAACAATGGTTACAGCTCAATGCTAGAGGACCAGGCATGTGCACTGGACCATAGGGATGCAGGTCAGTCATATGATGTTACACTCATTTGTAATTCTCAAACAGTCTTACATATCTATACTAATAAATTGAAACAAAATTTGTTGGACATTAATAGAAATGTAATATTATCTCATCAGGACATTGAAGTAATTTGTATGAATTCTATTAAAATATACATCACTGTGATGGAGTCTTTTTAAGGGGAACCAAGTCTGATTGCTTCCTATAACCATTATCTTTGTATTGTGTTACAGAGTATGCTAGAAAGTTTGAAGCAGAACCTACACATCTTCCTCAGGGTGTACACATAGAGAACCTTACAAAGGTAAGTCATTTAGAATTTCATAGAGGCATATAGTAGATTTACTTTTTTTTTATCTAAGAATTGAAAACAAGTTCTTAGATTTGTCATAAGGTTGACAAGAGGTAATGGACAAAGCTCTTTCGTTAAAAAGTGTAAGAGGAATTATCATGATTGCAAAAGAGTTATTTCCCTTTGTTGAATATCGTACGAAAGAATTAAAAAGACATGACTCATCAATATACCACAGATTTCTGGGGCAGATGACATAATCTAGCTGTGGAATATGTGTCTGAAATAAAGAAAAATATCTTAGCTTCTACAATATATATTCTCTGTACCTCATTGCAGTAAGGCAGGAAAGTTGATAGGACAAATTCCAATCTGAACTGTCTAATATTTTTCACTTCATTGCTTTGTTTAATTCTTCATTAAATAGGGACTATCAGTGTAAGTCCCCAACTGATACATATAATGAAGTCATGATGGTATGATGAGGTTGTTGAACAGTAATAAATAGTTTTTTAATATTTGCTGTCCTATGATTTGTCTAAAATCCCTTTTATTTCTAGGTCTCGGTAACTAAATCAATTACTATATGTTATTACTTTGCATTTAAGCTAATAACATTAATACTTGAAGTTCAACACAAGTAACAACTGTCTAAATTCATAGAAACATGCCTGTCAGAGGCTACAAATAGCTTAATATAGTAGGTTAAATGGTATTTCTGACTATTATCATCTTCAGAAGTCAACAGCCAGAAGTTATAAGTAAAACTAAGTACTCACTGTGCGAAAAATCTCAACATTTTACACCTGTCTAAATCTGCACCACTGATACTGAAATATGTAAAATGGATCATTTTCATGAAACCATAGAAATCTATTAAAACTATTCATTTTTATGAAGCCAATTAAAAAATGCTAATTTCTTCCACCTGTCACCAATTATAAATCTAAATCCCAGAGAGGGCACAAATTTTTACCAAATCTCAATTAAGGTAAGATTCTTAGCAGATGAAACAGAATCACAATGACTGATTGACTGATTTAGTTGTGCGAGTCCTTTAGTTCTAAAGAGTTCCTAATTGTGATAACTATGTGTATTAATAATTATGAGTTGATGTGATTCTGACAAAATCTTAAATTTCTTGAACATTTACAGATTTACAAGACTGGAAAAAAACTAGCTGTAAAAAATTTGACATTAAGTTTCTATGAGGGACAGATAACATCATTTCTGGGCCACAATGGGGCAGGGAAAACAACAACTATGTGAGTTTACTATAGTATTTATATATCCTCATATCATTTGTCTGTAAAACTCTGTAAACCTCATGTCATTTGTCTGTAAATCTCATGTCATTTGTCTGTAAATCTCTGTAAACCTCATGTCATTTGTCTGTAAATCTCTGTAAACCTCATGTCATTTGTCTGTAAATCTCTGTAAACCTCATGTCATTTGTCTGTAAATCTTGTAAACCTCATGTCATTTGTCTGCAAATCACTGTAAACCTCATGTCATTTGTCTGTAAATCTCTGTAAACCTCATGTCATTTGTCTGTAAATCTCATGTCATTTGTCTGTAAATCTCTGTAAACCTCATGTCATTTGTCTGTAAAACTCTGTAAACCTCATGTCATTTGTTTGTAAATCTCATGTCATTTGTCTGTAAAACTCTGTAAACCTCATGTCATTTGTCTGTAAATCTCTGTAAACCTCATGTCATATGTCTGTAAATCTCTGTAAACCTCATGTCATATGTCTGTAAATCTCATGTCATTTGTCTGTAAACCTCATGTCATTTGTCTGTAAATCTCTGTAAACCTCATGTCATTTGTCTGTAAAACTCTGTAAACCTCATGTCATTTGTCTGTAAATCTCTGTAAACCTCATGTCATTTGTTTGTAAACCTCATGTCATTTGTCTGTAAATCTCTGTAAACCTCATGTCATATGTCTGTAAATCTCTGTAAACCTCATGTCATATGTCTGTAAATCTCATGTCATTTGTCTGTAAACCTCATGTCATTTGTCTGTAAATCTCTGTAAACCTCATGTCATTTGTCTGTAAAACTCTGTAAACCTCATGTCATTTGTCTGTAAATCTCTGTAAACCTCATGTCATTTGTCTGTAAATCTCATGTCATTTGTCTGTAAATCTCTGTAAACCTCATGTCATTTGTCTGTAAAACTCTGTAAACCTCATGTCATTTGTCTGTAAACCTCATGTCATTTTTCTGTAAATCTCATGTCATTTGTCTGTAAATCTCATGTCATTTGTCTGTAAACCTCATGTCATTTGTCTGTAAATCTCTGTAAACCTCATGTCATTTGTCTGTAAATCTCATGTCATTTGTCTGTAAATCTCTGTAAACCTCATGTCATTTGTCTGTAAACCTCATGTCATTTGTCTGTAAATCTCTGTAAACCTCATGTCATTTGTCTGTAAAACTCTGTAAACCTCATGTCATTTGTCTGTAAATCTCTGTAAACCTCATGTCATTTGTCTGTAAATCTCTGTAAACCTCATGTCATATGTCTGTAAATCTCTGTAAACCTCATGTCATTTGTCTGTAAATCTCTGTAAACCTCATGTCATATGTCTGTAAATCTCATGTCATTTGTCTGTAAACCTCATGTCATTTGTCTGTAAATCTCTGTAAACCTCATGTCATTTGTCTGTAAATCTCTGTAAACCTCATGTCATTTGTCTGTAAATCTCTGTAAACCTCATGTCATATGTCTGTAAATCTCTGTAAACCTCATGTCATATGTCTGTAAATCTCATGTCATTTGTCTGTAAACCTCATGTCATTTGTCTGTAAATCTCTGTAAACCTCATGTCATTTGTCTGTAAATCTCTGTAAACCTCATGTCATTTGTCTGTAAAACTGTAAACCTCATGTCATATGTCTGTAAATCTCTGTAAACCTCATGTCATATGTCTGTAAATCTCATGTCATTTGTCTGTAAATCTCATGTCATTTGTCTGTAAATCTGTGTAAACTTTATGTTATTTGTCTGTAAATCTCTGTAAACATATGGCATTTGTCTGTAAATCTTATGTCATTTGTCTGTAAATCTCTGTAAACCTCATGTTATTTTCTTGTGTTGCTGGTAGGCTCTGAAACATCCTTGTTGTGTAAGCTTTTCTGAATTCAAAATATGAAGATTTACTTTTGTCTCTGAAGGTCGATTCTGACAGGGCTGTTTCCTCCCACATCTGGATATGCACTGATTTATGACAATGACATCCGTACTGACATGGATCTAATCCGACAGAGCCTGGGAATGTGTCCCCAACACAATGTCCTCTTTGACAAGTAAGGGCCACAGCATCTTTATTCCATATCTATACTTGAATTGTGTTAATCTTGTATTCATACTTGAAACTAGGCTATACACTTCACTTAGTATGGGGATATAATTCATTTAGCATTAAAAAAGTATTGAAAGCAAAGTGTTGCTAATTTGTAAATTAGGGCAATGCCAACATATTGTAGATAGTGGCTTAAGGAAATAATTCATAAGTTAGGACAATGTCAACATATTGTAGATAGTGGCTTAAGGAAATCATTTATAAGTTAGGACAATGTCAACATATTGTAGATAGTGGCTTAAGGAAATAATTTATAAGTTAGGACAATGTCAACATATTGTAGATAGTGGCTTAAGGAAATAATTTATAAATTAGGACAATGTCAACATATTGTAGAAAGTGGCTTAAGGAAATCATTTATAAGTTAGGACAATGTCAACATATTGTAGATAGTGGCTTAAGGAAATAATTTAGAAGTTAGGACAATGTCAACATATTGTAGATAGTGGCTTAAGGAAATAATTTATAAATTAGGACAATGTCAACATATTGTAGATAGTGGCTTAAGGAAATCATTTATAAGTTAGGACAATGTCAACATATTGTAGATAGTGGCTTAAGGAAATAATTTATAAGTTAGGACAATGTCAACATATTGTAGATAGTGGCTTAAGGAAATAATTTATAAGTTAGGACAATGTCAACATATTGTAGATAGTGGCTTAAGGAAATAATTTATAAATTAGGACAATGTCAACATATTGTAGATAGTGACTTAAGGAAATAATTTATAAGTTAGGACAATGCCAACATATTGTAGATAGTGGCTTAAGGAAATAATTTATAAGTTAGGACAATGTCAACATATTGTAGATAGTGGCTTAAGGAAATAATTTATAAGTTAGGACAATGTCAACATATTGTAGATAGTGGCTTAAGGAAATAATTTATAAATTAGGACAATGTCAACATATTGTAGAAAGTGGCTTAAGGAAATCATTTATATGTTAGGACAATGTCAACATATTGTAGATAGTGACTTAAGGAAATAATTTATAAGTTAGGACAATGCCAACATATTGTAGATAGTGGCTTAAGGAAATAATTTATAAGTTAGGACAATGTCAACATATTGTAGATAGTGGCTTAAGGAAATAATTTATAAGTTAGGACAATGCCAACATATTGTAGATAGTGGCTTAAGGAAATAATTTAAAGGTTAGGACAATGTCAACATATTGTAGATAGTGGCTTAAGGAAATAATTTAAAGGTTAGGACAATGTCAACATATTGTAGATAGTGGCTTAAGGAAATAATTTATAAGTTAGGACAATGCCAACATATTGTAGATAGTGGCTTAAGGAAATAATTTAAAGGTTAGGACAATGTCAACATATTGTAGATAGTGGCTTAAGGAAATAATTTAAAGGTTAGGACAATGTCAACATATTGTAGATAGTGGCTTAAGGAAATAATTTATAAGTTAGGACAATGCCAACATATTGTAGATAGTGGCTTAAGGAAATAATTTAAAGGTTAGGCCAATGTCAACATATTGTAGATAGTGGCTTAAGGAAATAATTCATAAGTTAGGACAATGTCAACATATTGTAGATAGTGGCTTAAGGAAATAATTTAAAGGTTAGGACAATGTCAACATATTGTAGATAGTGGCTTAAGGAAATAATTTATAAGTTAGGACAATGCCAACATATTGTAGATAATGGCTGAAGAAAATAGTAGATAGCTGTATAAGAATGTAAAGTACAGCAGTATGCGTTTTAAACCATCCTATTACATTTAATAAATTTCTTTCTTTGTTTAGTAATGATATCTGTTTTCTGTACAGACTGACAGTACAAGAACACCTCTGGTTCTATGCTCGACTCAAGGGTATGAAGATGGAGGACATCAAACCTGAAATGGAAACGTATGTATCACTCATCAATTTCATAATGGCAAGTGGTTTATTATTTGTGGTATTACCTTAGTGTTACTATAACATTTTCTTTGTGATGTGTCATTGAATCTTGCATTCCATACTTTATAATGATTTGTTGGTCGATGACTTCATTCCAGAAGCAATATTTTTTTATTCAGATCTGAAAAGTCATATTTATCTTATTTTTCTCAACAAAAAGTTCACATTAGTATGTAAATGGTGAAAGAGAATTCCAGAATGCATTGAAATTGAAAAAGGAATGATATCACTGAGGCATTTCTCATTGTTAATGATATGATGTGACATATCGCTGTCAACTTTGTGTAGGATGATAGAGGATATAGGCCTGCCTAAGAAACGTCACTGCCGTGTTGACTGTCTGTCTGGTGGTATGCAGAGGAAGCTGTCTGTAGGCATTGCCTTTGTGGGTGGGTCTCACACTGTCATTCTGGATGAACCAACAGCTGGTGTGGATCCTTATGCCAGGCGAGCCATCTGGGACCTTTTGGTGAAATACAAACATGGTTAGTCAAAATCTTTATAAAAATCAAATAGGGTCTGTCTTTTTAGCAGAAAAGCTTACTTTGATTTATCCTATCACATCACCCTATGACTTCATCTCAATATTGTTATCTTCATCTTTTCCAGGAAGAACAATTCTGCTGTCGACACATCACATGGACGAGGCAGACATTCTGGGTGACCGTATTGCCATCATCTCTAATGGAGAACTCAAATGTTGTGGCTCCTCCCTGTTCTTGAAAAACACGTTTGGAGAGGGGTACCATTTGAATCTTGTTAAGTCAGAAACAGAGGAAGACATCCAAAGTCTAGGTAAGTGGGGTCAAATGTTGGAGTGAACGTCAGGTAAGGAAGAGGATGGCAAATTTTTTTGTAAGTGGTCTGATTTTGTAGTGGCACGTCAGGAAGGGTAGAGAGAGGGTGAAATATAGGGGCATGTCATGTGGGTTAGTAGGGGTGAAATGTAGGGGCATGTCATGTGGGTTAGTGGGGATGAAATGTTATTGCAGCAGGTCAAGTAAGGGAGTGGGGGTCAGTTGTTGTATTGGCAGGGTAAATGGGAAAGGAAAGTATTAACATGTATTTCTGGCTTATTTGAGAAATAAAAGGGTAAAGGGGAATTAAATTTGTTGAGTGTATATACTTGTAATTGTGCATTGTTTGATGTTTGGGAGTTTGTTTTGAGATAAACACTGAATCAGTGTACTCAATATAACACAAGACCTTGTGACAATCTCTTGTCATCTTGTCTTTTGTTTCAGATTTCTCAGAGATCAGGGACAGTGATATCCATAACAATAGGAAATCTTTTGTCAGCAAATGTAAGGAGGCAAAAGTCACAGAGTTTATCAAAAAACATGTATCAACAGCATTTTTGAAGTCGGAAACCATTCGAGAGCTGCATTACATACTTCCTTTTGAGGAAGCAAAGAAAGGAAATTTTGAGAAACTTTTTAATGCCCTAGATACTAGTATTGGTCAGCTTCATGTCTCTAGTTATGGCGTCATGGATACAAATTTGGAGGAAGTTTTCCTGAAGGTCACAGAGGCAGCCTTACAGGAGGAAGATGGTAAGACTTTATGATGTAAATTGATACGTTTATTGATAAATCTTAATTCATGTTGAAGAGATATTGCAAATCCTCGCATGTTTGTAGCTAAATTTTATTCTTTATCCTTGTTCTGGAACTTCTCCTTTCTAACTCTTTTAAAAAACAAATTGGTGCCTATCAACTTCTGCAGATGAGATATTTCTGAAATATTGATAGTGTTCAATCATTGGTAGAAGAAATGATAATTTGTTGTTTAACAAATTTCTGAAATATTTTAATACCTATACTCACAGAAAATTTCACATCTGTTATGATTCTCTCACTTCAGCCAAAAATGCAAACAAAAATGATAACAGTCCAATAGACAGTGATAATCACAGTAATGAATCGGACCAGTCCGTACCAAGGACACAAGCTACTTCAGTCAGTGATATAGACCACGAGGTGGAACTGGGGAACATGGCTGATCTTAGGAGAAATGACAGCGATGAATCTCTGATTGAACATTTACAAGAGCTTGATGCAAATGGCTACTCTCAACTTCTCCAACATGATGACGGTAAATAGTAAGGATAGAGCAAAATAGTGGAAAAAGAATGTTGAGGGGAAGAGAGGGGTCAAAGGAGGATGTTATATCATGGAAGAAACTTTTCCATTTGTGTAGCATCCTTGTTTTACTGTTATTTTATTTCTTTTAAAAGACTTTTGAGTCTAGAAAGGCAGAACAGTTTCTGTCTAGGTATAGTGTAAAAGGTGCCTTGGGTATTAGAACACATACTGTAACACTTGGTCCCAAAATTTGGATATCATCCAATTTTGTTTAAAGTTGTTGTGAAGGTGTATTTAGCTGTAATAAATGCTTATGCAACATACATTTCTGGTTTCTATCATTGTAAAATGACTTCTGCTGCAAATTGTATATGGTCTGAATTTCATCATTTCATTATCTTATCTTTAAGTCTCTCAGACTAATGTCACAACCTCCTGAATGAACAGCCTGATTTTGAGTTGTCAATGTTAAGGCTATGTTGGTGGCCAGTGTTTGCCTGATTTTGATAAGTCATTGTTAAGCCTATGTTGGTGGCCAATGTTTGCCTGATTTTGAGAAGTCAATGTTAAGGCTATGTTCGTGGCCAATATTTGCCTGATTTTGAGTATAGTCATTGTTAAGCCTATGTTGGTGGCCAATGGTTGCCTGATTTTGAGTAGTCATTGTTAAGGCTATGTTCGTGGCCAATATTTGCCTGATTTTGAGTTGTCAATGTTAAGGCTATGTTGGTGGCCAGTGTTTGCCTGATTTTGGGTAGTCAATGTTAAGGCTATGTTATGTTGCGCATATCAATTTGGTTTTTCAATTCATTTTCTACATACATAGTTTCGTAATACAGTTTTGCATCCGTGATTTTGAGACCTCGCCTGGCGATGTTCAGACTGTGTTAGAAGTCTTCGTTGTACAGGACTCCTTTGCCTGGCAACAAGCTGATTTTACTCATTTTCAAATTTGTCATGTTTTATTTAATAGTTTAAACCGTCATTCTCGATCAAGCAGTGTTCAAAATTTTCATTTATACTTCTCATTCCTACAACCAGGACCACCTTTTCCTATTTCGGACTAGGACTCGCCTGCATGTAGGAATCATACTCATCTTCATTCATACATCTGGTTATCACATAAAGCAGCTGAGACAGCCCTGAATGCAAAATTTTTATATGTTTTCATGTTGTCCAATGTTATGTATATATATGTTTTGTTATGATCTTATTAGTATGGTTTTTATATTGCATGTGTTCAATTTTCTAATCGTATATCCATCGTTTGTTGTTGTTTATAAAGCAATATTTGCCGGATTTTGAGAAGTCAATGTTAAGGCTATGTTGGTGGCCAATATTTGCCTGATTTTGAGTAGTCATTGTTAAGCCTATGTTGGTGGCCAATGTTTGCCTGATTTTGAGTAGTCATTGTTAAGCCTATGTTGGTGGCCAATGTTTGCCTGATTTTGAGTAGTCATTGTTAAAGCTATGTTTGTGGCCAATATTTGCCTGATTTTGAGTAGTCATTGTTAAGGCTATGTTCGTGGCCAATATTTGCCTGATTTTGAGAAGTCATTGTTAAGGCTATGTTGGTGTACATGGTGAACACTTAAGTGACTTCTGTTTCTTGGTTGGACTTGATGGTAGCTGTGAAACAGCTTCTTGTTGGACATAGTTTATATATTTTCCTATCACAATCAATTATTTGGTATACAGGTGTATAATTAAACTTAAATCATAACCATAGCAACCCTTAAGCAATAGTTATAACTTTGTAATTAGTTTGTGGGACTTGTTAATTACATCATGCTTGATAATATTTCTTCGTTTTCAGGACCAAAACAGACTATCATTAACTGCAATGGCCAGGGGACCTTTCGCCTCAGTAAGAAATGGTTGCGTCTGAATCAGCTTAGAGCTGTCCTTATAAAACGCTTTCACTACATCACACGGAACTACAAGGGGCTATTTTCTCAGATAATACTGCCAGCTTTGTTTGTGTCAGTTGCCATGACTGTAGCCTTGTCTGCTCCAAAGGTGAAGGACCCACCACCAATAGAATTGAGTCCTTCACAATATTTCAATGTCACTCAGCCAAGAGGAAATTATATTCCTTACACAAATGAAAACCCGATGGTCACAAACTATTCTGTTTCTTTGGATGCAGGTCCTTTAGAATTGATGAGAACATTTCATTTGGCATCTGGTGTGGGTGCAACATGTGTGTTGAAATCCTCACATGGGCACACATTTGACTTTCCCAATCCCAGCAACATCACTGCCAATCAGAAACAGTTTGAGTTGCTGTACCGATATTACGAGACTCAGTGTGGGAAGGTGTTTGTGTCAGGGATTCACATACAGAGCTATGTCCCACCAGTACAGATCATGAATAACCAGGACAAGTTAGAAGACAATGACACCATTCCTTCTCCAGGTAGGAGCATCACAAGGCAACAGAACCTGTATTAAGATTAATGCACCCTGAAAACAATTATTAATTCTTGTGTAAAAAGAAGTGAATCCTCTTGTCACCATTAATTTCAATGCTTCAAAATATCGGTTGAAGTACGTCTATATTTCAGCTACATGTAGTATGCAAGAACAGGTTCTGATGATCAATACCTGTGTTATTGACTTGATGAAATTTAGACATGGTCAGATTTACCTGGTAGTTCTGATTCAGTATGTAGGTGAATTATGGCACAACAAATAATATCCCCATAACTGAAATCATATTTTGTGATATGTGTAAACTAGCTTATAACCAGTTTTGATAATATATATATCTTACTTGATCAACTTACTGACAGTTTCATACATGTATTTGCATTATAGAAAGCCCATCAGAGGAGATTAAATACTACCCCACCTGTCACTGTGCCCGAGATAAATCTGGTTTTGTGTGCCCAGGATCCAGTACATTTTCACAGCCACCAGAGTTCCAGGTTGTGACCAGGGACAAAGTACAGAACATCACAGGGTCTAACACTGAGAAATTCCTTCTGTATACCCAGGATGCCCTGTATAGACTACACAGGTATCATGTGATGTCACACCTGTCAGTCACTAAGCCTTGGATGTCTTATCCTGTAATGAACACAAGCTTAGTCATTAGCTCATCCACTTTTGTGTAGTTTCAGTAGAAATAAATGATAAGGCAGATTGCTCGGTCCATCACCTTAAACTTCAAGTGCCCTTAATTTTTCACAGGAATTTTCATAACTTCTGTATTTGAAATATAATTCCTGAAAAATTTCTTCAAATTTATCATTAAATAAATTTGATTTTTTTTTTTTTTTTAACAATTTGAAATTCATATTTGTAGATATGGAGCATTTTCATTTGGTATGGAGAGTAATGTGGTTCCTGAAGGTTTTGGAAATTCTGCCCCGACAATGTTTAGGAAGTTTGCTGTGCGTCGAGTAGCTAAGGCTTGGTACAATCACAAAGGCTACCATGCTATGCCTGTCTTCCTTAACACTCTTAATAATGCGATTTTGAGAGCAAACCTCCCTAAGTCTAAAGGGCATCCAGCTGCATATGGTGAGTATACCAAGGAATAATCATCAGGAGTCAAGAATTTTGGACATAGATTGTAAATAATAATTTTAGATTTAATTTGATCTTTTTGAGTGCATTGGTGAAAGATGTGCAGTGATTGTTGGTACAACCAGATATTATCTGTAACTATGTAGAAGGCTTCACATTAAGCACATACAATGTGTTGTTTGCTGCGATTTTGTGGTCAAAGGAAAGGCTTATTAATGGAGATTTCTGTTATATGACCTTAAAATAGTATTGTGTGATCCATAATTTGAGAATAACAATTATATTAATATTATGTTTGTCTTGTTGAAATTTTTTGTCCTTATTTCAGGTATAAGTATTGTTTGTTCTGTATGTCAAGTATAATTGTCTTTCTTTTCTCAATATTACTGGTATAAATGTCTTTTTTTAACCATATTTCAGGTATAACCGTGATTAATCATCCCTTGAATCAGACCAACAATAAGCTAAATAAAGACTATATGTAAGTGCTTCTCATTTCCTTAAACCAGATGTTTTGTTTGAAAATGCTCATAATGTTTTCCAACAGAATGCATGGTACAATTGTGGATGTTGATATAATTTTATGTTACATTGTTCTTGTTAAGAAACAATGGTCTTATGAATCAATACATTTCAAATATGAATATAAATGTCACTTTTCCTCAAGTCATTACAACCAGAATGCTGGGGCAGGCCTAGCTGCATCCATGTTGCATTGCCTTATTTGGGCTTCAATAAGGTAATGGGGTGAGGATGGGGGGAGGGTGGGGGGCACGCTGGTATCTCTGACTTCTAGTCAATAAGAATTTGGACAACAATTCATCCAATGAACAACACTCAGGTTTTGGATAATAATACAACATACAATCAGGTGTTGTAAAAACAATATGATTGACCTCTGAACCACAGTCAGGTGGTGGGACAACAATATGATCTCTGACGTACAGACAGGTGTTGGAATAACAATATGATCAACCTCTGACCCATATTCAGATGTTGGGACGACAGTATGACCTCTGACTTTCGGTGAGGCATTGGGCTTATCATAGAATAATGAAATAAGATTTACTTGTCATTATAATTTACAATAGTGTATATAAATGTGGATATCACCAGAAAATGGGTTCTAGCTGGGTGAATGGAGTTGTCTGGATATAAAGGGATTAAGCCATACTTATTGAATGTCAGAAGTGGATATAATTTTAGAGGTACAGGTTTTACTGCAGATAACCTGATTTATAATAGTAGTTATAGGATTGAAAGTCATGTGTCTCACATCCTACTTCAACTTCTTATCATCATATACTGACATCACCATTCTTTTTTTGCCAGTCTCCAGGGGTCGGATGTTCTCATCTCTATCTTCATCATTGTTGCCATGTCGTTTGTGCCAGCCAGTTTTGTTGTGTTCCTGGTGTATGAGCGTTCTATAAAGGCCAAACACCTACAGTTTGTTAGTGGTATTGACACTGTCATGTACTGGCTGGGAAACTACCTTTGGGATATGGTAACTATAGCAATATATCTAATATCAGATTGTGTTCAGTTTTTGATGCAGTGAAGTTATTTTTTCTGTGATATATATACATATATTAAAATCTATATTACAACCTGTTTTAAATGTTCTCATAGCACGTCTAAAGAATTCATTTCCACTCTACAATATAGAATATGTTCTTACATGACTATTATTAGAAATCATCACGGTAAAAGAATGTGTTCCTACGTAACTATCATCAGAAATGTTCCATCATCACGGTAAAAGAATGTGTTCCTACGTAACTGTTATCAGAAATGTTCCATCATCACGGTAAAAGAATGTGTTCCTACGTAACTGTTATCAGAAATGTTCCATCATCACAGTAAAAGAATGTGTTCCTACGTAACTATTATTAGAAATGTTTCATCATCACAGTAAAAGAATGTGTTCCTACATAACTATTATTAGAAATGTTTCATCATCACAGTAACAGAATGTGTTCCTACATGGCTGTTATCAGAGATGTTCCATCATCACAGTAAAAGAATGTGTTCCTAAGTAACTATTATCAGAAATGTTCCATCATCACAGTAAAAGAATGTGTTCCTAAGTAACTATTATCAGAAATGTTCCATCATCACAGTAAAAGAATGTGTTCCTACAGTAAAAGAATGTGCTGTTATCAGAAATGTTCCATCATCACAGTAAAAGAATGTGTTCCTAAGTAACTATTATCAGAAATGTTCCATCATCACAGTAAAAGAATGTGTTCCTACGTAACTATTATCAGAAATGTTTCATCATCATGGTAAAAGAATGTGTTCCTAAGTAACTATTATCAGAAATGTTCCATCATCATGGTAAAAGAATGTGTTCCTACATGGCTGTTATCAGAGATGTTCCATCATCACAGTAAAAGAATGTGTTCCTACGTGGCTGTTATCAGAGATGTTCCATCATCACAGTAAAAGAATGTGTTCCTATGTGGCTGTTATCAGAGATGTTCCATCATCACTATAAAAGAATGTGTTCCTATGTGGCTGTTATCAGAGATGTTCCATCATCACTATAAAAGAATGGGTTCCTACGTGGCTGTTATCAGAGATGTTCCATCATCACAGTAAAAGAATGTGTTCCTATGTGGTTGTTATCAGAGATGTTCCATCATCACTATAAAAGAATGTGTTCCTATGTGGCTGTTATCAGAGATGTTCCATCATCACTATAAAAGAATGTGTTCCTACGTGGCTGTTATCAGAGATGTTCCATCATCACTATAAAAGAATGGGTTCCTACGTGGCTGTTATCAGAGATGTTCCATCATCACAGTAAAAGAATGTGTTCCTATGTGGCTGTTATCAGAGATGTTCCATCATCACTATAAAAGAATGTGTTCCTATAAAAGTGGCTGTTATCAGAGATGTTCCATCATCACTATAAAAGAATGTGTTCCTATGTGGCTGTTATCAGAGATGTTCCATCATCACTATAAAAGAATGTGTTCCTATGTGGTTGTTATCAGAGATGTTCCATCATCACTATAAAAGAATGTGTTCCTATGTGGTTGTTGTGGGATGTGTTTGATATCTGATATTGATTCACTTTTTATTACAGTGTAACTATACTATCCCGGCATTTTGTATCATCATGATACTCCAGATATTCCACATACCAGCATACACTTCCCCACAGAACATGCCAGCAGTGGTGTCACTCTTTCTTCTATATGGGTAAGTATGTCGGTACATATTATATATGTATAATCTGTATCATTCCATTTACATAATACTGTAAAGAGGTATCATTGTTTACTTGCAGTGTATGTCTTCAATCTGTATTTAATACTTTACATATAAACGTATGAATTAAAGAGAATATCTGTAATAGTGATTTACCTGTGACTGATTTACCTGTATGACTTATCTGTACGGCAAATTTATCTGTACATCTGTGTCTTTACATATAAATATTATTTATTTGTTTGATTTTCCCAGAGTGTACAGATGACAACATCATTAGATGTCAATATTAATTTTACAATACAATGTATATACTGTTATATTTAAAATTTTAATTTCCATACATATGTTCATTACAGATGGTCCATCACACCAGTGATGTATCCAGCCTCATTCCTGTTCAAAGAACCAAGTACTGCCTACATCTGTCTCATCGTCATCAACCTCTTCACAGGCATTACCTGCATCGTCTGCAGTTTCTTGCTGGAAATCTTTTCTTATGACAAGGTCAGTTGAAAGTCACATTATATAAACATTGATATGTAGAGCTGTGTTTGGAAGTCCCTTGTGTATAACGCCCGTTAAATATTGTTCAAAATGTTGTATCCTGTGATGAGATTACATTTGTATTTCATTTCTACTTAACAGGACTTGAACAGAGTGCATCTTATCCTAAAGGACGTCTTCCTTATGTTTCCCAACTACTGCCTTGGAAGAGGGTTGATGGACATTGCATTCAACGAATACAAAAACGAATTTTTCTTTAAAACAGGTCAGTCATTTATAAGTAACATTGCAGTCCTTTATATCCAATCGTTCAAGACTCCTTCAAACTGAATTTTCTGAAAGTAAGTAATGTATATTACACCGCCACTGTGTGTCAATCTCTCAATATGAGTGCAGTCTTGAGGCTGATATAAAACATTTCATTGATTCTGTTTCACACCAAACACTCAGTGTCATTCTTGTTCTGTCAGTCTATTTTTACTACTAATGTCTAGGTAACATTGAAAATTTCTTCTAAAAAGGCTAAGAAATTTCTCCTAACAAGTGCATATGTTAGCAAACAGCACAATGAAGCCTTCTTTCTGTTTAATTTTAGGACAGTATGACCAGATCAAAAGCCCTTTTACATGGGAGCTGACCTCCAGGAACCTGGTGGCAATGGCCATAGTTGGAATAAGCTTCTTCCTTCTCACTTTGCTTTTCGAATTTAAGTTTTTCATCAAAAGTAGCTACAGGTGAGCAGAGAAAGATGTCATACAAGTTGTTATTTAGATGGCTGCATACTGATATCAAATGTATCTTAATATTTGTCTTACAGTCATTTCATAGGCATTAAAGTGTGTGAGTCTCAAAAATAATGCAATAACTTTATAGCTTCCACTCAGTTTTTGTGTCGATTAAGTTGGACACAAGTTAGATTTCATAATTGACCCCTATCTTTAAACCAGGCAAAACACTCACTCAATGTCTAGTCTGTCAGATGAAGATGTAGATGTTGCTACGGAAAGGAAGCGCTTGTTACGGGGAAGTGGTCGTTATGACCTCATCCGATTGGAGAATTTGACAAAGGTAAGAATTAGTTATGATGTTTTATTTACAACTTCAAAAATTTAGAACAAGTCGTATTATTGATGATGAAAAAACATTAAGTAAATGAGATCATATTGCTGTTTTGTTTAGAAAAAGAAAGTTAAAAATAAATGAAAAGAAATTAATTGAAGATCCTTCAAAATAATCTATTAGTTCTAACATTGAAATTAATTTATTGTACCAATATTTTTTTACAGGTGTATAAAACAAGGAAATTAGGGCGCCACCTAGCAGTAGATAGATTATGTCTTGGAGTACCTTCAGGAGAGGTAAGTGTCTGAGAGTATTGTTCCTTCAGGAAAGATGAGAAGAGGGGAAACAAAAGACCTGTAGTTAACATTGGGATTATGTTAACAGTAAGAGACTTAAGATTGCACTTAATATAAATGTTTCAAATATGGGTTCCTACACAGAATGTACTGGTAATATGATTACACTGATGTAATTTCATAAAAGAAAGTATTCTGCTGAATTTTTTGGCTCACCTGACCTGAAGGGCCCAATATGGCAAATAGAGCCAATTCTTTAAAATCCTACACCTCCTGTAGGAATGATTAGATTTTGTCCAAATTCAGTCAGATACATTGCTGGGGAAAGGGGATCAATTTTTGTATCAACTGTGGATCTCAGCCCCCTGGGGCAGGAGGGACAGAGCCCAATAAAGGAAAACGAGCAAATTCTTTAAAACCCTACTTCTACTGTAGGTGTGATTGGATTTTGGCCAAATTTGGTTTGAAGCATTCTTGGATGAAGAGCAATCATTTTTTTTTTTTTATAAACAATGGGTCTGTGCCACACGGGAGCAGGAGGGACACGGCCCAATATAGGAAATGTAGCCAATTCTTTAAAATCCTACTCCTGTAGGAATGATTGATATATTGCCAGAGTTTTGTCTGAGGCAAGGTTGGGTGAAGGGGAATCATTTATGTATGAACTATTAGTTTCAATCCCCTAGGGCAGGAAGGGTGGGGCCCAGTAGGAGAAATAGAGCAAATTCTTTGAAATCCTACCCCTCCGGCAGGAATGATTGGATTTTGTCCAAATTTGGTCTGAAGCATTCTTGTAAAGTGGAATCAATTTTGAATAAATAAACAGTCTTGATTCCTGAGAATAGGAAAGATGGGGCCAAATATTGGAAATAGGTCAAATTCGTTAAAAATCCTACTTCTCCTGCAGGAACTATTTGGTCTGAAGTATTAATGGTTTGGCTGACCTCCTAATGACAGAGGGTTGGGGTCCAGTAGTAAAACAGATATTTTTTGTATTGTGTGCTTGGATATTTTTAATTCCTTTACTTTTAGTTTTAATGATGCAATTTCAGCAAAGCAAAGCCAGGTGTGCCATACAGGCCCCATTGGTCTCTTGTGTATTGATTCCTTTACCTGAACTTTGAAATAGATTAATCTTTCATTTAAAATTCTTCAATCTATGCTTACATTTCCAGTGTTTTGGACTGTTAGGAGTGAATGGAGCAGGGAAAACAACAACATTTAAAATGTTGACTGGTGACATACAGCCAACAAGTGGAGATGCCTATCTCAACAGGGACAGGTTGGTATCTGGTAACAGTGTTAGTCAATGGCTAGAAGATACTATAGTAAGACTACTATAGTTTATGTAGGAAAGTTCATTTTTGAGCATAAGTTTCTAAAAAGTTGGATTATTAGTATAAGGTGACAGTTTGATGAAATGCACAAACTGATTAAGGCTGACCCCCAGGTGACAATTGGTGGGAACCAAAAATTGGTCAAAGTGACTAATATTTCAAAGATGTCTACTGTTCATGGATGGAATTTTTTTTTTATAGAAAAATTCAATTTTTGAGTGTAATTTCTTTTAATTCAAACTTTTTTAGAAGCCTTAGCATGGGAGAGCAGTTAATGCTATGCACAGTTTACTGTTGCATTATGTTTACAATGTAGTTAAAGTTATCTTACTTTTTTAAAGAGATTCATTTCTATGACATATTACACGAGGTATTGTAACTCATGTTACCGTTTAGGCCCTTGAGCCTCTTGTTGTTTTTTTAGGGTCATAAAGATATGTTGTTGTCACAGTATAACAGAAGGCTAATGTACACAGTTTGATTACAATTCATAAGATTGCAACAGTATTTCTGTAATCATTTTTGGCAGTGTGCGTAAAGACATGTTGTCTGTACAACAAAAGATTGGTTATTGTCCACAATTTGATGCCTTGTTTGACGAGTTGACGGCGAGGGAACATATTCAGCTGTATGCCAGACTGCGGGGAATACCACCAAATGAAGAAAAACAAGTAGGATTCCATTATCCTCTCATTGTGAAATGATTCTGAATAGAAATCAGCTGAGTTAGTGAAGAACTAGTTCCCTAATTATAAAACATTATAACATAGCAAACAATGAATTTTTTCTATGATTTATGGGCTCATATATTTAAGAATATTCCCTACTTTTCAAATAAACCTGATCCTTCAACCTACATTTAGGAGTGAATGCTTAACACATGAGGCCTAGGACTGAGATCTTTGTGTGTATGTTTATGTGTAGGTTGTCGAATGGGCGCTGAACAAACTTGGCCTTACACAGTATGCCGACAAAACGTCTGGAACGTACAGCGGAGGTAACAAAAGAAAGCTGTCCACTGCCATAGCACTGATAGGCCATCCACCAGTAATCTTCATGGTAATTATGTGGAATTATTGTATGTATCTCTGGGGAGAAATTTTCATCTGACTCTAATTTGTAGAGATGAATTGGTGAATAAAATATTTACTCCTATTCGATTTATTGTTAATGGTACTTGTGTTTACAAGAATATCAAATTATGATAGTGGTTTATAAAAAAATACCTTAACAGGGTAATCATTTATTGAGATGTAATTGTTCACAGAGTGAGATGTATTTTTTACTACTTAGGATGAGCCCACCACAGGTATGGACCCTCATTCTCGTCGGTTCCTTTGGGACCTCATTCTCAGCCTTGTACGAGACGGACGAAGCATTATTCTTACGTCTCACAGGTAAGTAAAAAAAACGAAGACACTAGATTGTCCACATCATCATATCATTCAGTTGAAATTTCGATTTTCATGAAGTTTCAGTAAGTTCATCACACAATCAGGAAGTAAGTTGAATATGCCATGAGTACCACTCTAGTTTAGTATTGTTGTATAACATGAAATTCTTTTGGGTATTTTCTTGTGTTACATTACTTCAAGGATAAAAACTTTCAATATACCATGTAACTATAGACATAATTCTTTGATCTGAAGTCTTACTCACTGCATTTTATTTTCATTATTGTCTGTATAGTCATGGTAAAAGTTTCTATACAATTTCACGTTATAGTGCATGTACCAAGGTTAATTGTCAGAATGATGAATTATACTTTAAATTTCAACCAGTAGAAAAATAAGAATATAGTTTTGATGATGAATTGATTTATAATTATTACTTACATAGCATTGTCTACTTTCTGATAGTCCTTGGTTACCAGTAACAAAGCAGAGAATCTAATGATAAACAATTATACTCTCATCTTTTTCTAACATTTAAGGATATCTCTAACATCTCCATCATCCTGGACTTTATATTATTTATTAACAGTATGGAGGAGTGTGAGGTCCTGTGCTCTAGGTTGGCTATCATGGTGAACGGCCAATTTAAGTGCCTGGGAAGTGCACAACACCTGAAAAGCAGATATGGAGATGGTTACACTTTTAGCATCAGATTAAAGGGACCAGATTTTGACCACTCCAGTGAAGTAGTACAGAGATTTGTAGACAGAAGCTTTCCTGGGGCTTTGTTAAAGGTACGGGACCTTGTACTTGTGGAATAATAACAGATTTTATCATTTGTAGGGGATGTATTTCCATACCTTTCAAAACTACATTATTATCTAACCAGTGGGGTTTTTTGGTCCAGAGCCAAAATAAATTTGACATCTCCCATGCATTAAAACTACATTATGATCTATCCACTGGGATTTTTCGGTCCAGAGCCAAAATAAATTTGACACCTACCATGCATTGTATTTATCCTCCAACACTTCAACATTTTGTGTTTAAACTGCATGCAGCTTACATTGATTTCAAGTGCCGAGTCGAGCCAGATGATGCATGCCCAAATGATCACTCTGTAAGGAAATATACTGGTAGTTCCAAATGTCCACTAACAAATACATTGACACTTCTGTGAACAATTGGTTTCTTGTTCATCTATTTATTCCATCCTTCTGATCTTTGTTAATGATTTCTCATAACAGGAGCACCATTATAACCTACTACAGTATGAGTTGCGGAATCAGAGTGTTTCCTTGGCTCAACTTTTTAATAAATTGGAGGAGGCTCAGAAAGACCTTGATATAGAGGACTACTCTGTTAGTCAAAACACGTTGGACAATGTAAGTATATACAAGGACTACCCTGTTAGTGAAAATTCTGGGTCCTGGGATAACACTTGACGAAATGACTAATCAGTCAACAAGACACTGGGATCACATGGGACTTGTTGGATGTCTACAAGATCAATTTTTCTCCATGGGGTATTGACAATTTATCTCCACGGGATATTGGTATTCAGTAATAAAATCTCATTTGAGGTGAAGCCCAGAATAAAATGTTACAGACTGTCAGCCGAGGACAGAGATAAATTTATCTTGAACATATTGTGTAATTTGATTCTTTTTCTTTTTCTCTCAAAATCTTTCTCAATCATGTTCATTTCCATGTTCTTTGATGTGTCTAGATTGACTCCTTTTTTTTGGTTATGCATTAGAAAAAAGATTGGATATAAGTCAGTTCAATATTGAGATCACTTGGCACCAAATACTGTGTAAAGGTAAACGACAAAAATGTGATCTGTATAATTGAAAGGCCTTGTATGAAATTGAAGTTTGTCAGCAAAACCTAGAGGCAATATAAGAATACCAAATGGAAATACTAGCTTTATGGTGCCTGAACTTCTAGTTACAACTTAAACAAGAATTTCAAGAATCTGGTTTGTGATCTTTTGAGGTACTGATGCCATTGTCATTTCTTTGTTGTAGGTTTTCATTAACTTCGTTAAGAAACAGGTAGAGATTGTGGAAGAAAACAGTCATCTCAGTAAAGAGGAAGATGACTGTCCAATGATCTCACTAGATGGACAGGACCATGGACTTGGAATAGATTCAGATGAAGATGATGCAACTTTCAGAATAAACGAGTCAGGTGTAAGTTTTACAAAAAGACATGTTCAAATCTACGATTGACATGGTTATGAATCAGGTGATATTAGTCAGGTACAAGTTTGGTGTTATCAGCTGATGTAATGAATGAGTCTGGTGTGATTAACTTCATTCATTTTCAGGTTAAAGTCATCCGATATATATTCGTCTGTGCGAAATGGTGTTTTTATAAGACATTAACAAACGTGAATTTATATGAAAACGATCTGAAGATTGTAATTGCTGTTTTTAGTACACATATATAGAACAGATGTATGAAATTCATTTAGACTAGTAAGCATTATCAGTTTTGTTTTCTTTTGCTTGAAAAAAATCATATGGAGATAATTGATTTTATTTTTTGTTTATTTAGACTCACCTCTCACTTCTGAACATGGAGACCTGACAGTTGTATGAGAAGTTCAGTCAGTGACACAAATCATCTGCTCAACTTTGATCTCAGTGGCTTTCCTGGCTGCATTTGTGACATTATTCTCAGGCATGGTGTCATCACTTTTACTAAACAAAGTATTTATTTATCTTCGTGGCTTGCTCAATGAATCAGTAAAACTGTTACAAATCTAAAGCACAGATATAATGTAATAAAAACTGTTTGTCAGTGAGCTCTACACACTACATTCATGTGATCTCAATTTCATTGAATAAATTGAGCTTTTATAGATTTTTTTTTCCTGTACAATTTCTCACAAATTCCATAGACTATTGCCAAGCTTTATACATACGTTAGGTATTCTATTATTTTATATTTAGATTGTTACTAGATAAACAGTTCAGGCGCTATGGTGTACAATGAGAAAGCCAGTTTTCTTAGTTGTGTATAAGGGAGTGGTTAAATTTAATTACATCACTGTGTACAATGTACAGACCCAAAACCCTCATTACCATAGTGACAGGGTTTGTTTGAAATGTCTCATTAATTTGTTCATGTGTAACTTAATTGTTAGCAGTTAAGTAGTGAAAGGGTTAGTTGTCAGTTTACACAGATTACTCTGACACAAGACAAAATTTGTAATGGGTTACTGTTACAATTGTAAATTTTTATTAATGTGTAGCAGAATTTCTAGGATAGTTAGACATACAGAAAGTATATTTTTACATTAACATGTTTAGATATTGATGAATCGTACCAGTTGTTTAGGGTTGAAAATCCAAAAGTTCATGTTTGTTTTTGTTAAATTCTCATGCAATATACACATGTATATGTTATTTGCAGTATTGTAGAAACTTGAGCCATGTAATATAGAGTATATCATAATTTTTCTTACAAAAGTCCCAGATATCTTGTGAAAGTTTGATACTTCTTTAATAAGTAATGTCTGTGATTTGTGTTAGATTATTATGCCTTCATATATTATTTTCCCTATTTTTTCCCCTTTACATTCAAAATTTCTAAACAAACTGATTTCATGTTGAAAGATATATTAACTACCTATAAAGTGTCTGTTAATTAGTGCTCGATTATCATTTTTTATTTTTTTCCTGATCTGCATAATCCTGAACTCTGACATACTTTGTGATAAGCTGAGGTGTCCAACAACTTGTAGAAAAAAATCTGTAATTTTTATTCTGTTCTATTTATCTCCCTTTAATTTACCCTTGTTAAGATAATCCTTCATATTCCTTAAACTTTCAACTAGTCAGTAAATTACGATTATATACTATCATAAAAAGTAGCTGTGATTTGTTAGATTATCTCCCTTGTTAATTCCAAACTCTTGTTAGCTAGTGATGTACATAACAAATATATCTGTAATTTGTTATTTGCTTTCTTTTGAAAGACATATTGTAGGTTTCGCTGACAAGGACCAGAGTTTCTCATAAGGAAAATTATTATAGATGTTATAGTTGGCGACATAATGGCACCACTCTTCAATGACTGACCAAAGCAGATTTCTTCTCATAGTGTCTAGTATCTTGATGGTGTTTCTGATTACTCTGAATCCGCCAGATTTCTTTACATTTGTATAAGAACTTGCAATAATATACATGTAGTTAGTTCATAGACATGTTGTTTTGTACTGTCTGTTTTAATTAAGCCCTCTCTTGCTAAGAATTGTTTTGAATTCGTTATGTTATTTTATTATTTTGAATACCTTATCTGACATTAGTGATTATATATACGGTGTATGTATCACAATTTAATGTTTTATGTAGTAATTTCCGTTTTATTACTATTAGTGATGTTAAAGAAGAGCAGTTCTTCAACTGACCAATTAGTGTTTTCAAACTAGTAGTGAAGTCTGATTGTTGGTGTTATATTGCTGTTTTGTATCACAATGTTTAGATGTTATACTTATCCTATATATAGTGATCTAGGCCATCACTGTAAGGTTATGTGATCTGAATTAAACGTAAGGTGCTTAAATTGAAGATGGTAGTAACCACAAGCTACTACTAAAGAGACTGTCAAGAATTCAACCTTGCTGTTGAAGGGTTGATAAACCCTGTGAATAAACAGATCATTTTTTAAGTTGGGAGTGACTGATCAACCACAGCACAAATGATTCAGCTTAATCTTACACCATGGACCTTTTTAACTGTTCTACCTACTGGTATAGGGTAACTGAATAATTTCTAAAGGTCTATTGGGTAAGTAACAAATAAGTTGTGCTATTGCAAAAAGTTGTATTTGTAATTTGTTAATTCTCTCATGAAGTTGTACGATTATTTTGCTTGACAGTCATTTATCATTACATCATGATTTTAACAGTTTACATTGAAAGATGTGAAACTAAAAAGATCAGCTTTTTAAAAATCAAAGTGATCCTATCTGTTGTTGTTCAAAATGTTTTACTTATTTATTATATAATTTGTTATCTATATGTCACGGTATCCAACTTTTAAATTTGAAGAAATATCGTTGATATTGCATGTCAGTTGAAACGTATGTTTTACTGGTGTACTAATGTTTGTGATGGCAACTCTTAAGTTATTCATTGTCAGCATAAAATTAACTTGTAGAAGTCCCTAAATAATGTTTGGAGACGGACTGGTTTTCTTCCGCAACAGCCATTATCTTGTCTAAATGTTTATATTGCCTGATTGTGTACGTAGACGATTTATGACATGCATGATGAACATTGTTACAAATTCTGTTTCTTGTTCAGAAGACAAGAAGTTTCTAGAGTTGCTTCTGATTGGTAAAATTTCCTGTCTTATCCTATTTCCATCTTACTTGGTGTTTTAGTGTATTATATTGTCCTTGCAAGCATTAACTTCTATAAGCATAATGTATCCACATGAGGGGTAGTTTAGGAGATATTAACCACTTTGTTCATATTCCAGCATTTCAGATTTGTGTGATCCATTTTGTAGTTATTTAACCCCAGTATTTCTCCATCCCTTTGATATCATTCAAGACAAACTTACTTTTTATGCAATGTTTTTATGCATGATGTTGCTTTGACTTAATTTATTCACAAGTTGTTTCCCCATGGGTTAAGATGCCTCATCTTGCTTGGAGAAGAAAGATTCCTATGGACACCGTGGTAAAAATAGATCTATCCGAAAGCAGTAATGACAGAAAAGGATGAAGGCTGTATTACAAAGGTGTCAATATAAATGTATGGGGAACTTTTCAATTTTGCTTTTGTTTGGCTTCTGAAATAAAGGAAATAATTGAATCATTTTGGCCGGTAAGAATAGTTCTAACATCAGATCTTAGTCCCTGCAGGAGTGATACATGGTAGTTCACATTAGTGATTCCTCTAGTCAGCATTTTTTTTAATTTAGTTTCATTTTTTTCATTTTACTATTATTTCACCATTCTGTCCTCTGCTTACCTCAACTCCCTGTTACTCTATAGTTTCAGACCGGTGAACTGAAATATCATGCATTCCACACAAATTGTTGTACAGAATTGGACTTCTGTTGTTCAAACTACATGTTGTAATTTATTTTATTTCCTAACAAGATATTGTAATTTGCTCAAGTCTAGAAAACTAGAATATATTCCAGAATCAATGTCTAGTGCTTGTGTATTTGCAAATGTCTTAATTGTTGATAAAAACATGACAGCTTATGTTGATATATTTCTATGAAGTGATCATTCTGTGCCGTGTTCTTTATCATCATAATACCCTTGATGTTTCTTTCCGAACATTTTTCTTTTGTAATTTCGTGTTTTATCGTTAATATTTCAGGTCTCATAGTATACCTTTTTCAATGTCATTAAGTGACCTAGTAGAGCACTTTGCCTTATCAGCTATTCTAGATAGCATTTTACGTATTCATCTTGAAATATTTATACATTTTCTTCATCTTTTTGAGAATAGTTCACAATATTTTTTCATTCGAGAGAACTATATTCTGGTTTGTTGCAAGGTCATGCACAATGATCTGCTAGGGAAGGTGCTGAAATAAAATGTGATTGGAATTCTAGAAAGACGTTGTTATATATCAATCTGCATGTCACTGTTAAACCTCTTCATTTCCACAGAAAGATAATCTCTCGTCCAAGAAAATCTCATAGAATTAAATGGCAATCACACAACTACCTAGGGATATGGTTGAATTTGTTTTAAAAACCCAAGGGATCTTGGCGCCCTTCATAGCAAAACAGAAATTATCACGGACTGACCACGGACACGGGACGATTTAACAGCCCACCATCTGATGACGTAGGGTAAAAACGGAAAATGTCTTTAAACATAACTGCTGTAGGCACTAAGGCCATGACCATCTGAAAAAGTTTACTCATACTTTGGTGTTATTAACATGTTTAACCTAAATTCCCTGAAAGATTGAAGTTGCTTAGCATTTAAATTGAACCAGTTGATAATTATCTATATATAGCAAGGTTGTCCTTGACCCTCTGAAACACGATGTCCAAAGAATTGAAAATTAAAATTGATTTTTGTCCAAAATCTACGCAAGATTGTTGCTAGGTGTTTACATTAAATCAGGATGGGACAGGACGGACTTGGGCAACACTATATGCACTCATTTTATGGCAAGTGCATAAAATTGGCTTTGTCAGGACATTGCGTTAGCCACACCTCTATACCCCTAGGAATTATTTGCAGATACAGAAATCCCATTCTCACCTGCTGAAGAGTTGCCAACTGCCAACTTTATGGAGATTCAATATTGATTACAGGTGAAAATCACACCATTGCTTATTCACAGAGTGTGATTTCACCTGGAGCTGAGGATGATCAAGGTTATCAAGGAATGGATAGACACGATGCCTGAATACAAGATGAACATTGGCATCCATTTTAATTAGCGCAGATGCAGATTCTGATGGTTGGGCATTAGACGATATGGCAGCCGATTGCAAGATTGCGTTTTTGAAATTTATAGAGGTTTTTACCCCATTTATCAGCAAGCCACGACCTAAAATTCTTGTTAGATAGATCCTACTGACAACCTACATGTATATTAAATAATTTCATTGTTTTCTAATGTATCTAAGGTAAGTTCTCGAATGAATAATTGTCTTGCCTTGCTTGCTGCGGGTTGAATGGTGTTATTACTGAAACAGCAATTGCGAAGTAGAATGGATGACAAAATTAAAAGATTGATGTAACCTCTGTCATGCTCCTCTATACAGGGCATTCAAGGGAACAAAAATGTGTCCTTTATTGACAAGTGACCTTTATGAAGAGGTTCTGGTCTTTTGTAACAGTTTGTAATACACTGAGATAAGAAACAAGTGGCTTTTATAAACAAGTACTTGTTATATAGAGATGGACTTAAGGGCAGGTTTGACAAAACAAAGAAAGAATGTTTCCTTCCAGCCATAATTTATTTGTCAGGTGTTGAAAAGAGCTAGCCCATTTTTTGTGCAAGTTCCTTTGCTTTTGCCTTCTCCAGCTTGGTGATGCGAGCCTGGGACTTGCTGCCCATCTGTCCTCCACCCCAGTGACGACGGATCTGAAACAAAAATACATTTTGTTCAAACTATGGCAGATTTCTATGGAAAGTAAGTTCCCTATCCTAGCTTTAAACTTTCAAATGATCATACAAGCCCTAAAAACATGTTTTAGCATGTGAAACAGTGCATCATTAATGATACTAACTATTTCTGTTGATTGTGCTGGGACTGTTTTCTAATTTTAAAAAAATTTATCAATCCAGTGGGACTCGAGTTACTAAGCAAAAATAAGTTATTTTGTGAAAATAAAATTTGAAAAGCAATAAAAAAATACCACAGTGTCTGGACCTATTTTCTATTTATAGTAATAGTGACCTGGACCTTTTGACCCCAAAAGCAATCCCTTGCAAGAATCCCCAATCATATAAGGATCCAGTGTGGGGACAGGGATGAAAATTTAGGTTATTGTTGGCATTATCACCCAAATTGATACAACAAAATATGTCCACACATCATCAATTAACTATATTGGTTAAAAAAGTTTCAGACAAATGCCTCATTTGGCATCACCAAGCAACTGGTGACCCTCACCTAACAGTCAAAAACTGACCACAAGATTTAGTCACTCAGAACATCAGCCTCGTCATCTGTGTCATCATCAACTTTTCATTTAAGTATTCAGACCATTATGATTCAGTGAAATTTTTAATATTTATGACACCACTAAATAGTTACGGTTTATAAGTTAAGTATTTAATATGCAAATTTTCACCTAAATTACTAGATATGTTAGAAATCATCGTGATTTTCATCATTTATTAATATTTAATAAGATTTTATATAACAAATGTCACAAGAAAATTTGAAATATGTATTGAATACATAACTTGTCCTTTTGTTGTGATTTATTTTGTGCCAAACTATGTACTTTCATTCCAAAAATGGTATTATCACATCATAACCTTTTATCAGGATATATACACACTGCAAGTTCTACTGCCAGAAATTACATCATGATTTCAAAACAGTTTCAGACAAATGCCTCAATTGGCATCACAAAGTGACTGATAAACCTCACCAAACAGTCAAAAACTGACCACAAGGTTTGGTAACTCAGACAATCAGCCTCGTCATCAGTGTCATCATCAACTCTAGGTATTTGGTACACAGTATGAAGGTCCATAGCACAAAGAACATCTTTGACTAAAAGTTCTGATTTATGTAGTTATGGATTATCAATATCATAGCATCACTCTGACATGACCAACAACCATGTTTTAGAATTCAAAAACTAAATCAGTCACATGAAAATCAGCAATGATTATTTTACTTTAAATTGATTGCAAATTTTTAAGTATCTATAAATGTCTTCACATGGCAAATGTGTAAAATTTTAAAGTCTTTACTGCTATTGAATAGAAAATCTAGAAGGGAACAGGCCACACCAAATAGGACTGAAATCATTAGTTAATTTAGTATTCGGAGGACACATATACACTAATTAATACCTCTTCATGTCTTTCATTGAAGTTGGTCTTGACTGCCTCCACCAGCTTACTGAGAGAAGACTTGTCCTCACTGAAACAAAATCATCACATAAAACAATGTACAGGCAAAGTTTAATAATACAAATGATATGATAACACTGTCCATGACACCTCATCATTTGAACAAAACAGTATTGTACAGACTGACCAGTATTGTACAGATAATTTTGCCCTGGGTCAAAATTTCATGTTTCAACAAAGAGTGCTACCTGACAATGGAATTACGATATGTTATTGACTCGTTGTTAGGTTAAGTAAGACTGGATACAGAATAAAGCTTAGAAGCCATGAAATTTAATCAAAGATAAAGGAATGTCATGAGATGTTCACTGCAGCCATGGTAGTAATAGCATATAGTTGGATCTAATTTACAGAATTGTACAAACAATGTGAGGAAATCCTGAACACATCTGGACAGAATGCATTATGACATTAATTTGCTTTCTTTTTAAAATAATTACTGTAACATGTGAAAACAACTTTAATGCTAAATCCAAATACAAGCAAGGATTTCTCTTTAAAGGTTTTTGATTGTGTTCATTAATGATGATTGAAGATAAAAAAATGCCTTTTTAGTTAAACTCATGTTTTAGAATTTGTTGTGTTCGATATCGTCTTGACCAAAGATTAGTACTGTATTTTTTCTTCCTAAAAAGTTTCAGACAAATGCCTCAATTGGCATCACCAAGCGACTGGTAACCCTCACCAAACAGCCAAAAACTGACCACAAGGTTTGGTCACTCAGAACATCAGCCTCGTCATCTGTGTCATCATCAACTCATCCAATTCCGTAATTAATTATTCATCAAGATCTAGAGCATATCTCTATTTCTAAGAATGTGTTCTTGATTTATACAGCTGAACTAGTAACATTAACAAAGCTCTTTACCTTTAGAAGAATGTTTACCTAGAGGGACATTTAGTGCACCAACATTTAGTCATTTTTGTGTCCATATCTCATTGATTCCTATTCAAAAGTTTTTTCTTTGTTTTCATTAATGACAATGTTTTGTTTTAAGATGAAAAATGCCCCTTTTTATTTAAACTTGTGTTTTGGAATTTGTTTTATTTGTTCAGGTAGAAATATAGTGTAATCAATGTTTTCATGTTCATGACTATGTCAGTATATCCCACCACGAATAACACAAAGTCTTGACGTAACAAAAGTTTTTTCACTAGTCCCTTGAACCTCGAAACATCAAAATCTGATTGTAATTGGTCAAATTTAGTTTGATCAAAAGAAATCATGTCAAATCGAATTACCACCACCAAAGATTAGTAATGTATTTTTTATTCATAAAAAGTTTCAGACAAATGCCTCAATTAGCATCACCAAGCGACTGGTAACCCTCACCAAACAGCCAAAAACTGACCACAAGGTTTGGTCACTCAGAACATCAGCCTCGTCATCTGTGTCATCATCAACTTATCAAGGTCCATAATCAATTTTTCATCAAGATCTAGAGCATATCTCTAATTCTAAAAATTAACATTAACAAAGTTCTCTATCTTGAAAGAATGTTTACCTAGAGGAACATTTAGCACATCAAAGTTTGGACAATTTTTTGTGTCCATGTCTAAATTTTCTGATAATCTTTTACAGTGATGAGGTTGATTTTGTTTTTTTTTTTTTGAGGCACAGTGTTCAAATTTAAAACATGTTTTAAATGATTAATCACTGAAATGGTTGTGATCAATTTTTATTTTTAGGTACAAATTCAATTGATAATTAAATTTGATTTTTAAGGAGCAAGTTCAGACACAGCCAAGGTTATAATCATATATAAATATCATGGCTATTGAAATGTATGCATCACTACCTGCATCAGTGTAATATTGAAAGTAGCTATACAGTATTGTATAAAACACAGACATCAACCTAACCTTTGTCTAGTTTTACATCAAACGAAACATTAAGAACAAATAAGTTATCATCTTAAAGCATTATGTACTAAATGTTAATTAACATTTTGCATATGATGATGATTTTGGCATGAAGATACAGATTTGGTTTTTTAAAATAAATGAAATTGTAGGTAAAAAAATATATAACTACAGTACCACTGAGTGGAAAGGGATTTGTTTTTGAAGCTACAGGAACATGTGTCTATCTCATGCAAAGACATAATTATGCTTCAGTTACAACAACTTAACATATTGGTTATTAATTGAATTTTGACTACCAGGTAAAAATTCAGACAGGTAAATTTGGAATTATTCAAATTGTATAGTTTTAATTTTAAGCAAGTTCAGACACAGCCAAGGTTATAATCACTTATATATATCATGGCTATTGAAATGTATACATCACTACTTGCTTCAATGAACAGGAGTACCATGGAACAGAATCAAAATATATACCTATGTCTACAATATACTGTTTTATATTGTTCTTGCGTATGGTATCTATTTATTTCCTTTCTTATAATATCACAATGCCCTCGACATCTTCAGTAAGTGTATTAACAACTCTTTCCAACATCAACTTGATAGTATACTTACGGGTTGACATTTGTAATTGCCAGACATGTGGCAGTTTTCCTGTTGACAACACGTCCTAAACGTGCTTTTCCTTTCACAATACAGTAAGGTACACCCATCTTTCTGCATAGAGCTGGCAGGAATAACACAATCTGTAATAAAGGCGAAGAATATACTCCCTGATACTAAGGTGTAAATCAATACCAATATCTGTACAATTTCCGACATGACTATCTAAACGTTACAAGATTTGCATTTTATGGGACTCAGATTTAAAAAGCTCAAATAACACTTCAGTGGTTATTCAGAATCCGGTAAAAATCATCACAGCATCCCATATACACATTTATCATTCATAATGAGGAAGCACGTAAGTTGTAAATTTCAACAGAAAAAATCTCTTCATTTTTCATTGTTCTGCATATTTCTATGAACAGAAATAGTAACATAGACCATGAAATTTTTAACAGTGTGCCCAAATCAAAGATTAATGTACATGTAAATTTACATAAACTGTTATCAGAAAATTATGGAGCAGCTCAAATGAAAATCAATTTTTAGCAACAATGACTGGGACCTTTGCTTTACTGTGCCATACATAGTTTATCTTAAAGTGTTACAATCAAACTATTCTACAAGTACTGTGAAGATATGCCATAATTTGCTCAGTTTTAAAAAGCTCGTTTTGGATCTTCATGAATTCTCAGGTGAAGAAATTCATTACATCATCACTGCAAATGTGGCATAAGTCTGTAATGCTTAGAAATTCCTTTTGTGTAAAAAAAGTGCACAAGCTTCTCCCTCTTTACCCTAAGAATTGTCCTGAGGTAATATCATTTTGTTACACTTCTTACTCATTGCTCCATGAATCTTGTATTACATGGGCAAACTTTACTTTGATCTTAAATGTAAAAACAAATCTGTTTGGAGTCTTTTCCACAGAATCCTGCAAATTTTGATACTCAGCTGTAATGGTCAGCTTTTACATGTCTATCACTGAACAAGCTATCTACTTTAAGTATTCTCTCTTGTATTTTGAAACTGAGGGTAGTTTATCCAGGGGAATGTATTCATGATATGGAAGTCCTTCAAATGTGGGGGTACAGGTCTTTAAATTTTACCAATTTAGATGATTTTGTACCCTCATATTCAGGGGTAATGGGTACACTGATTCTTTTAATAAAACAATTATTAGTATTTGCCTCTTAATTCACAATTAGTGTAAATCTTATTTGTATTAATTTTTCATTTACATAAACAGAACAAATAGGCTAATTTTACGGTATTTGTGTTATCCTAAGATAAGAAAAAGGTGGTTAAAAAAAACCCCAGTTATATTAATTTCTTATATCTTCCAATATATATTTTCTGAAATACAGTTGGTTTAGAGTTGATGAATAAAAGGATTCTTTTGCCAGCAACCAGCTTTTAATGATAACACTATATATGACATTATCTACTTTTAAATATTTCAAAATAAGTCAAAATTTGCTCAGGTTTAAAAAGCTCGGTTTTACTCTTCATAAATTTCTCAGGTGAAGAAATTCATAAATCATCACAGCAAATTTGACATAACTGATATATGAAGATTAAAACCTACAAGTACTCGGTAAACTCCACTATTATTGACCTCTGCATAGGCTAATACATGAAACTTTCAGAGTATCATACTTATAACATTTTCAGTTTACATGACTAACAGAAACTTGTATAACTCTTATTAAGCAAGCATACTTCTAATGGATCCACATCATGGGCAATGACCACCAATTGTGCTTTCTTCTGTTCCACTAGACATGTGATGTTGTTGACTCCTGACCTCACTACAGGGGGACGCTTTGTTGGTACATCATCACCACCACTGGCACGCTGTTCTGCACGAGCCTTCAGTCTAGCCTTCCTTGCCTGTTTGGATTCAGGCTTATATTTGTCCATCAGACGGAAAACTTGTGTTGCTGATGGGAGAGAATAAAAATTTTCCTGATGAATTAATCTAACTGAATATTTAATAAATATCTCTATTTCCAAATTGGGAGTTTGCTCAGATTTAAAAAGCTCGTTTGTGATGTGATCTTCATAATTTGGTCAGGTGAAGAAATTCACACATCATTGCAAACTCCATTAATACAAAAATCTTATATTTAAACTTATTTTCTTTCAAAATTTTAACACAGATTAAGAATTATCCTTTGTCCATTTCAGATTAGGGGCAGACAAAATTAAAATTTATGATATAACTATACACAAAATAAAGATGTAAAATTGCACACTGAACCCAAAAATAACCCCAAATGAAATTTTAAAAAAAGGTCTATTTAATTCTCATGTTCAAAGATCTCCTGGCCTTGCGGGAAATTGATGCAATATCGAGTTTCCATGGACTTGTATTTGGGACATCCTCATAAACCTAGATTCAGGTAACGATGCTCAGATAATTATGATCTGACTTCACAATTTGTTCAGAATCCGGTAAATAAGTCATCACAGCATTCATTACACTCACAGGAATGTTTAAAGTAATGGAAATGAATGATGTTTTAAAACTATTAAGGTCAAGCGAGATTAATTTTTACTACATTCAAGAAGGAACTTTAAGTCTGCATCTTATTTGCTCAGAGATCTAGGTGGTAGATTTGCTTACAGCATTACAAATCAGATACAAAATCTTTCTCTCATCATTGCATTTCATTTAGATTGGCAGAGTACCATGGGTAGTAAATCAAATTCCTTGCCTGGCAGACAGTCTACTAAAAAAGTATCCCTACAGGCGGTATCTGGCAGACAGTCTACTAAAAAAGTATCCCTACAAGCGGTACATAAAATATAGAATGGTTGACAATGTTTATGATCATCTGCAATTTTACATCAGTTAATACCTGAATGATAATGTTGTCATAACATTTGAATCATTTCCCTATCTGCTTGATTTGTTGGTAGAAATTTCAATTTTTTTCTACCATTGTACAAATTTTTCAGAACTGAAAGCTGGAAGCTTGTTATCTTAACAATACTATTCACTGTAAAGTTTACACAAATGTGCATGAATATGTCTATTGATTCTGTTCATGAAAACATTTATCTAAATAATAATCAAACACAAATATCATTCAAGTCTTTGCAAACCAATACAAGTTAACAGCACAAATTTTTGCTCAGAGATCAAGGTGGTAGATTTGCTAACAGCATAGACTCATCAGACAGCAAAATCTTTCTCTCATCACTGCAAAAATCATGTTGTATACAGCTGGCTTAAGCTCTCATTTTTTCAGTAATTTTAACATAAATAATAAGGTTGATCAAACTTGGGTTTTATTGATTTATCTCCTGTCCCCAACCCCCTCCATATTAGCAATATAACATTTAGTGTTAATAGTAAATGCTTTCAAACAGTTTTTTTTTTAAAGATTATGACAGCAGTTCTATATGATCAAACACACCTGTCTTTCCATCTAGAGTCTGTTTGAACTGGTTAATTGGGGGTGGAACCTTCAGACGTTGCAGAAGTACAGCTTTTTGCCTCTGGAGACGAATGTACTTGGGCCACTTGACAAAACGGCTAAGGTCTCTTTTTGGCTGAATATCCTGACCTGTTAACAAAGAAAAAACATTTAAAGAAATTCTCTTTCACAAGGAATGGAACCTTGATAGAAGAAACATTTTTTGTGTCGCATGTCTACTTGGGATCAGATCAGAAAAGGCAGGCATCATGGAAACAGCACTATTGTGATTAACGACTAATGGTTTATCTCAAAATACAAGTTTACAACTTACAGACTTCTAATTTAGTTCATATATCAAAAAAAATTGAGCATCTATTACAGAAAGTAACTGCTCCAAACAAAGTTTTTAGACTTCTCTCTCCTTTCAAGAATAGATGCAAAAGCTCTTCTCCCCTTCAAAATTTAGCTCGGAGTCTTTATCATTAACTGCCTGAATTTATTGGTAATCATTGCTATGCATTATTTTCAACCGAAATGTTTACAGTTGGACAAATATAAACTTCCTTTTAAGTTCACTACCTTTCATCTTTTAGGACAATTTTTATAGCATCTTTAGAATCTCATAATTACCAATTCCAAAGTTCCTTGGTCGTTTCTCAATAAGGGGATTGACAACTTTCTTCTGTTCAACAGCCCTTTTGGCCATCAAAGGGGCCGCAGCCACCTTCTTCTTCCCCTTTTTTTTCATTGGCTGGAATTAAAATATACCATAATATTATACAGTTGTTCCAGTTAGGGCAAGTTCACAGGTATTAAATTTGGTGCAAGTCGAGGAACAGGAAGGGATGTAAAATATAGAGGAATACAAAAAAATTATACCTACAGTAGACTTGTCTGGAGTTAGCTTTTGTGTTTAATCACCGAGACATGGAGTCCCCTCATCAACATGTTACCAAACCTCATCTACCTATACCCTATTCACTCCTATTATGACTAGCCCGTTAAGTTTTCTATAACTTTTGATTTTAAAAAGATCAGTAATGAACTTTTTGGGAAAACTGGCTTATCAAAACAGCAAGTCTTGTAAACTCAAAACTTCTCTGGTATCGTGTTACAAAGAGATACATGCAGTACTTTTCAGGCATTGCTTAATTATTTTCATTCACTGTAGAAATGTTTGATCGGTATGCAATTTCACTATATCCGCCTAAACTGAAATTATATTCCTTGCAAATTTCTCTTATTTTACTTCATTAAAAGTGCAGATTAGCTATTGATGTTTTTAGTATTTTTTCAGCTTCAGAGAATTTACAACTTCGTGAACATATCAATATCCCTCGTCCGTTAAGTATGGCATTTCCTAGAGACCAGTGTAATAACTCGAAAAGTTCTCAATAAACGTTACATCAATAGGCAAAAATTCTAAACCAGGGTTGGGAAGATGGATTTTAACAAGTATTTAGTTATTCCATTTTCGGATGTTCGCATTACCATTTTTAAAAAAAATCGTCCAAAGGACAATTACCATAAACTAAAGGAAAGCAAGGTAAAGTCACATGTTGTATGTTGACACTGAACACGGTTAATATTCAACGTCAACAATGTGATATGTTCCTCAGTTCAAACATTTATTTAGCCTTAAACATCTCTTGACCGTTTTCATCAATACCACATCAAATAAAAAGGATATTTGTTTCTCATTTAATATGACATTGAAGTATAAAGTCTCAAGGATGTCGGCGATAACTCTACGATAATGGAACACTTCAATTCAAGAACCACTAACCATGATGGCTAACCCCGGAAAAGGGGGATTCTCGTTCCCACTTTCCGGATGTAGAATTCTGCCCGGATCAAGAAAACGCTTTAAGGTGATATCCAATTATGCAAACATTGTATTGACGCGGTCCCAGTGCGGCGGGCATTGCAACACAAAAGATCCGTAGGTAATCACCAAATGAAACATATAATGTTACGATATTCAGAGACGTATGACGCTTCTATTAAATATCCCTGAGATAACTCAGTTAGGACATATAAATGACTATATGTAGCATAAATGAAGTATGTTTGCATAAACATTTAAACTAGATAAGATCATTAAGTCCAGTGACACCTATTTCGACGGATTTATTAGAAATTGGTAAGGGATAACAGAGACGTCTCTTGGGATAAGAATAATCGGTTTATAAATAAAGGCGTCATATAACAAACTTTCCCCCATACACATTCAGACCAGTATCACTTTCACAAGACTATCAGCTACAGCAGATATTTCTTCGGATATATCAAAATCAAATCTGACCAAGGGCTGTTTTATGATCCTGTCTGGATTTACCCTTTGATTTAGACAAATCCACTCGTTCTATAAAGACATTCTATTTACATTAAGTTATATTGTTGAAAACCATTCATATAGATTGCTATGATGGTGTAAATTTATTATCTTATATCTTATTATTAGCAGCTATTGTTTTCATAAATTGAGTATTTATATTCTGCTTATGTTAAGCTAACCTATATTAAGTTATCATGTTTGATAAAAATCTTACATTTTTATAGGAAACCATGGTTACAATCAATTCCTGATATTTGACCTCTGCACTATGGCTAGCCAACGTGCCCTTCCACAGAGCAAAGAGGCCCTACTGAAGTCTTACAACAAGAAACTAAAAGATGATATCAAGTCAATGTTAGATAACTTTACAGAAATCATCAAGCTTGCAAGGGTAAGTAAGATACCCAAGAAAAAAATTCTGTTTTGTAATCTCAACACTGCTATGGTAACTGCGAGATAGAGATTCATTATTATACCAATTTGCCTGTTTTTTTTCAAGGGAGAAGAAGAATCTCAGGTGTCAAAGACAACACAGATAGAACAAGACCAGTATGAAATGCAGGTTCGCGGTTCTAACATTGTAAGTAGCATATGGTACATATACCAGTACATGAAATAAATATATAGGAAGGGAATTCAATATCCTGTGTGGTGATAAGTTGTGTGCATTGACGACAAATAGAGCATAATGTAAACTAAATATGGAACTAGTTGCCTTCTTTTTCAAAGAGATTTAAGTGTCTAAAATTTGCAGTTCCTGACATTTCTTATTTTGTGTGTTATGAATTTGGATTTTGTGGCATTGAAAACTTATATGGCATTGAAAGTTTGGGTGGTTTTAACATATTTGATTTTGTGACCTGGTTAGTCAATTTAGATAAAGAGAGTTTTTGTAAGGAAAATCTCTGAAGTAACAGAATTAATATTTTTAAACTTTGACCCTGGCCATTGCTGAAATTGATGTTTGATCTCATTGACACATTTAAGGAGAAAAACACACTGCTCAATGCTGGCCTATAAACTATCATTGCTATATGTAACCTGATTCTTTAGATAACATTGTTTGTATTTTACACAAGTATATTAGTGATATGTCATGAGACATGGTCATAAAAGCTTTCAACATAATATTTAACCAAATCTGTATTTTAAAATATTCCTAGGAACCTACTTGCCTAATGTTTTGACTTTCCTCAACCATAAAGATGTCATGGCAAGATCTGAGACTCTATTCATTACATCTTTCAGGTGATGAGAGTGACTAACATGTCTTGAAATTGTCACAGAATCACATGTAATCAATGGAAATCACATTGAAAAGTAAAGATATTTGGATTTTGTATTGCTTGCATTGAAACTCACAACAGAAAGACTATGGTCTTACTTTTCTATTGGTATATAATCTAGATTATTTTAATACCTAGTGGACACCTAAACACATCCCATCATTTACAAAATATCTTCCCGATTTACAGTTCAGCAATTGAGAACTATCAGAATTCTTAGAAGCTAGGCTTTGAAGTTTGAAGTTGAGTCTATCATCCTGTAAACAGCAACCTTCATTTTGAGGTGGGGTCTCTGTGTACTACATTATCCAATGGTTACCTTGCTGAACAGGCTATAGGTAAAGTGTCTTGTCTAAGGATATAGCCAAAAAGACCACACAAATAGGTCAGTTTCTCAGCTTCCTGAAACACAAACCACCACTGGTATGGAGCATACTTTTTCTGGAGAGGTTTATTAAACTTATAGATTACTTGTGCAATAGCAGAAAAATGCAAAGGCCTCACCAGAGTTTGAACCAGGACGCTCTGATGCTTTACAGAGGTCCAAACTTGGGACCCTTCCAACTCTAGAAATACATTCTACCAATTTAGCTTCCTCGTCACCAGTGAAAGCTAATATATAATCTTGATACTCAAATGACGTTGACTCCAGTACTTCAAAGTTATTTGGGTTGATTGTGAATCTTAAGCATACCATACAAGTTTTCGTCAACACTGAATGTGCCTAATTATTATACTACAAAAATAACCCAGAATAATATTTTCTGATAATTACCTATAAAATGTTATCTCTGCTTATGACAGGTGAGGGCTGGAGAATCCCTGATGAAACTGGTATCAGATTTGAAGCAGTTCCTCATCCTCAATGACTTTCCTTCTGTGAATGACTCTATTACGAAGAACAGTAAACTTTACAAGGATCTACAGAGTGAATGTGATGCTAAACTGTTAACACTCCGTGATGATATGGCTGTTGACTTGTTTGAGCTGGAGGACGAGTATTACTCATCAAGTTACAAGTGACCTCATGTTTATATATTTAATAGACTTTCAATGTCTGAAAATGTTTGTTGAAATATTTTTTTTCCCAAATGGTGCAATTTGTTGAGAATACAGGTAAGAATGTAAATTTATTGCCATGATTTCACTGCTCCTCCAAACCTGATGTATTGATCGATACTGATATTAACTTCTACAAATCAGAAGGATAAGCTATAAAGCAAATACAAGCATGACTCTACAATCCAGCTTTAATGCTATGATACTGAATGTTAACATTTTGCCATTGTTGTGGAAATATAAAGATAACTATTAGTGCTTTATTGAATTTTGCAATTGCAGCAAATTTGAAAATTATTTGCTGCAAGTGAAGACATGGAAAATAAATACGATTTTTATGGCTAAACTTTCTTTGTCAATGATGTGTGATCATTTACATAAGGTGCTGTTCATACAGCTAAACACCTGTCATATGTTAGTAGTTAGTCTTTATGGTAAAATCACGTTTGACTTCAATGATGGAGTGATTGACGTTCACATTGCCATAGAAACAGAAGCATGAGACACTTGATTTGAAAGTTATTAGACTGATTTATTCCATGGCATTGTACCCCATTCAATGTTTACATAGTGTCATAAGTTGTTCTAGCTTTTGAACAGGTCATAACTGACGTGTCCCCGACATGTTCTACAGCAAGCTAGCTTACTTGTTGCGGCCAAATTATTGACTGTAAATGGGACTCCATATGTGGTTTAAACGGAGATTATACATATCAATGGTAGTTCAGAATTTGTGAAAGTAAATTACACTAGTTGTAATAATGAAATGCATAAGTTAGTAGCCACAAAAGAAAGTAGGTTTACAATACAGAATATGAAGTTATGTTATTTTAACTACATAAGTTTAGAATCAACAGAATTAAGAAAATCCTCCGATTGGTGTGAAAAACAAGCGACTAATAACTTAGAATTCATATTACTCTGTCAGTGCAAGTTGTCGATGATGTTTGATGATATGTGAACCATTCCATTATTTGAATAAATTAAAATGTGACAACACGATCCACATTATGTACTGTATTTACAAAGTCTTAAAGTATATTAAAAAATATTAATTATGAAATAAAACCAGAAACAAAACAGATTGTCTCAAAATTATTATTTTCAAGATAAAGACACTATTTCACATGAACATAATTTATAAGTATTCTTCAACAATATGTTTAAAACTGTACATCCAATAATATTGTGACATAGCTATGTATAGGGAAGATTTCACAACTTAAATATAATAAAACAAAAATGTAGGTAGGTATAACCATGTTGATAATTCTAACAAGCACTTTTATTTTTAAGCAATCTGCTTGATATACCTGCAAATATTACAATTTTTCAGAACTCAAATATTACCTCCAGGAGATTGTTCTTGGACGGAATCACAGAAAACTGGAAATGCATAAGAACTTCTCAGAATCACAGAAAATTAGTAATAAATAAGTACTACTCAGAATCAAAGGTATCTGATAATTTAAAATTACCTTATTTCTTAAAATCCATAAATGGCAATAAGGCATAAATTAACATGTGAACTGCAAATAAATACAGACCTCCCTGAATACTACATAAAATAAAGTATACTGAGTTGTATAAGTATCAAGTTTGGCAACGTATAGAAGTATCAATGAAAACGTACATACTTAACTTCCACAGGTAAAATTTTTAAAATAGTGGTAAACTTCTAATTCCCTTCCATTAACTATAGGGATGTCTTAAACCTCACACTCTCCAGTCATATGAAGTGTGGTTTGATGTGATTCATGAAGTAGGAAGGCAGAGGATAATTATGCTTTCAAATTGCAGTATATTACAATTTACACAATTTTGGAGGGGTAACATTATATCTAGCTGTTATAGATAAAGAATGGTTTCATAAAGAAAAGGTCTGGACACATTTAAAACAAACTTTGAGAACTTTGGATGTTACTTTAAAATTCAGAGTGAAAATAATAAACAATAATCTTTCCACCTTAATCTTAACTTAACAACCATCATTTTTTTTAAATTAAATTAAAATTCATATTCCAGATGAACGGTACTTATATGTGATTCTATCACAGAACTGTGAACATTTATTGCACAGACAATTAATATTGTATCACAGTTGAATAAAGAGTATAAACTCCAATATAATGTTGAAATAGACAAAAGTTACATCCAACAGTGAAAAAACAAGTCACGGTAACTTTGTATAGAAAATACCTAGTATTCTTCATAATTAATTACAATTTGAGATGAGTAAAAATCAATAACGATATATTCTAATTTTGCACTACTTCTATACAGCATGAAGGCACCTGTCATAAAATTCTTGCTGTGTAAACCTCAGACTTTGTTGGAGTAATTTGGACATGGTTTATAGTGCATATTTTTCCTCTGTTAAAGATTTCTTCTAGGAACAATATACCAGGAACAATTATTTTTGTATTAAACAAAGGAAACAAAGATACTGATAGTGTATCATATGTATACAGTAAGTTTATCAATCAGCTTTTACCTCTGGTAGTATATCAAGCTAGATTGTATAATGTAGCTTCTATAAACAAAGTTTTTAGAATGGATTGTCACAATCTATTCTTGCATAACAATAATTATTCATCAGAAACATTGCCCTTGTCAATCTGTGGGGTTTTAGTTCATCAATGCTGAATGTCCCCAGTTACTGGATGTTCTGCCACCACCAATGTCCTGTTTATGTCAACATGTATAACTGTATATATCATATGTAGGCACACTGGGTACTTCCTAATTCCCAGTTGTTACAAGTCTTCACATGAAATAGGTTCCTAAGTGTTCCTCCATTACAATGACACAATTCAGACAGACATCTGTGTTTTTGAAGCCTTTTGCTGTATGGTGGTTTGTAAACGGGACAGAGCTTTCTCACACGGTGTCATGATGTCCTGACAATGAATAAAGTTAGAATTTAATATGACATTCCTATGATCCACAGTTACATTGAGTGTACAATATGTTATACAGTATTCTTAATATTACAAAATAAGTAATTCATAGTGTTCATAATGAACCAATTTAACATTTATACATTATATAAGATAAATATATATATTTATATATATTCAGAAAGCTTCTATTCATACAGTTTGAAATTCTTTGCTACCAAATCATTCCAAATCCAGGAAAAGTTTGTCACTGGTTATAGAAATAGCAAAATGATACAGGTACTGCAATGAATATAATTCATATTGTTGAATTTCTTGAAAATTCTTATTTTTTTTCCCCTTTTTGGTTTATTGATAAGTGCAGGTGCTATAATTGTCTGTTATTTCATTAGTTCAAATTCCAAAGATATCAAGATTAAGACTTCATATGTAAAAACAGATTCATCAAAGTAGAAATCTGAAATGTGAGAAGAATTGGTAAAATGTGTTAGGACTTTAAAACAAGCAAATGTGCAGGCAGGTGTTTATATACTTCTCTCTTACCACATTTTCTTTGAATCGTTTGAAAATTTCTGAGAGTACTTTGGGTCCCACATTCAAATGTCTCAATTCCGCCCTCACATCATCTGTTACCGCAACACAACACAGAAAACAAGCGTTATACATACAGGCCACACAAGAAAACACTTGTTAAGCTTTACATCATATTACTGATAAATTGATCAGGCTAACTATTTTAGGACACATTTTATTTCTCCAAGTCTAAAGGGTAAAAATTTAAAGGATAATTTGTCATTGAAAAGAATTTTTTTTGTTGTTTAAATTTTTTTAATACATTTTAGTGAAACCAGAAGGTAACTGGACAATTTTTTTTTCTTTTTTGTTTTTTAAATAATCAACATTTTCAGTCTGATGATGATAATATGATGTAAAACTTGTTGTACTGATAATTATGGTAAACTGGCATGAAGGAGCATGCATTTAGTCTGGCTCCACACAAAACAGTAAAAAAGAGGATGGGGTACACTGCGCAACATTATTGTCTGTTGGTAATGATATACATGTACCATTATGTACATGGTTTATCCACTGTTTTCAGTATGTACATGGTTTATCCACTGTGTTCAGTATAAACATTGTTTTTTCTATCTATGATCTGTTTCCTGTTGAACTTGTGTCTTAATATGGTGTTGTGAATGTACATAGCCAACAGGTATATTGTTTCTTTTTTAAAAAATACTGATTTTTCTACGAAGTACAGAACATACTATATATATATATATATACACACACACCAGACAATGTAAGCTAGCCAACTGGACTTAATCAACCATTGCATGTTACAATTACACACTACATACAGATTAAATCACACGTTCCATACATTGTACAATCTGCAAAACTTTTAATACATAAAAAGATAGTACATCCAAAATTTGTGTCATTGAACAAATCTTTCCTTTTTGCTGTCAACAAATTAATTATGAAGTAACATAGGCTGGACAATTTCACAGTTACATTTGTTACATGGTTTTCAACAGTCATTTTCTATACAAAATTCTGTTCATAACATAACAAGTTTAATAATTGACCTGATATTGGGAAATGTAAACTCATTCTATGTGTTCTTTACCCTGTATGTCAGTGTCATTTGGAAATTTGGAACAAACTTTCTTTGGCTCAACAACCTATATAACTCCAGACATTGCAATTTTTAAAAGAAGCTATTTAAAATAATGTCTCTTAGCTTATGCATAGATGAAATTAATACACATTTGTTAAAACACAGAAATTACAACTCCTGGCTAGCAATGATATAATGGGATAAGAATATATAATTATCCTTGGTAGCCAAAAATACATATTAATACATAATCATATTTATTTATTCTTATTCCATATAATAATAATGTTGTTGCTTTCCCCTGTTATATAGGGGTCATGGTGGTATTTAAAAGCAGTTAAAAGAAAAGACTGATCCTGTTCCATGTTAATCAATGGTACATTGAGCACATCAAGCTAAAACCAGTCAAGATTATTTTTTTGTTTTTAACACAAATGTAGAATGTAACATTAATAGACAAAAGGCAACAAGCTGTAAACGACCATTCCTAAAGCTCAGCATCACAACAGTGGTCTCCACACTGCACATGGCCAACATGCAACTATCATTATGTTGCCAAGGCCTCTCACCTCATTTCTTGCAAACTTTTGCCGTATTTCATACAGGTTATTCTGAATCTTAAAGCTGACTAAGTCGTAGCAAATTTCATCTAGAATGAAGATTTGTAGCCATATAAATACTAGTAAATGGGAATATGGAATAGATACTTTAGGATTGGCACAAAGTTCAGTGGGATGTGTAGAATTTAGTCAGAATTTCTAAGTAACCGGTGTTAAAATGTATTCATCTAATGTCACTTGGTATCCAAATATTGATAGTTAAAACTTAGACTTCCAAATTAAAAAAAAAAAAAAATAAAATAAAAAAAAGAAATCTGGGAGAAATGAAAACTCCAAATAATTGAAAATTCTTATTTATTTTCCTCTCCCATATTGCGAGGAAATTTTTTTCAAAGTTTCTAATAACTCAAAGAATCCAATGACCTATTTTTCCCTCACAGTATTTACAGTTTCACTACTATTTTTTGATGTGAAATCCCCCATATTTACTGCAATGACATCTACTTATCCAAAGGTTTGAACTTCCTTAAAAGTTTGATCCTGTGTTTTCATACAGAATTGGGTAGTACAGATAAATATATATATGATAGGGTTTGTGAATTAAATGAAAACAATTATTTTTTCAAAATTAATCTAGAATGGTTTTATTACTGGTAACCAAACATGACTGTTTTTTCTAAACAATAATTTAGAAACAGAATTACTCCTTATCTTGTCAATTAGGACAGAGAAAAATTCTAATTGTAACAACAATGAACCAGTTTCTATTAGTGTCTATGGACACTCATGATTTATGATGCATAGACATTGAACAAATGGATAAATGTATTTTCTAGATTTATATTTTTTGGCAATATGTGCACTACCTAAAACATACTAATATAGTAACTTTACCAGAGGCCTTAGTTTCAATTGTCATCAATCCACCATCTACATCAATCAAGACAGTATACCTTGATTATACACATGTACACATGTACAGACAAAAAACCTACCGGTAGTTGTCTTGTTCTCAAAAGAATTCAATTTTCACTACAGTATTTAAATTAAAAAAAGAAATTAAGATAATCAATACAGGCTATATTTCATGAAGTAAAAACCAATTTATAGTCAAAAATGAAAATTAAATGACACTTTTCCAAATTATACTTCACCATCTTAACTTCATACCTATCAATAGTTGATTTCAATTAATAAACATGTATATCTACTATGTTTGTGTACTTGTGTAAATGGATAATGTATGCTGTTAAGTTGGACTGTGTGTTATGTTTCAAGTTTGTTGGTTGGCCAGGAAAAATACAGGAAATGACATAATGTGCCCAAACTCTATCTTAAAAGTACATGTGTTTGGTATTTATCTCATGTATCTAACACTCACCATACTCAGCAAGTTCCATAAGCAGTGTTGCTATACTTTCTACTACCTCAGCATTGTCTTTGTGGAGTTCGTATGCACTCATGACCTTGGGTATACCTGTTATATGACCTCCACCTGAAGCCTCATTGGCTAGTACCCTATATGCACTTTCCTCTGTAAAGAGATTTTACAATGAGTAGGTTGATGTGAAATACTGGTAAGTAATTATCATTAACGGCTTAACCTTATCATAGGGTAAACAAAGAATTAAGCTTACATTTGTAGACCTCTACAAACCAAACATAAATTATACTTATGTAATTTTATCAATTTTAGATTGTAGAGATTATTGTATAGTTTTAACATTAATTTTTTTTATATCAACAGCACAAAACCAGAATGTCTACTGCTCTGACAACAACTCACCATCAGGTTCTACCAGGCTGGCCAAGGCCATACAGGCATTCTTGACAACCTTAGGGTTCTCAGTATGTTTGTCTATAGCACTGATAAGGAGGCCAACGCAGTCAAGGTCACCAACATACACTAAATTTTCATCTGTAAAACATGGTCACGATCACATTATTCTCATGTATAGACACATTAACAACTGTTTTGTATAGTGAAGCTCACACATATCCCTGGTACTTGTGTGACATGCAGAAAAACCACATATAATCAACATATTCTATAATACAATATGTATCCATACATGTTCACATAGTTTATTGTTGCTTACATCCTACTGACCTTGCAGGTACAGGACGTAAAACAACGATAATCAGAACCACTTGACTGTACTGACCATTTAGTGTTGTGGACATCAACGCAGCACAAGCAGCCTCAGCCACATCAGGAGAATTCATGTGTGTTTTCAGGGCATCACATACCAAACCAAGTCCCTTCTCTGCTGTCACAATCTTTACATTGTTCTCTGTCAAATAAGATATATAATTTTAACTTTCATTTGGTCTTCAAGCAGGATTCAACAGAATCATGGGTTTAGATAGGAATTCCTGTCCAGTTATTTACATTATCCTGTATTTACATTTTTACATTAATTCACTGGCTTGTAGTGCCTTAACACTTTCCTTCCATTTGTTGGTATCACAAGAAAGTAGTATGTCATGCTGTTATTTTGGTAAAAGTCTGTTTTTAAACAGTAATAGTTTCATAGTATTTGTGTTGTGCTGTTATCAGCATTAATAGTAAATCAATTTTATTGTTTTGTGTTATTATCAGGGTAAACCGTGTATGTATCAACTTAAATGTGTCATGCTATCAATAAGCCTTAATGATTTAGATAAACAATGTATTACAAATTGTTTTGTGCTATTATCAGGGTAAATCGTGTATGTATCAACTTAAATGTGTCATGCTATCAATAAGCCTTAATGATTTAGATAAACAATGTATTACAAGTTGTTTTATGCTATTATCAGGGTAAATCGTGTATGTATCAACTTAAATGTGTCATGCTATCAATAAGCATTAATGATCTAGATAAACAATGTATTACAAGTTTTAAAGGGATGTGCTGTTATCAGGTTAAACAGTGTATGTCCAAGATTTATAGTGTCATGCTTTTATCGGGAAAAAAAGAATTTGAACAACATAGCATCACCCACCATTGACAGAAAGACTCCACAGAGCATGGCAGCATGTGGCACAGAGCTCTGGGTTATTAGGGAATTTCTTCAGCGCCTCAAGAATGTGGTTAACACCACCAAGAAAACCAATAGCCTCCGCTGCCTCACCTGCAATGAGAACAACTTGTAAGTAGACTTCCTTCAGTTTCTTGTCATGTTGTCAATATATTTGATTATTTAGTAATCTTACAAATTGGCTTTTGACAAGGACTAAAAAGTGTCAGTACAGAAATGATAACCATGACAATTTGATTAACTGTATAACTATGAACACTCAATTATTGTACAGCAAATATAGATATAGGTGATAAAAAGTGTCAGTACAGAAATGATAACCATGACAATTTGATTAACTGTATAACTATGAACACTCAATTATTGTACAGCAAATATAGATATAGGTGATTACATACTGTTGCAGGCTAGAGCCATCAAGGATGCTGCAGCTACCTGCTGGACTTCAGCACTAGAACTGTGTTCCTGAAAGACAAGTATATCCATTGAAACTTGATCTCTCACCAGGATGGCCGACTAATAACCCCTCCCAAATCAACAAGTTTCTCAAGGGTTGTCCCGAAAAGATTTCTCCAAGAGGCTAACATTTGAACTCCATGGCAACAATTTTTTATTTCCAAAATGGTATCATTATATTTGTCATCCCTCTTAACTTTTTTATACCAATTTTCAACTTTACCAGATAATATCTTAATTTGGACCAATCACTAGCCTTTATCATATTTCAATTGTAATAATTGTGGAAACACCTGATTTGTCACACTACAGGCATTAATAAGTTACACCACTTGACCAAGTTTCAATAAAATTGATCAAAGGATTGATGAATTACTGTCATTACATAAAAACCTGTTTATAGTGACCTGGTTACAGAGGCAACCAAACTTTTTGCTTAAAAAAACTGCGTGCACATCTTCACATGGTCCCTAACATTCCTGTATAGTTTCACTGAATCTCTTAACAGCTGTAGGTGGAGTTGTTCGGACAAATTTTTCAATAAAAGTCCTATGTATATTGATCCAGTTACCATGGCAACCCAAATGTCTGGAGGTGTTAAAATAATGTGCACCATTAGAATGTCCTCAAATATATATGGGTATGTATCAAGGCATGTCATGAATAAATTGTAGTATGGAAAATCTAGTTACTCAAAAAGGTACCTGCATAGAGAAATTGGCCATTACAAGCAGAGGGATATAAAAGACATACACATACAAAATAATGAAAAGACACAGAGGAAGACAAACCTTTAGTATCATATAGCAGTCATATTTTAATATAAACATCATGTAAAGCTTTCTAATATAATGTACAATCCTGATCCAATTCCTTGTAGTAGCTTCAATAATGGACCAGTAAACTTTATACACTTAGCAAACATTTAAACAGGTTTACATAAAAAAGTTACTTGTATATGTGTTTTAGACTAGTTGTTATCTATAACCTTGGAATCAAACAGAAAAGAAAGTCATACAGTTTGTCTCACCTCCATAGCTCGTGGGAATATACTGATTACGTCTGAGGAGAATATGGCATCATTTGGCTTGTCTGAAACCACAAAGGTACATACATACAGTCCAGGTCTGCTGGGAAATTTATTGTACTTGTCAGCAGATAATGATCATTATTATTTTGATGCAAAATACTTAAACAATAATTTTTTATGATTTCTGTCCTGTTATCGTCACATTTGAATTCCCATCAGAACCTCCAAATCATTTTGCAGTTGTATGCCATCAGTACCATCATATATCTATTACAAAACAATCAGTACCATCATATATCTATTACAAAACAATCAGTACCATCATATATCTATTACAAAACAATCTTGTCTTAAAAAGTTTCAAAAACTCTGTTTATTTTGATAAAACTATCATGTAATGCATAATGCAAATTTGCTGTATTTTTTCTCTAAGATTTAAAGTGCAAAATGTAAATCTGTAAAACATTGTAAAAATTAAATTTGAATCACACAGATTTGTACAATTTTGCTTTAAATTTTGTTGACTATTGAAAAGCAGTTTTTTATAATTAACTAGTAATTGCTTGAAAAGCTGATAAAATTTTGCTATGGTGTTAATGAATTTTTTAGAAAAATATTTCTTATAATGCCCTCAACCACAATATGATAGTAGTTATTTTGAAATTCTGTAAATCATGTGATGTCTCATCCCAATTAAGACCAACCAAGTAACAAGTGTATAATATACTAGAAATTTACTCATAAATAGAATTAATTTCAAACAATAGCTATAAATATGTCATGTATCTCATTCAATTTTCTCTGGGTTCAATGGACTTTATACAAGTCATCCTAAGTATTCCCTTGTTTGTATTTATTGCAAGATACATTTCTTGTACAAAATTGTATGACGGTCACAAGTGAAAAATATCTATCAAAGCAGATCTATTTATGATACATGACTGAAGATATATCCACACATTTATGGAAGGTTGGACCCAACAATCTGTTTAAAACACATTTTACTTCTGAAGGTAAAGGATCACAGTATAGAGTCACTGTGACCTATTTACAAAGTAATACTGTGAAAGATGTACCTACAGAGAAATTTTGACAATTCTAAATGAAATAATAAAGTGATATGCCCAGAAACAAAGGCAAAAGTAAGAACACAAATATTGCAGCAACCTTGTTCTAGCAACACAACAATATTTCAAGATGTAATTAGGAAATGGAATTTGAAATTTTATCTGACATAGATATACTTAACCACTAAACAGTCTTCAGAATGTACTGTAATTTGTCAATATGAATGCAATATCTGGGTGACATAAATAACAAGGCATTTCTGATATTGTTCTGATATATCATCCTGTGTATTTCATTCAGCTATCAAGTTTTTTTTACCTCTATTTTGTTTATTTACTAAAAGAGCTTCATTAAAGTAATAATCGTTTCAATGATGAAAAAGATAAAAAATAGAAACGCAGAAAAAAAAGGATGAGATGTGGTACTTGGGAGTGAACATATATATAGGGTGCAATATAATCAACTAGATGGAAGTGCTTTTTATTGCTAAAGAATGAAAAAAGAAAATTCATGTGTTCATGGCCTTATACTGACCAAGTCAGAGTGACATCTATAGAACATCTATGAACAGCAGAATAGTCATGGCATACTACATTGCATTCACTCATTCATTCAATGAACTACTGAACCAACTTCTACAAAAAACAAGGACACTGTTATTCCTATCACTTGCTAGAGAAATATAAAAAAAATATTTGAATTCATGAGGAAATGTTTAAATACCTTACAAGGGAAAAAAATATCCCATTGGATTTTAGCCCTAAAAATCCTATGATCATTGTTGAATCCATGTAACATGTAAGTTTGATCTTTTCACTTCTTTCTTCTTCATGTACAGTTGAAATGTCAGTCATGTCAATAATAATAAGGGAATGATGGTTAGACGTCCTAAAACCATTTTTGAATATATTTGAAATTGGCCATTCTAAGTAAAATATTTTCCTGAATTTCACAATTGAACATGCTCAAAATTAAATGTGCACAACTAGGGACCAAGGGAAAACTATGTATAAAATAAGAGAAAGATCTCTCAAGCATTCTCTGATAAACTGTGATAGCAATCTGCAATTCAAGATGGCTGCCTATCAGCAATCAGCAAAAGCATCATGTACAACTACGACCAAAATGAATGTACATTAAAAATATCAAATAGAGCTAACAACTTAGTTCTAGTATCAAAATCAAATATTCTGAACGATCTCAAATTTTCTTAAAAATAAACACATGTCAAATAATGATTTAAAAAAACTATAAGAGCATTGAAATAAAAGAAGACTATTGATTTTTCTAGGAGAATGTCTAATCAGTGAGCCAGAGTAGAGTATACCATTTATCTACATCACAGCAATTAATGACAGCCATAGCAAAATGCATTTACAATGTAGTTAAGTATCAAAAACTCTTAACAAAATAATCAAAAATACAAAACAACAGGTGTATATTAAGTTTAAATTAATTCAAAAAGCAACCTAAGTTTAAATTGCCAAACAATAAAGCCCATCACATCATAAAATTTCACAGAATAAAAACTATAAGTTTTAAGCATATCATCATAACCCAAAATATTATGGATGCATGATCTACTTAGTAAGATTCAGTTGATAAACTTATTCAAAAACATTAGTTTTTATTTCGATGCCAGCATGATCACACAGCATTAGCTCATGATTACTCAAAACTGGTGAATAAAACATAGCACAGAAGCCTTAGTATTATATATATGTTGTTTTCTAGAGGTGATGAACAGCTTATTTGTAAGAAAATAAATTGTAGTTTTCAATGGTATACATAACTCTGAACCACTACAGTATTCTGTTGGGTTTCAAAAAAATGAAGTAAAATGTTTACAAGAATATCCATGCGCTCCAGTTAGTAAGGTATGAGGTTTATGTAGGATGAGAGAATATTATCTATATCATATCTACATTCCAAGACTGGGTGAGACTTACCACGTACATTAACCTTTCTCTTAACTTCATGACGAGTGATAAAAATGTCTGTCAAAATCAATATTACCTTTTTCTGTATAAAAATTTCAAAACCAACACAGAAATTATGATCAAAGTAAGGAAGCTTCTTATTTCAATGCCTGTATAGAGTCCTCCTAATTCTGATACTGACAATTCAGACATTTGACTTGAACCATTAAGTACCCATCAGAAGGACGCAGTCATTTACATGTACATTTTCATTTCATCTGACTCTTATTAACAACTTAAGCACTGCTATACATAAGGAATGAACTTGGAAATTAAATTCCACTCATATATTTCTTCTTTTCTTTTATTCTCTATACATGTACGCAACTTAGTTGGATATGTTTAAAAATGTATCAGATTGATGTCACTGCTGTAATGACACTGAATGATTGAATAAATAGAATATATATTAATGATGACCTATGGCCATAACAGATGTAATTGGTATAACTTATTTGTGATATTCTAATCTCAAAAATACAAGGTCCAAGTGCGAAACAATGAGGTTGAATTATTGTACAAAGAAAATTTATATTTAAGAAACACAATGTCCAGACTGATGAATTTTGTCTCTAAAGGAAAAAAACACACAGTCCAGATTACTGAGGTTCCACTGTACACAGAAAATACACTGTCTACAACGACCCACTAATAAGTATAACAACTAGAGTAAACAGAGAGCTCAATGTTCAAAACTATGTTCAAATTAATGAGATTCCACAATAAGAATATCATCTACTAAGTTTCCTCTCTGTACCTACCTGAGCTTCCAGTCACAAGCAAGCGGTTGAATATACTACATCCTGTGATCTGGATATTTTCATTTTGTAGATTGTTTCTCATGGCCACACTAATAAGTCGCTTGCCACTAGCATCTATCTGGAATGTCTCTGACTCCTTACACATTTCAAGTATTAGTGTGAGAGATTCCAGCACCTGTTCCTCGTAGTCTATATAGGTGGCAAGGTGTTCTAGGATTCGAATCAGACCTCCATCCTTTGGTACTGTACCTATAATACAACAAAGCACATGACATCATTATATATAAAACCAATATAAACATACACTGTTAAACTTTATGTATTTGATAAAGACATCTACAGGTCTTACGTCTGTCTTTACGGGCTGACTTTTGTCGTTTCCTCTTCTCAAGCTGTGAGGCATCTGTCATTTCTACACAAGCCTTCACATATGCATTGTTCTTCTTCAGGTCTCTGTAAAATTAATATAACACAAATTACTCCAATAATCAATTCTGGAGTAATCAACTCAATCCTAATGAACTACAGAAATAAGGAAACTTTACTTTTTCACCACTACAAATTAAAAAGTAGTGTCAGTTTAAGAAAAGCATATTCTGTTGCTTCTATTCCAGCAAAAGGGACTCATAATTATTCACTCATTGCCTTAGCATAAGCTCACCAGTCCTGCGGACCACATGAGCTAAAAACTGTACTGTATCTTACTTTGCCAGTATCTTATTTATCTTTATACAGATCTGTAAATTGATTCTTACAAAGCAGAAGGCCTGTCTTTCCTCTTCAACATTAGACGAATTAAGCTGATCAGTTCTCCAGAGTAATGCTGAAAAATCAAGACAAAGTATTATACAGAAGGGATTTCATCTCTGTGTTATTAGTTTGAATTAGTGCTTAGAAGGTCTTAAAAACCTGTGAAAATCATAGTAGATTGTGTACTGTCTCTTCATACCAACAAATTCAAAATGGATGTACTGAAGCACATTAACTGCAAATTTCAAATTATCACTAGGAATTCAATCTCTAAGGACAGAATAATACTTTCAGGCCAAAGTGTCCTGAATGTATTCATTTCTACATCAGCCATTGAATGTATACACACAAGTTCTTATGGGATAGGATATCCTCCATTGTCATTGTTAAGAGGCAGAGTGGCATCCAGATACATATTTATACGTATTTATACGAACACAGGATAGAATCTTATAAAACATATATGAATTCAATTTCTTTGGCTCTAACCATCAGCCAGGCCCTTGAAAGGGTGTATCAACTCCCTAGCAGAGACAGGGTTGGCAGCCCATACTTGTGTATTATTTCAAATCAAAACTTGAAAATGTTTATTATTTAACCATGTTATATGTCCCACATATAATTCAAGAAGAGAAACCACTAAAAGCTTTAAGGTTAAATCCTCCCGTTTTGTTTCTACCATTCTAGATATTTTGAAATGCCACTAAGTTATGTTTTTCAGTCTATTACAGACATTTTGTTAATGCTGTTTTTACACATATTTGCAAACAATGTCAAAAACAACATTTCAAGGCACCCCCTTCCCCGACCCCTTTTTTGTAATTATTCGTGACTTTGAGAACATATGGCCATATTGTGTTACCATTGGAAGAGCAGAGACAATTACAAAGACAAAGCCTATTATAGAGGTTAAGTGGGAAAGTGCAACATCTGTTAGGTAATATCTGAATACCTCAAGGTTCAAATCTTTCTAACACATCACTTTTCTAGTAAAGACACAGCTAAACACCATTCAATTAAATGTACTGGTAGTTCTGACACTTACATTAGCCACCTCCTCAAACACCTCCTCCATCACATAAGGGTCCTCTTTTGCCTCCTTCATCTTTTCTGTAACATCTTTCTCATCATATAAAGTTGATGTTGTAAGCTCAAACAGTATACAGCCAAGTGACCAGATGTCAGTGACAGGACTGAAGCCTGTCTTCTCAATCTCTGGAGCCAAGTAATTGGCACTACCTGAAAGTCAAAAGTAAGTCAATTAGTAAGCTAATTATCCTACCTCCTATTTTGATAGAAATGGTGCTCAACAAAATGGAACCAGTGTCAAAAATACTACAATTCCTTATGTTTAAAGATACTGGTGTAAAATTTCTCAAGACTTCTGCTAATAGAGTAATGAAATTAAATTCAACTTTATATGATCACACAAATTATTTTCCACAGGCACCAATTAAAACAAGATACATGTCCAATGTTCTATCAGAAGGTACTCACTGAGACTAGCCCTGGTGCAGGTCTGAGTGTCTCCCATCACTGTAGCTACAGAGAAATCTCCCAGCTTTAAACTTCCCTCCTCTTGTAGGTAAAGGTTATTAGGTCGTAAATCTCTGTGAAAGTATATATAATAGATAAATATAAATCAACAACTTGACAGCTGAAAGAATGGCTATTTAATGCTAATACTTTTAAAATAAGCATTCTCTTTAAAAAGTATTTTTCAGGACTTTCAGGGGCTATTGATGTACACCATTCCTCATTTAAATTATTTCATATTAAAGTCAAAATTCCAAACTTTGCAATATACTCTTGCAAATTTCCTTCCAAATTCAAAATTTTCATCCCAGAATGAGGCATAAATGCAACATCACAGACAGCTAAATAAAGTCCTGGTCTTTGAAAAAATGTACTATATCTTCACTATAAATATAATAGAATCCAAAGTGACATTTTCTTGCAGGAGAGACCTCCACAATTAAAATGGATCCAATGTATTGTGACATAAAAACCCTCTGTTCATACTCTTATTACTACTTAGTATATGTACTGTCAAACAATATTAGCAGTAATGTATATAAGCTTCAATAGTTCCAACTCTGCAATCCTACTTTGTCAATCTAATTTTGACAGTCAATCATTATATCAAATGTTCAAAAGTTCAAGGCCATAAAAATCCATCCTCAATACGCTAGGGGTTACAATCACTCTATATGTGAGCTAGCATTCAATCTAATTAATATTCTACAGGTTCAACATTTGTGAAATATACTCTTTTTGATTTTAAGTTTTTAGGTTGTGGTTGTAGATTTATATGGAAAACATTTCACAATATCATTTGCTTAAACTTGTATCCATGATATCGAGTTGCATGCATTTAAAGTGAAGTCAATAATAAAAGTAAAGTGTGTCACTGCTAAAAACTATGCATTCAAACACTATATAACTCTGTGTGTGAAATCAAACTACTGGATGCAATCGATATTTTATACTGTTGTGTCAACTTTAGAGTTTTGCTGCTCTCAAGTGTTACTGACTTACCTGTGAATGATTCCTCGCTGATGAACATGCACCAAGCCTTCAATCACCTGACCAACCCAATTTTTGATAGTCTGAAACAATTCACATATTAAGTAAACAACTGAACAAAACAATCTAAAAAATTACTTTCCATGATCAGATGTCAGAGTAATTCATTGATTTTATTAAGTATAAAAATTAAGATGTGCCTTAAATCAATCTTTAAAGAAATAACAGTCATCATCTATATTACCTCCTCTGGAATGATTTCCTTGCTCTCCCAGTGTTTTTGCATGATGGTGCCAAGCGTACCAAGAGGAAAGTAATCCATAACTATCGCCATGAAAACTGAAGAATTCTAAAACAAAAAGTATGCAGAGGTAACAGAATTATTCTGCCATTCTTTGAATACCATAAACCATTTTTGTTTTGCAAATACATGTACTTAATTTCACGATTTTACCTATTCTAACATACCAGCAAATACATAATTTTGAAAAAGCTGATCTTGAAATGACTTTATCTTTGCAAATGATGAGCTATTAGAGACTTTGACTCTACAAGATTCCACTGTCAGTAACAGAATAAACACAGATCTCATCAACAATTGTTACTTTCATACAAAGAATTGGAATTTGTTATTGACATGGTATAAATCCAACACAAAATATAAGTGATTTAAAGTAATATTACTTGGTCAGTTCGATTAGAAAATAAAAGTTGCCTGAAAGTATATTTAAACTATATAAAAAAAAGTTGCCTAAAAGTATATTTAAACTGATACATAAATATATCTTAAAGTTTGTATGTATAGATTTAGCTTGAATGTTGACGTTTCAACATTGGAAATTAATTATGAATTTAAAAAGACATTACAGTAAAAACATTCATTAGAAATTAAAGGGAGATGTTGTTGACACTCCCAATTATGTCTAGATGATATCACTATCAATGGTTGTTACCTCTTTCTCCCACATGACGAAGAACTCATTGTATCCAGAGACATAGGGGTGTTCTAAACTCAGCAGGTCCTGAGCCTAATAAGAAAACTGGTTATCAGTACAACAGTCCCTTTTACAATATGGACATCTAAAGAAAAAATCTCTTACTGTGCTGGCTTCATATACACATATTTATATATTAGTTCAAATTTCATCTGGATGAATGCCTGGTAAATACAGGTTTCAAGGTTTTTCTTGATATCTGAACTTGAATTACTAGGAATCAAAATGAATTTGCATTAAATACGCTTGGAATAACAATAAAAAGATAACAATACATAAATCACTCTTTCTGAATACAAAGACAGTAAAATGCCATTACCGTATCTGTAATATAATATGCAGTATGCCAATGAATTGTATCATAGGTATAATTGTACTTACATACAAATTAACATAGAAAACAAACTATTACCTAAAAAACACATATGTAAAATATTACCTCTCTGAACGCCTTATTAGCTTCACTCTCATCAAAGCATTCCACCTGCAAGTATTCATAATAGTACATTTACACACAATTATGGAGAAAAAATCGAATTGTTCTGTTTGGATTGTAAAAATAAGAAAAAATGCTCTACAAACTTATATACTGGTAGCAAATCAATGCCTTTGTAAAGCATACAAATGTATCCTGCACTTTTCACTTGGTCCATCCAATCTTTTCGACTGTTTTACAGAACAATTCATAAATCATTCCAGGACATCTTCAGTATATTACGTTAAGATTAAATACCAAACAATTGATTTTCGCCACATTGCCTCGTCTGTCAATACATTGGGCATAGAATGGGTGCATTGACAGATGACACTGGTACCTATGCAGCTGAATAAATGCATCTTCTCACGTTGGAGTTAAAAATTATGTACCGCGTGCTTACCCAAGCGTGTCAACTTGATAATAACGTATTATTGTAATTACCTATATCTACGGGTGTTGAAGTAGCCCTAAGCTTACAAACCACAATATGAAAACAAAATGTTGTTAAAATTTCGTGTATTTCAATAACGTTTCTAAAATTTGACTTAAACGAGTTTTCTTGGCTTCGTAGACAATGTTTACCTTTTTGAGGACACACGATTTACCAGTATCGCACTTTTCGGCGAGGTAAATTGTTGCCTGGGCACTTTGACCCAGCTGTCGAACAATCTGAAAATAACCAAAGAAATTATTTATTGTCTGTTAAGGACTTTTGAGAGTCAACTATGGTTAATTCTATCAGAACTGAAAGAAATTACTTATTGGTATGTACAGGATGCGAGACACCATACCTTGTAGTTCTCCATGTTCTTGACAACATGAAGCTTTTACAGTGCGCATGCGTGTTGTCTGAACACGTCAGAGCGCGCCAAAACTTCATAAATGCAGTACCTAACCAATATTTGTGTAGTACTACCAGGGACGTATTATACTACCAACACACTTTCTGCTCAATGTGGAAACACATTATAAGTCGAGTGCTAATTATGCAATGTTTTCACAAAATACACAAAATCTTTCATGGCGTGACATGATGAAATATTAAACCACATTTGTTGGTCTGAAAAATATTATAGGATTAATATTGGTTAACACCATAAACTTGATGATCTTCTTGCCATTTAAAACTTGCAACATACTATGTATAAATTTCTATGATAATATCTGTTTATTTTTTTAAAATATATAGCTTTTTTTAACCCAAGGACATAAAACAACTCATTTCATATCTCATACTAATTAATGATCATATATCAACTCGCTCCCACGTAGACAGAGACTTTTTCGTCATGTATATTATAAATGCAATGCGGACAGGGAATTATTGTTCTTATGTTTATTGTTTGGCACAATATTTTAACACTGTCATATATATGAAAACAAAAAAAAAACAGAGTTTCGGTTTGGCATCTTGCCGAGTTGAACGTCGAACTCCTTCGTATGAGAATATACCAATCGTGATTTATGTAAAATTAAACGTATCTTAAATGCATGTATCTTTGTAAATTATGTCTCTTTATAAGTTTGAGTAGCCGAACCGTACTGGCAGGTATTGAATAGTTTTAGTACGACTCGCTCATGTTTAAGCGCCTGCAAGACGCAGATCTACTTTCATGTTTTAAGCTCACGCAAAACGTTGATTATACAACTGACCCCGAGTATGCCGCTACCAAAGAGGAAAGGTCTTCGGGGCATTTACAATTATTTAGTTCATGGTCAAAGACTGCATGAACGAACGATCGAAAATTTGAAGATCTTACGACTTGTAGGAGTATGCCTGATATTTTCATATGGGTTCACCAAATACACACAACGGATGGGTCCGATGAAAGTGTCGAAGTTGGAGTTGGAGGATCTTGAATTACCCGAAAAATCACAGAGACCATGATGTAATACAATCATTTCATTGATGACGAGATAAGTTAAAATAATATAGCCCGATAATCGTATGACAAATAGCCCAAACATAAAAGTTATTACATTATGCACGACATATCTGTAGTGTCTAGAATCAACATGGTTTACTAACTAATCAGTCGCCTTTGCCCCGTCCACTCCGTGTATTACAGGAGTTAGGTAATATATACTTGCCTTGTTTGTAATGCACCCAATGCACTGATAGTTGAAATATTGTTGACATTGTCACAATTTATTTATATTATTTTGTCCTCTGGCAGGTAAAGAATGAGGCAGGGCATTTATCTAAGTGTAATTTATAAGGGATATATCTTCACTAGATGCTTGACATGTGAAGCAAGTACCAATTAGCCTTAGTCTCCTCTGGGCTCTTTTGCCATGTGATAATCTCAAATGGGATGCATGTCTGCTTCATATTTTGTAATTTCTCTAAAGATCCAAACTCTATAAAGTATCATTGTAAGTTCCAAACCGTTCAAACCTTTCTTTTTTCATGAGAATATTTCTTTGAAAATTTTTGTCCATCAGATGTTCAGTGGTAAAGTTTTTTTGTTACTAAAATATTGCTTACAATATTTTTTTGTTGACAGTTTGCCAAAAGATATTGTGTGGATGGAACTAGATTCAAGCAGTGACAGAATGGTGATGTGTTTTTAGAAGATGCTGCTCACAAGTCAAGACATTTGTCAGCTTTCTTTATGTATGAAGTGCTGAGGAGTTTTAGAAACCATGATTTAGATTATAAAGACTTTCGACGATAATGAAACCTTAGGTTTGATGATTTACTTTCTGGTTTAACTTGGTGTTGATATACAATTGTATTCAGCCGGTTTGGGTACATTAGGATAAATATACAGAGCTGCACTTATAATGGGACTCAACATACTGTGTAATTTTGAAAAAAAAAATACTTAAAATAATTGAAAACTGATTGAATAATTTTTTGATCATCCTAAAATACACAAATTTTGAATACAAATATGCATTATTTCTTGACTGAATATGTTTCAGATTTTAATTCAGAAAAAAGCGATGTTGATTTGATTTAAAAGCTGATTTTTAAAACTTGACTTGTGGTAATATTTCAATTCAGTATGAGTGTTGTGAGGATGAATTGTATGTAGACAAGTTCTTTACAAAATTGTATATACTTATGTTTTTTCTCTAAAGAATTGTACAGGTTTATACATAAAAATGTGATATGAGGAAGCACTGTGTTCAGTATTTTATCAGTTTTCTTTTTCTTTTTACCTTGGATGAGTAGTATACCTAGCAAAAAAATCCATGATTGGAAATAGCCCACCACATCTATCAGTTTTAAGTGTTCAAACAAATGCTTTATATCATTCCCTTGTTATAAGCCCACCCTCTACTTTGAGTTAAGTTAGTGTTTTGACCCCCAAAGTTTATTACAGGGTAAGTATAGTCTGTTCATTATACAGTTTTAGAACCTATCTAAACATTTATTTTTTGTTTGTTTGGAACACATTCACAAAGTGACTGCAAGATTAGATTATGGTTTGCTGAGGTATTTTCTTAATAGAACAAATTACTGGTGGTACTGAAAATCCTACTCCTCCTTTTGGAATGATTGGATTTTACCCAAATTAAGTCTGAAGCATTGTTTGGTAACGGGTAAAAAATTGTGTATAAATGGTAGGTCTTTGCTCCCAAGGGTGGTAGGGACAGGACGTAATAGTTCAAATAGAGCAAATTCTTTAAAATCGTACTCCTGTAGGAATGAATGGATTTTTCCCAAATTTAGTCTGAAGTGTACTTGGGTGAAGCAGAATCAGTTGTGTATAAGCAATGAATTCTGGCTCCCTGGGGTTGGAGGAACGAGGCCCAATAAGGAAATGAAGCAAATTCTTTAAAATTCCCGCTTCTCCATTAGGAATGGTTAGATCTCACATAAGTTTGGTCAGTATTTTTTGGATGAAGAACAAAGTTTGTGTAAGGATTGGTTCTCAGTTCCCAGGAGTGTTAGGGGCAGGGCCATAAAGGGGATTTTTTAAATGTTCTTTAAAATCTTACTCCCTATAAGAATAAATGGATATTGCCCATGTTTGGTGTGAAGTATTCACGGGTAAAGGGGACTTAGCTCTGTATGAATGGTGCATTCTGGCCCCAAGGGGCTGGAGGAGTGGGCCTAAATTGGGGAAATGTAAGTTTTTAAAGTCGTCCTTCCATACAAGTCGAAGTTGTCTACGTTTGGTCTGAAACAATTTTTATGAATAGTGAATCTGACCACTGTTTGACCATAAGAACGAGACCAAATAGGGAAATCATATCAGAAAAAAATATATTTTAACTTAACTGTATACTTGTTAATTGTAAATAAAGAAGTCAATGTTGTTTAAATAGTCGGCTTGATAAAGGGAAGAATTCTAATTTGATTGGTTGGAATTGAAAAGTTTGTATATTGACTTAAAAAAATGAGCAAAACAATCAAGCAATCAATTTCATTGGCATCAAATATTTAATGAATTGGTGACTCATTAGACCTGGGACCTTTCGTGACCTATACAATGTATAGCTTTCTCTTGCTGTATGATCTTCAAATAAAAAATGTTTCATAATGATTGAAATTGAAGACTTGTTAGACATGTGCACTTTGATGGCCTATTTAATGACATATGATGTAACTTTTCATAAGATATGCAAATGAAAAGTTTACTTAATTTATCAATATTGGAGCCTGCCTTGACCTGTGACCTTTGATGACCTTCATATTAATCTTTGCATATGTTTGTCATTTTAGGATATGTGCAATTTAAAAAATGAGAAATATTGATGAGATTTGAAGACGTTGATTGATGATTTATTGACGTTTGTCATGGAATTGAAAAGAAAGCCATAGTAATATGATTGATGATCAATATGCTGGTTACATCTGTTAACCTTCATCTGATTTTAAATCATCATGTGTAAGTTGTCATGTCATTTTCATTTTCATCATGACTGTATTCTTCATAACTTTCTCCCATGGATCTCCTATCCTCATTCATATCAGATTGATTTTCTTATTTTGGAATACCTTTTCTGATGGTAATAACTTGTCATAAAGCTATAAGATGTAGAAATGAAAAAACTGCTTTAAGGTTATAGAAGAATTTATGATCAATTTGATTTGTGACCTTTGGTGACCTATCTGTTGACCTATCTGTTGACCTATGACATAGCCCCTGCAGTGTAAACATGAGTGGAAAACTGCCTTCTTCAAGTTGAAATTTGAACAATGGACAGATATGCTTTAGTATGTATCTTTACAAATAGTAATATTTCAAAATTGAGAAATCCCATGACAAAAATTTAGAATACATGTTTGTGATTACACTCAATCAAGATGGAGCGTAGATGACTGGGTCCATACTGCTATTGGCCATTTTGAAAATTCTATGGGTCCTAAAATGGCTATCCTCTCTTTAATTCTTATAAAATAAAAAATTTTAAAAATCCAGTTAAGATGTATTGCTTGAATAGAACAAAAATACATGTACTTCAAAATATCACCACCTGATGATCTTTAGTAAGAAAACAAACACTCTTAGGATGAATAAAATGTTTTTGATTTCATTTTATTTAAATTGTGGTTAGTGAAATCATAAAGTTCTTTATAATACATTCCAAGATTCATCAGTATGTCATCCAAGACAAGTGTCATGCACCACTAATAGCAAAATGTAGCATATAAATGTGTTTAATCATTACAAATTCCATAAATATCTATGGTGACATGTAGTAAAATATAACATTGTTTTTAATCAAGACCATTGCAATGCATCTTGTATGAAGACAGATATTAAAAACATTAAATAGGAGGGGAATGACATTTTGGGAAAAGCTTATATTAATCCAAAAAAGACAATTACTTTATAATGTCAATTGGAGTTTATTACATATTGTTTATAATTCATTATATTTTTTCCAGTTTAAACCTTAAGTATGGAGACTGACTTGACCAGATTTTATAAAGCTTTGATAAGTATCGTCATAGTCGTTGTACTGAACAGATATTCTGTCAAAAAATAAATAAAATCTCCATGTAAGTTTGATCCTGTGGATTGCATGGAGATTATTTTAAATATATGCAATCTCTGTGCCAATCAGGTGTATTTAAAAAGCTTGATATGTATGAAGCTAAGTCAAATTATTGTGACAAACAGGTGAAGAAATTCAGATAGAAGAAATATGATATGAAAACTTGTCAACATGGCAGACATGACATTTCAGACACTTCCAGATTGTCACTAGTATAATGGGCAATTATAGTGTATGTAGAATTAGAGATGTTTTGATTATATAAGTATGATAGGTGTTAAACAGTATGTAACAGCTATCAAACACAAAACAGTGTTTTCAATTTCATATCTACCTGTTTTATATTCTGGCACTAAATGTAAGACTGACTATTCCAAAAGTACCAGATTTTCAGATCTGTTTGATTTGACTTGAAAAACCAGACATTGGTCTAGGTATAACTATAAGTCCTTAAGAAAACAAAGTGAGGCAGATTGTAAGTAACATTCAGTTGACTTTAACTGATAAAAGGAAATGGACAATCATCAAATAAATAAATAAACTTCAATATATATATGTCTGTCATCTACACTGATCATAACACCCATACACAGAAATAGTATACAGTATGTACTTAAGCTGAATAATTCAATCTCTAAAACTACCAGTGTCAAATTTCATCATTTTTAAAACTTAATTCACCACACTACTTTTTCTTCAGTGTGAAAAATTAAAACAAGTTGAAAAAAATGATGAAATTGAACATTGAATTATTATTTAAGTGACTGAAAATTACAGTACATTGTTGATACACACAGCTGAGCTACACAGAGTGAAATGAAAAAATAATACAATTCTCTCACTAGGTACATGCTATTCAGCTTACAAATATAGCTCTTTCAGCATTTGGTAAATGGTTATCTAAAAGGAAATTCATTCAAGCACTAATTACTACTATATTGCCTAAATACACTGACCATGTCCCTTAACACTTCTCATGCAAAATATTTTATAACTTAGCCACTGCATACCTTGTTGACAAAATCATTCTTAGTTTCTAAAAAGTGTATAAAGGTTATTGAACAATACAAACCCTAAAAATACATTTTTACAACATTATTTGCCTTTATTTGCATCTCTGTAAGTAAATATCTGTGCAAATTTGATTTTCTTAGAAGTAAGTTTTATCATGCAATTTTACAGAGTGATCTCATAAACAATCAATTATACATTATTAACAATGTTGAAAATATTCATGTGTTTCTCCCATCACCCTTCTTACGATTTCAAGGAGGTGGAGCATTTTCGATACTACATGTGCTTGTACCTGAGACTGTCAATGAGAATTTTTTTCCATTTCCTTTATAGTATGTACAATAAAGTGTCAATAAGCTTTCAAGGCCAGTGTATATACAGGAATAGTCTATATATAGAATACTAATATAAAAGTAAAAGTCTATGTATGTATTGTATTTACATTAAACAATGATGACAGTTGTAATCTAAAAGTGACACTAAATTTTCTCTGTTAATGAGAAACATGACAGGATGAAATTAAAGCTGAATTATGGTAGTCTGACTAAGCAATACATGTATATGTATTAAGTTGGCAGCAATGTTTTACTAGTATTACAGTGATCTATTGGAATGCCCTGAATTTATAATCACTTGTAATCAATGGAAAAAAAGTCATGCATTTAATGAATTTTTCAATTTTACTCATGTTTAAAATGTTATATTCAAAATTTCATCATACAAAGTGAATTCAATTCAAGGTAGTACACTTTTAAATGTATAACAATTACACTTAGTCACCAGTATTTATGTGCATTAGTGTAAATTTGTAGAATTGTTAAAAATTGTCACAATATGAATAATGACCTCTGTAAACAAACCATAAATCTCTACTCAGGAGTACAATATCACAGTTTGCATGTATATATTTTTCTTTTAAAAACTAAAATCTGGTTAATAAAACTTTAATTATCACAACAAACAAAGATCTCTCATACTGGTCTCTATTGTCTGTTTCTGTTGACCCTTTTCAGTGTTACATTATCAAGTACAAACAGCAATATCATATTTTAATAACAACACATTAACTTTATTTTGTATATACATATAGAACTTGATATGCTTTAGATAGAAAATAAATATCTGACTAGGTGATCTGATTTAGAAATACACACAATAGATCACCAAACCTGCCACTACTATTGTGTTTTAACAAGTATAGTGTTTGTGGTATTTGATAACCAACTAATAAGTGATGGTGAGACAATGTCCAGCAATAGGAAGTCATAGATACAGAAAGCCTGGAGCTGCCTAACTGACAGGTTTTAGAAAAAAGACCAAACAAAGCAGACATGAAATGGAATGTCAGTGAGCCAAATGTCAATTGATACACAGAGACTCTGAATCTTTTCTTAACTCCACAATCGCTACATGAGGCTTTGAAATGTAACAGGCTTATGTTCATACTGAAGTCACAAATAACATGGTAAACACTGTGACCTGACTTAATCAATTAAATGTTTTCAAATGCAACATGTCGCTTGGCATAATCACCAGGCAATATCAATATCTTAATAAGCCCAGAGGGTCAACATATGCTAATGCAAGGGGTTAATCAGGGTGTGCCCTAACAAAATCTAAGGGACGCCTTGTGTTTGTATACTGTGTGCCAGTCTGTACCTGAGACCTGGCTTGACTCTTTACAAAGTTTCAGCACTGAATGAGTAAGGGGATGAAGGCTACTATCCTTGTATCTGCTAAACACTGATGAACATTGGTTAAAGTAGACATCAAGCCAGTAACCAAATCTTACGCATCCTGGATTTGATCTCTTAAGACAACTTCTGATAACTTGGCACCTTTTTTGAAGTGCCCCTTCAGACACTCTAGTAAATTATATATATCGATGAATGTGATTATGATACCTTGCCAAACTTTCTCTAATGTCTAATACCATCAGCTTTGTCATCTTCTTTCAACAATGTATTCAACAACATTGTGTAATCAGCAAAAGAGTATCAGTGAAACTGATGAATACACCCAAAATTGATTTTACTGGACTCAACAATTCTGTAATTAAGAAGTTGCAGGCTCAGAATTTGATATACTGCACATTCTCTTAATATGATTAATGTATACACCAAGTTTCAATAACTTCTAAATTATGCAATATAGAGTTATGGTTCTTGTACACTGCACTTCTCCTTATCGAGATCTATCTGCATATGAAATTTCATGTTGATACCGTTTACAGTTCTTGTGACATAATTGTGACGGACCAACAGACAAAGCGGCAACTATATGCTGTCCCTTTGGGGAACATAATGAAAACGCCATGGATGTGAAATCAGATGGCAAGCGATTGTTGACTAAACCCGGTAAAGTTGATAATCCTAGCCTACCAAAGTCTTGTATGAGAATAGTGTCTTGCACCAATGGTCTGGTGGGTTGGACTAGGTCCCCCAGGTGTCCAGTTTGTCATAGTGTGTAAGGGCTTGTAGCGGTCAGCAAGGCTTGATTTGTAAGCATTGGTGGCGATGTTAGGAAGGACTGATGGTTTCGTGTAGGTCTGAATGGTTGGTAAATTACTGCAAATAAAAAATCAATTTAGTACAAGAATTAGAAATAGTTATACATATAGGCTATCACAGAAAAATGTAGGAAGGACATAAAAAAATGTCCACTGTAATATTTCCTGCACCGGAGCATATATTCCATAGCATATTTCAACATCCCTCAAGTGTCAACATTTTTGTGTTAACAATTTCTTCTTTAATAACAAAGAAGTCAAGAGTTATTGGAAGCCTAACAAACTTTTGAAGAAAGAAATAACCTTGACCAAATATTCAAAGTCAATGGAGTTGAATTTGTGAAAACACTTAAAAACTTCTGATGATTAACTGAAAGGCCAAGAATCATGATATTTGGACAGTAGTTTTTTGAGATGGAAGGCCTGAAAAGGTTTGTGAAAATGAATGACACTTATTCAGGGTCACAATGGTCAAAACATAACCAAACGGCCTAGAATCACAATATTCCACAAGTAGCTAAGGTTCCTGTGTTGAAACCCGCAGAGTTTTGAACCATATCAAAGCTCATGGGGTTAAACTTTCAATCAAGCAAAAGACAAATAATCAAGATACTTGACAGGCAGTTTACTGGTGAAATCCTGGCAAAGTTTATGTATTGAAGTGACATTGACCCATATTTAAAGTCACAGGGGTCAAACTTGTCTTTCAGGAAATGATTTATTAATTGTTGATGAATAGTGTTTAGCTTTTAGTGTTGTAAACTTGCTAGTACATATTTGAAGTTAAAGAATTAGATTAAGACACCACTTTGACAGTTCATGATATAAGATGTAAATAATTTATTTTAAAAACATAAATATGATTACAAGCAGACCTAAATTCAAACTCCATACAGGTGCCCGTTCTACTGATATTTTAATTAAGTAATGTCTATCTGTAAGAAGTGAATTTTTTATCTGGTTTTTAATCAGATTGGTGTAGCGTTACCTAGTGTGCCTATTTTAGTTAGAATGCATTTCACTATTGAAAACTTACTTGTGACCATTGTTGAAATTATGATATAAAGACAAAGAAATGAAAAAAAAAATGATGAAAAAATAGATCAATGAAATATAAGATTGTATAAAAACATCTCCGTAATGTTGTATCTCTCTAACCTTGATGGATTGTCTAGACCCGTGTGAACTTTGAGGTGACCACCACGACCTTGATAGTCTTGGTGAAGGTTGAGTTTGTCTATGTAGCTTTGAGGAGAGTCCAGTCTCTTCAGCATTGGTGGAGAGGGTCCTCGAAGTGGGTCACGATTTCGACTGTTGGCACGACTCCCTCCACCAGTGTGACTATTGGCTCGACTTCCGGCTCGACTTCCTTCCCTGTGGTTGTACGAACCGCTATTAGGACGTGAGTAATGTCCTCCCTCAGGAGGAGTGTTGACATGGCGACTGTACAAGTTAGCGCCTGCACCATAGGCTCTTGAGTTATGTGTGGAGTTTAGAGACTGCAGGTTCAAGTGCACACTTCAAAAAAAGATTAGTGAGAGAATACAAAGTTAGAAGAGGTTAGGACAATGGAGGATAATATGACAGTCAGACAAACCTACTTACCTGGGTTAGGGAAAAAACAAAGATTATTTTGGTGTTTTTGGGGGGTTTTGTGGAGAAAACAATGAAGACTTTGTACTTGGCTTTGGTCAAATTCACTTTGCTTTATGTTTTTAAGTTAAAAATTGTCTTGTTTTGAAAACATTCTACTTATAACTCATTGTTTAATTAGAGTGATTCACTCAAAAGAATGCAAAACCTCATATCAACTTTGCTTTGTACACAATGTCTCTTTTTTGTCTTTTGATTGTTTAATTGAAATTTAGGCCAATGATGCTTAATCAATAAGGTTGAAGCAAGACCAATAAACCTAAATGCTTGTTTTAATAAGATTTTTTTCTATTACCTTTATTCAGATAATTCATTTCAAATCCTTCAAATATAAAGAGTTACTTTCGAGGTATTTTTATGAAATTTGATAAAAATTTAGACCTGGATTTAATTTCATAAGTTAAAATTCTTTCGCCTATTCAATTTCTCTTCTCTTTGAGGATTTATGAACTAAATTAATTTAGATCAAAAATAAAAGATCTAAATTAATTCACATACAAAATCCTTTCATTTTGGAATCCTCCAAATCCAATCAGATTTAAATCCTTTCATCTACACAGAGTAGACAAGCCCTTCTCCACCCATACCCCCATCTTTATGTGGCCATGTGTTTCTGCCCCTGTTGACCAGTTTCAACCTCATTTTGAACAACACTGATTTCTTTTGGAACAGGGATACAATATATGAAATTGGCGAATATAAAATTTCAGTAATTTTTATAGATACGACAATTAAATCTACGACATGTATATTGCATATTTGTTAAATTTCTTTGTCCTTTGAGCCAGGCAAACTATCATCAAAGTCCTATATGCAGTGATTATGAACACTCAGAAGTGTGATAATATCCTGTACATAGTAGAAGCAGATTAATATTATGTATATAAAGTATATATATACATACCAAACTAAGACTATGATTATATATACTACGCTGTTTATATGTGTACATTCCTGTATATGTTGTAAATGTTTTAGTATTGCATGATCAATCAAAGTAAATTGTTAACATTTTGATTATTCAACAAACACAAAACACAAACAAAAACAGATGAAAGTTCATATGTAAAAAACAAACAACAGATTTGTATATGTAAAATGTTTGTAGAAAAAATAACCTCAAACCAGACACACTGGCTTCTGAATGAACATATGTCAATAAATATTCGACTGACACCATTTTGTTCTAAAATACTGCCTTTCAAGATTACTTTTTTTTCAAAATCATTTCAAACAGGTTATTATGTTATAACCAATTTTATAAGAAGATGCAGAAAAACTGTTATGACTAGATGATTATTCTAATATTGTCGTTTGTTTGAAAAATCTGCAACAGAGAGAAGTTCAAGGAGATCAGAACTACATACAACATTACTTACTTTTGGTCAGCATTTCTCAGTGGATCAATTTCAAGATCCTTCACACCAACTGGTACTTGCATCTCAAGTTCTCTTAAGTTTGGCTGTTGGAATAAATATAAGATTATGTATCATTTGTAATTTTATTCCGTTTAACTTTCTGTCAACTTTTTAGTTTTCTCAACCTATTCTTGGCCAAATTCTGTGTATGTATGATCAAAATGCCTGATCTACATTTAATATAATCAACACTTAATTCATTAAGGCAGCTAATCGGAAAATTGAGAAATCAACATCATCATGGTCATCTGTTGAGTAGTAGGATAGATCTGGTTTTGCTTGTAGCAGGAACAATTATACTTCATACTTTGATATGATAATACAGGGAGCATTTTATACAGTAACACTTGTTTTGAGAAATGTTTTGTCTTATTTTTAACACCAATGCTGTTAAAGTCCTTATTTAGAAAGTGTCATGCAGGATTAGTATTAATAACAAAAAAGTGACAATAGGCTGAAACAATAACTGATTTACGTTAAGCCTAAAAACAAATCACGATGTTCATAACTGTATTGAAAAATGTCTTGTAATTGAGAAATGCTGGAAGCTGAACGGAAAATGACTGAGCAAATGCTGAAATGCTAGCAATTCTAGATTTTACCCAATTCAATATTGTTCCATTCTATGGATTTGCTACTGTTGGATTTTGCATACAAAACAGGAATCCTCCCTTATTTCCTGGGTGACAGATTGTCACAAATTATGTACTGTGTTAAATGTTGAAAATGGATCAATATCTGTATGCAGATTTAACAACTTCTTTCTTCTGAGATACAAAACAACTTATCTACAAATTGCATTGTAAGTCAAATTAAAAAGACATTTTATCACATAGGACACCATGTTATATTTAGCTTAAAAAATACAATACTGGTACTTGCAACATTTCTCGGCGGTCTCCATACTCAGACTGTTCAGGTTACAGACAATTGTTTGGCACTTGTTACTATTCCAGACACAGAATTCATAAATCAGCTATCTCCATACCAATGTATTGGTTAAGATTAAACACATACTAGTCTTTAATACTGGCACGTGTTATTTGCTCTAGATGTAACTATCACAATATGTTTTACATACACCTCTATCCATACTCATACAGTTAAGATTAAAAAGCACACACTAGTCTTCCACTACCAATGTCCATCTCAGCATTCCTTGACCACATATGGTCACTTACGTGGTCCATGGTGTAAAAATGACCAGTGCCTTGACGGTTTAGGCTTGCCGATGTCTGTCCCAATTCATAGTTGTCCAAATGGTCAGTGTAACCATATGGATATTCCTAGTTTGTGACAACTTTCACATTAATTATACGTTCCACAGGTCACATGCAACATTAATGAAATCTAATCCTTCTCAACATGAGAGACTAATGCTACATCAAATACAGTGTTACTATTTTGAGTATATCTACACGTTTAGTTGTTAAATCATTACATCCATGTATTTGATTATCTTTACAAATTCCTACATATGACTGAATATGGTACACTTAGGTAAATGACTACTGGTAAATTGAGGCACTGATGTAAAAACTAATAATGGTAACCTCACAAGACTGGTGAGAGTTTGAGTGGTTAAACTCTATCCAGTGTAAGAAGCCTTGTATTATAAAATCCTCAATTTCACATCTAATAAATATAGAAATGTCAGAAGAATCCTTTGAATTTTGCCATCATTCAGTATAACAAAAGGAATCAGCAGGTACTGTTTGCTTAATAGTAAATTAACTTACTAAATAGGCATTATCTGAGGGAATTTTCAAACAGATTTATACAAATCAAGAGCTACTTCATAGAAAAAGTTCTGTCCAAAACTGTTTAAGTTTGATCACCTGTTTTGAAAGTACTTAACTATGCAGTGTATACAAAATCAATACCAATCCTCCATATCCAGTGCAAAATGTACCAAACCCTTTATCACTTCATTTTAACTCTCTTGTCATGTCTCTCACTTGACTAACTCCATTTCCTTTAACCTCTTCTCATTTTACTGTTATAAAGTCCATTATTTTCCGATACAATAATTTGTTTCAGTTGATTTGTCTTGCTCATGAGCATTAATCAGTTGTGATATCAGGTTTTGTGTGACACAGTAGTCACAGATCTTATTATCTATGTACTGACCTCCTCCTGTCGATTAGGTGGGGCACTCCTACTTGACAGTTGACCAGAGTTTGGCCGACTGTAATGACGCCTTGGTCGCCCATAATGACTAGAACTTCGACCTTGCTGCACTATCATCTCTCCATCACCAACTGTAAATAGTGAAAGGTTCAAACTATTATTTCATTTAACAACAAATACTTTAACAAAACATTGACTAAATACAACATCAAGATTAAAGCAACATGAGCTACTGATACTTAATCTTTTACTTTTTTTCTTCACATTTTTTACAAAAGCACATGTATCATATAAACTTTCAAAATATTGGAAATACCAGAAGAAAAACTTAGTTTACTTACAGTTTGAATCAGGGTGAATAGGGGGCCTGCCCCCAAATCTTCGCCTGGCATTACCAGCACCTGTATTTGGGCGGTTATTAAAGAAACCTTCAAACACCACAAAGTTGTTGACTTGTGGGATCTCTGCTTTCAGGTTGTAGTGCTTGTTTAGAAACTGGCTGAACTTGAATGATGGCTTGTCAATTGCCAGTTGTTGTGGTTTGACATTCACATCCTGTATAAATCATATGCATTGAACTATACTGATGTATATAAATTAATGTGAATGCAACATTGTAGGTAACAGACTTTATATTGGACATATAACAACGACTTTGTAATGAACAATAATGGGCTATGATAACAATGAAGGCATAATCTGTATAATGTATATATTAGTTAATCCTTCAATAAAAAATACTAAAGTTAGTCAATTAATATCTGTTTCCACAATTTGGATTATGTATCATGACTTACTCTAAGCATATAATCAAACAACTTGCGTCCACACCCCATCCTTTGTCTGGATTCATGGACATAAAAATCAAGCACACATATAGGTTCCAACTCATGGACAGCACCATTTCTGTCATACACAAATAGTTTTTTGTGTCCAATCTTTAGAATACCCACTACTGCTCCAGATCCACTAGAAAAGTGAAAGATTATATTGTTAAGCATATGCAAAAAGTGCAGAGGATATTATGATGCTGGTGCTAGCTATATAACCTAATACAAAATAAGACTGCATTATTGTGTTAATAAATGCTAAAAATTATGTCCTTCACATTAACTCACATGTTGAAGAATGAAAGATATTAATTCTGATAATGAGACATCCTTTTTGTGGTTGTTGAACACAAAAAACATATGTAATATATTTACATATTATAGGATTTTGCTTATACTTTATGTGGAATTATTATCAATTTGTCACAAAATACTGACTTATTGTTATTATTGGCATCCTTCATTATGTACAGGATGTGATCGGCCAACTGGAGTTTTCGTCCCCCTGTAATTGTCCCATGGAGGCCCTGTGCCTAAAACAGATATAATAATAATAAAACCAATACATAACCAAATAATACTATTGTAAAATTCTCTTTGATTTGGAAATGGGTATTATATGTAACAGATCAATATATTTACTATTCCTTACCAATAAGTAACATGTTTGTCTTACATACAGTATAAATAACAAGCTTGCATTACTTACCCGTGAAGATGCCTCCCCCATCTTGTCAATGACTGTGAAGAGCTGGGACCGTAGGTCAACATAGGTGTAACTTTAAAAATTAGACACAATTTTATTTATTTTATTAATGGCATTTTAAAACCAAAGCTTTATTTTTGCTTCTATGATTACTCAGTGATAGCTTAAACCAAATAAGTAGCTTTCATACTAGATGAGACTACGATGTTTGAGCAATATTGTGTTGAAGTAGTGTTCTTAGGCGAACATGTAAGAAGTGGGTAGTAGTATGGGGGTTTTCATTGAACATGGATAAATGGCCACCTTCTAGCTGTGCGCTGACAGGAATTTTTCTTCAGTAAAGCCCCTGAGAGACCCGACTACAGAACGAAAGACAGCTAACTCGATTAGCTATTTAACTATTTCTCCGACAATAATGAATCTAATACCATTTTTTCGCGTAACTTTTAATTAGCGTGATGTGAAACTCGCGATAAAGGTTTAAGATTATAATCACGACATTTATTGATACGTGTCTTGAACTTAAATACTTTAATAAAGCATAACAACCAAATAAAAGATTTCAAAATAAACACTTACCCGTCTGCATTTTTCCGGAAAGGAGCCACATTTCTATCTAACTTTGAGATTTCACTTCCGATCAGATTGTTGATATTAAACGGAAACTCCATTTGAACGTTTGTTTTGTATGCTCAAATACGGTTGTAAACTCATAATTAGATTAAAATCATATATATGTGCTTGAAGATATCTCCATTTTTCGGCTCCAAGCAAACATTGCAGGACCGGGCAGAATATTTCGGAAAAAAAATAGATTAAAAATACAAGTTATTGACATATATTTATCAACTATGACAATATCGCTATTTGTGTATATATTGAAATAATGTATTCCAACAGTGAAACTATAGCGAAATTAAATTTTCTCTGCGGTCCTTTTCCCCCTTTATTTCCTGTTTTAAATTTGACAACTTTAATTGCGCAACGCGGGTAACACGAATTTTTGTCCGACAGGTTTTCCTCTATGACACACTATTTTGATGCCTCGTAAGAAGCCTTTCAGTTCAAAACAAAAGAAGTTTCAACTGCAAGACAAACGGCAAAGAAAGAAGGAATGTATGTCACATCCTGATTAGAGCACCTGTCAGAAAAAATAACGTTAAACTTTATATGAATTGCCTCCCTTATATTACAAGACCTCAAATTATTACAGTAAAAAATATCTTTTTTACCTTTAATAACATTGCAAAAGGGAAGACTAAGTGTTAGTATTAGTGATATATCCAGTTATCAAGCTACTCTTTATTTTCATGATTTTATTCAACTTATGGCTGAAAACAACAGGTTCCACAAGTAATATTTCGGTAGTTTCGAAAATTCGTGTATGCCCGGCCCAGATACCCGTACCAGCGAGTAAGAAATAACTAATATCTCGAAAATAAAAACTCTACCTAATAAATCTCAAACTTTTCACATAAGCCACTTAAATATTTTTAAAATCTGACACTTTGAATGAAACATGTTAAATATTGAGATTTTTTTAACTGACGATAAGTATTTTTCAGGGTGTGAAAACTCAACCATGGAATTTTCACTTTTTTTCAGCTATCATATGGTTTGATTTCAGATTTTTTTTTTTAAATTCCAGACAATATTTATACATATCTGATCGTAAATTATTCATTAATATTATAAAGTTTAAGACAAATATCTGATGGTACAGGACAATGCATAAAGAATGTTGTTTTCTGTGATATTATGATATTCTTACCACACACATGAACATTTATTGGACATAATTTTAGTTTATTTTAGAAACATTATATTTTAGGAATAGTTTAACTTTATGTAATAATATTTTATCCAGTGTTGTATTGTAATGCTTTTATGTTAATGGACCACAGTGGAAATAAGTCCACATACTTTACTGTGTTATCCTGGTTAAAATATTAATTGTATAACAATACATGTATGTGTATGTACGTAATGTATGTTTTACCAAATAAGTCTATCTATCTATAAATCTATGGTACAAAATTACTGATTACATGTAAAAATAAGGCAGTTTTTGAAATTCTTCAAAAAATCATTAATGATGAATAAAAGTTGTTCATAATAATATAAAAAGAAATACAAAAATGGAAAAAAAAATTATTTTAAAGATGTGTGTTTTTCTTTATATTTGGGCACATGTGCACAGGGTTATAAAATAGTTCTAGTCTCACAAAGTGAGGCAATCTTTATCTGAGCTGCCTAGCTGCAGGCTGTTATTACAGCTTGAGCTCAGACAAAAATACATTTGCTAATATGGAGAAAAGTGTCAGACTCCCAGCAAGTTCAAGAATGGATACTGATAAATGGTAGAAATTGAAAATCAAGTAACAAACAGTTGCTGTTATTGAATCTGTCATGTACTGTAAAACACTGACACAAAATTTTCAGACATGTGCATAGCATCACATCTTACAATATAATTGTGTGGTCTTTACATTCAGATGCATGATATATCATCTTTCATAGTTTTGACATAAATTGTGTCTCTCTGTTCTGGAAAGGAAAACTATCACAATGAGTATGAAGAAAAAAGTTAAACACCATATTTTGTTACCATATAATACAAGGTCTCATAAATGCTTGATTCTTTACAAGCATTTACAGAGTCTTACGAAAGCTTTATTTTTGCAAGCATCTAAGCTATAAAAACTAAAACTTGAAGGGCAAGTTCAAGTTAAGCTATAGTTTTTATGTCACTTGAGACAAAGTCTCATTTTCCACTTCTTCTTCAAACTCCTGAACTGATGTCTGATATTTTACAAACATTTTCCATAGCTCATGGCACACTAGAATTGTAAATTATATGGTCTATACCCCCAGGGACCTGAGGGTTGGGGCCAAAAATGGTCAAATTTATTGAAACTTCATAAATCTTATACTCAAATCTCAGGTATGGTAGAATAAAATACTCTTCATGGATGGAAAGGCCTTCAGAGACTTAATATAAATTGTAAATTTAATGGCCCCAAGGTCTCACATTTCCTGTTGGGGAGGAGGTAATATAATCTATAAAGGAAAATCAAATTTTTGAGCATAGATTGCTTATTTTCTTTTAGAAATAGTTCAGACTTGATTAGAATTATAAGTATAAGATGACAGTTTGATGAGATACACATGTTGACCTTGAATGGCCCCCACAATGTATATCATGATATACAGGTATGTGTCTTTTGTGCCTTGATATGATACATTCTTTTTGGGTATTGTTGTATACTTGTTTTTGTTACACTCCGAAAAATGTTCTTGTTTGATTTTCTAGCCACTCAAGATGAAGATGATACTGAAGATATTGAGACCGCTGGTCAGGATTCATCACAGTCACAGAAAAAATTGAGAAAGGGCAAATCAGGACCTATTCCTGACAGGAGAACTGATCCGAACAGGTATAGACTGCTGCAGATTTTATCAGGTTGTCACAAAAGGGCCAGTTGAGCTAATGACCTAAGGTGATAGGTCTGACCCCCCTGGGGCAAATGGGCAGGGACTAATATGAGATATAGAGCAAATTCTTTAAAATCCTAATTTCTCAGAAGGAGTGCATGAATTCCCTCCCAATGTGGCATGGGGCATCTTTGGTAAAGGGGAATCAATTTTGTATTAAGCATTGGATCTCTACCTATAAGGGTAGTAGGAGTGGGGTCTAATAAAGGAAATAGGAAAACAAATATTAAAAATCCTTTTTCTTGTGTGGAAATATCTGTCCCAATATAGTCTGAGGCATCCTTGGGTGAAAGGAATCATTATTGTATAAACAGTTGGTCTGACCCCAGGGCCAAAAGAAATGGGGGGGGGGTGTGCAATAGAGGAAATACTGGGATCTACCAGAAAACTGCCCAGTTGATAAGCCACCCATGGGCAATAATTTTTAGGTGGGCAATTATTTGAGGTTATAAAAAAACCATTTGTTTCCATAAACATTTTAAGGTATGTCAAATTTCCAGATACTTTTATGAGTTGCCGAGTGCACAAAAGTCAGAGTGATCCGGGATCACTGAAAATAAACAATCCCAAGTTGTTAACATTGAAAATTTAAATCATGCTATCTATTGTGTTTATCCTTTTGTTTACACTAGCGTCGTAATACATTGCCTACCTGTCATGATAATTGAGATTTGAAACACTAGATTATTAAATGTTGAATCGTTTGTGTAAAGCTGTAGCAGAAAGTGAGAAATTTGTTCTGTGTTTAAAAGGCAATTTTGTTTATTTGCACAATCAGTAATGTAAAGGAATTTAAAGAAAATATTGAGTCTGATTTCCCTATGGCGAGCCTCATAACTATAAGCTAATCATGAAGTGAATCTCAAGCATGACCTAGAATGCATGTCATATTTATCAAGATGTATGACTGCAAATGACTGATAGTGGATGTTAAAACTGTTAAATAAATAAGATAGATCAATTGCAATAAAAAACAAATAGGAAATTATTTTTTAATACTTTCATCGAAACGTACAATATATATGCAATAATGAAGTATTCAATCGTAGGTAGTGGGGGAATCAACTCTGACAACATTCGGGTGGCATAATGTAACTATGTCTGTGGGAATTGTACATTCTGTATGTGGAATATAGCAATCAGGATATATAGCAAAATTCATATATATGTATAATTCCACCTACTTTACAGTATAATGGCTATATTTCAGATATAGAATGTCTTTTGTTTCACCTTGAACATCCAATCCTGTGGTGTACTCTGCATGTTGAAACGGCTTGTGATCAGTCTGCAAAATCAAAGAAAACTTAACCATCCATCTGCCCTGGGCTCTTGTTTGGTCCATATTTTTGTTAAACTTTTCTTCTGGTAGATCCAAATTTAGAGCAAATTCTTCAAAATAATTTTTCTTCAGAAGGAATGGCAGGTAATATAGCACAAATGATATAAAGCATGCTTATATTGTATACAATGCATAGGTGTAGACTAGTACACTTAGCACAATGATATAAAGCACTTAGATTGTTACCCAGATATGTGTAGACTAGTACACTTAGCACAATGATATAAAGCACTTATATTGTTACACAGATAGGTGTAGACTAGTACACTTAGCACAATGATATAAAGCACTGTATTTATATGTTACCCAGATATGTGTATACTTGTACACTTAGCACAATATATAGCACTTATATTGTTACCCATGGATAGGTGTAAATATTACTATAGCACAATGATATAAAGCACTTAATTGTTACAGAAATGTGTAGTGCAATCATCACAAAGCACAATGTTAAAAAGCATAATATTGATTGAATTGAGGTGTAGACTAATACACTGAGCACAATGATATAAAGCACTTATATTGTTACACAGATATGTGTAGACTAGTACACTTAGCACAATGTTAAAAAGCACTAATATTGTTACCCAGATAGGTGTAGACTAGTACACTTAGCACAATGATATAAAGCACTAATATTGTTACCCAGATAGGTGTAGACTAGTACACTTAGCACAATGATATAAAGCACTAATATTGTTACCCAGATATGTGTAGACTAGTACACTTAGCACAATGTTAAAAAGCACTAATATTGTTACACAGATAGGTGTAGACTAGTACACTTAGCACAATGATATAAAGCACTAATATCTTTACACAGAGAGGTGTAGACTAATACACTTAGCACAATGTTAAAAAGCACTTATATTGTTACACAGAGAGGTGTAGACTAATACACTTAGCACAATGTTATGAAGCACTAATATTGTTACCCAGAGAGGTGTAGACTAGTACACTTAGCACAATGATATAAAGCACTAATATTGTTACACAGAGAGGTGTAGACTAATACACTTAGCACAATGTTAAAAAGCACTTATATTGTTACACAGATATGTGTAGACTAGTACACTTAGCACAATGTTATGAAGCACTAATATTGTTACACAGAGAGGTGTGGACTAGTACACTTAGCACAATGATATACAGGTATGTGTATAATAGTAAACATATCTTGGTAGCAATCTCTTTATGTCAAAATCAAGGCATCCAGAAACTACAATATTAAAGTCTGGTGTCAGTGACTAAACTCAAGTTTCAAACCTAAATACTTAAAATTAAAATTCTGAAATGTTGATTATCGAAAGGAAAACAATTGTTGACTATCAGCATTTAAGAAGCTTGACTGTAAGGATTTGTTTTTGATTTCCAGGATTTCTGGAACAAGAATCTTTGACTCATAACTTCTGTGTTTCATCTTCTGGATGCCTTTCGGTCTTCTGAAATACAACTAGAACTCAAAACAATATACTTTCATCCTATTGTAATTAACAGATACCGTCTGCAGTTCTTTAAAGAGAGTAATGAAGAGATTGATCGTCGAAAGAAACTGGCTAGAAGACCTCTACGTCACTTACCAGAGGTAAAAATGTGAATGATTTAGAACTAATGTGAAAAAAATTACTCTAAAATTTATGGAAGCTTTTAAACATATTTAACTAAGCAACAGGTTTTAATGCCAAGAATGCTTTAAAGGGTGACACTCAGAATATTTTAATCCGTTGAGCCTTTTATGACTTCTCATCTTTGCTGGCAATACTGTATGGTTATTTAATTTGTTGGGACCAGTATTTGCTGGATGTCCCAGATTTGGCAAATTCATAGGTACATGTATTACATTTCATACACATCCATGTATTGTTTCCATCACACAGATGATAACATTTTTCATCAAATTTTCATTCGACGTAAAATTATTTGCTATGTATTTAATTTTATGCTATCTTTAATGACCACAAACATCAGAAAATTATAACACCTGTGAAAATTGCTAGGTATATAGTAGTGGAAATAATCAAGAAATATAAACTATTTATTTGTTACTGGAGCATTTAAGTGCAAATATGGTGATCAATGGATTTATTCACGATGATAAATTTGTGGTAAAATGAGTCTTGTAGTATGACAATATCACTCTCCGTCTCATTTAGCACAGCAAGAAGTTGTTAAGTGATTTACTGCGGATTCACTGAAGGAACAACAGAATCTGTTGGACCATTTCCTTCCTGCAAACATGACCTAGAAAGATACTAACAATTTTTAGTTCAGATTCCCAACTAGTAACGACAAGGAGAACTATAGCCAAGAACCGAAAAGGAAAAAGGAGGAGTTGATAGAAGATCATAGGTCACACACATGACTCAGTTTATTAACACCACAATATATGTTTGCCCACATTTTGATTACTTTAGGAGAATCTTACTTGAGTGTCCTGCAGAAGTCCCACAGTTATGGGCGAAACTGGTCGACGATACATAATAAACTACTAGTAATATTAACTTACTCCAAATTTGTTGCAATCTCATCCTACTTAACTTGATTTACTTGTGACTCATCAAATCATACTCATCTGATGGTGTAAAAGAACTTACAGAAGCTGATCATGAGATTTGTGCTGAACATGACTGATCTGTTGTAGGAAGCATTAGAAGTGAATATAGATCAGGTGTACCAGCCAGGATCTGTGCTAGACCTCCCCAAACGACCTCCATGGAACTACTCTCTCAGCAAAGCCAAGTTGGAGGCCAGGGAACAGAATTACTTTCAAGTAAGTCAGAATTATTGTTATTTAATTGATGTCTATCACTATTGTTCTAGAAATGATTTCTTGTTTAAAACTGTAAGCAACACTGACAATCAGTTAACACAACTCTTTTAACGTAAACAAGAAAGCAATTGTATTTTTAGCCAAAAAATTATTAGTAGTATGAATCTTGGAAAATTTCCAGTTATATCGTTCTATTTTTTAAGTAAGGTTTGAGTTTCAAATTTTCAGTAGGTTTATTGTTGATTTTATTTATTGTTTGTTTTTGAATTGGTGTTCTTATTAGGACTACACAGAGGCCATCTTTGAAAAATACTCTCCAGAACAGTTGAGCTACTTTGAGCTGAATCTAGAAACTTGGCGGCAGTTATGGCGAGTGTTGGAGATGTCAGACATTCTGCTCCTTATCCTGGACATCAGATATCCAGTATGTAATCCAATACTTCACCAACAGACTATGTTTTGATTAATGGGACAAATACAAACCTTAGTTTGTCGGATTACTTAATCAGGTTTGAGTACAAAAGAAAATCAGTTTGTATTATTTGATGGTTTAGACACTTCCTATGTTACAATTGGTAAAACATATCTTGTGGAGACCTAGATACAGTGTATTCTCAGCTTGATTTGATAATATACCTTTTCTATATGAATATAAGAGGAACACATATCCTTCATGAATCTTGGAAAAATGTGATTTTTTGAAAAATTGAAGAATATTCTGGGATTTTGCTTCATTTTGAGAAAATAATACAATTTTTGGCTTTGGCATCTTTAGAGTTTTTGCACATAAAACAGGGCAAAAGAATCGTTGATGTATAGGTACAAAGGGAGCATGTTTGTCAGCCCTGAGGATGAAGTGGAAAGAGAATACATGTAGCTCTAGCCTCAGGTCTGATAAAAACATTATATTATCATATTATCAGAAATAAACATTTGATTGCAGGTTCTACACATGTCACCAGCATTATACCATACAGTGACCCATGACCTCGGCAAGTCAATCATCATCATCCTAAATAAGGTTGACCTGGCCCCACCTCCTCTGGTTATTGCATGGAAGAATTTCCTGCAGGAAAAATATGAAAAAGTTCACATTGTCTTGTTTACTTCATATCCAAATGAGGCTCTGGCAGAGGGAGGTAATGAGACTAAAGGTAAATGTTAAATACTGTGATGATTTTCTTATACCTTCGCAATAAAACGTCAAGGGTATATAGGAATAACCCTCATACTTATGTATGTCGGTATAAAACAACATCGTTGTTCTACTTCGCTGCATTTCTCATCAAAATGTCATGAAACTCCACACAGATGATCACAAACATCACTTCTTGTGCAAGTTAAACTTTCAACTCTTGTGTGGTTACTGTTACTATAAATCATACATGATCACAAACATCACTTCTGGTATGAATTAGGCTTCCAACTTGGTGTGGTCAAAAACTAGGTCAATATTACTATAAATAGAAATCAACTAATTTTCACTCTACAGGCTGCATTTCCATTTCTGAAATGATTGGTATGAAACTCCACACACATGATTACAATCATCACTTCTTGTGTAAGTTTGACTTCCAGCCCTGTGCAGTCAAAAACTAGGTTGCTGTTACTATCAGTAGATATGAACAAAACTTTTTATGTCACCACTCAACAGGCTGCATTTCTAAACTGATTAGTACAAATCTCTAAACGCATGATCACCAACATCTCTTCTTATTCCAGCTTGACTTCCAAACTTGTGCAGTCAAATACCAAGTCAGTGTTACTATAAATGGTAACTTACAAAATATTCATGTCATTGCTCGAAAGTCTCCATTGTATGAGTTTAAGTTTTGAATCTTGGTGGTTAACAAATCGATGTCAACTTTATTCCGAATAGAAATTGGCTGAAACTTGAATCACTGCTCACAAAATTCTCTGACATCATTTACAACTATAGATAGAAAAAAACAAAACAAAACAGTTGCCTAAGTGAATGACTTGTTCAAATACTTTGGTGTTTTTAAGATGCTGTGCCATCACCCAGATCACCTGTTAGCTTGGTAGTCTATTTATAGCTTGGACCGAGTCCACAACACCACAAAAAGCCCAACAATGCCCATATACCTTTGTCTCTGTCTGTAAATTGAGTATACTCTATATATTCTTGTGATAATATCAACTTGTTTCAGTTTAAACAAAACCTATTGTGCAGACGTTGTTGATTGCATCTTGAAAATGAAGGTGTACTTGTTTTATACTTTGACTAAAAAATGAATATGTTTATAGATCTTCTTGGATTCTTATGCAGTAGTTAAAACATACAGATGTCATAAAGACACAGCTTCTAGCTGTTGGGGTTAGAATTAGGCCTATAGCTTGTATAGCTTCTTCTTTCTGGTTGTCACCTCCACCTTTACTTGTGATTCTGGTGAGACTAAAGTGACACTTTGGTCACTAGCCAGACACTCTACCACTAGACTAAAGAGAAATCCCCTCTAGCTACAGCTAGAAAAGTGACCATGTCTGCTCTCAACTTCTAGTATCAGTAGGACTTGTCATTAAAACATACACTTTGTATTTGAGACCCAATAATGTGCAGTTCTCGAACAAGCTATCAACTGATGAATTAAGTGTAAGATAATTTAAAAGAACAAAAAAAACAGTTAATTGGATATACAAACTAGTAATTGATTGGTTACTAGCCAGTTATAATACTTGATCATCCATGTTGAAGTATCAACCCATCTCCATGAACACAAGAAAATATTCAAACCCGCAGTGGCCTATAACCATGCACTACACTGCAAAAGGTGCAGATTTGAGAGTCACACTTGACTGGACATAATCAATTATTACCTCTCCAATCGTACTCATCCACCATAATGATCATATGAAGATCTTATCATGACTAAATGTCTTGAACCTTCATGTAATATATATATATTATCAATGTGACCAATCAAGATTACATGCCATTTCATATCGATATATCAATTCCTTTACTCATTTACATATTACACAGCATCTATGAGTGTCCTTGACACTTTGATTGTGTTGATTTATTGTAGCTAAGATGAGACGAAAGCGTGGAGGTGGGGCATGGACCAGGGCCATGGGACAGGGTCAGCTGCTCAGTGTCTGCCAGGATATTGTTGGTGACAAAGGTCAGTTAGTCTAAATGGATGTTGTGGTAATATTAATGTTCTAGTTTTAATTTTCTTCTGTCTTTACTAATTGCTGTTCCATTATTTTTTAATGATATAGGAGGAAAGGATGACTTTTTTCAGAAAAATTAAAAATGAGATACATTTGTACAGTGTAACCTTGTTGTTATCGTGGCTTTATAACTTCACTCAGCAACAGTAAAATATGGACTTTCAGATAAGGTGATAAGTAATAATGTAATTCTTAAGGCTTTATATATATATATTGAGAAGAAATGCGCTGTCAATTCACTACTTATTATATAAAATGTGTCTTATGAATATGTCATATATGTAATTGTTGTTATTACCAAAACAGGTACATATTTACATTGTGCATTAAACAAACATTGATTACACAAAAATTCACATTACTTGAAAACTTGTACCCAAAATTTCATTTAACGTTAGGTGACAGTATACTGAGGTTATACTGTCCATAAAATTAATTGATGAAATCTGAAATATCCAATCTCTGGTACATTTCTAAAATAATCCATTACTTCAAAGTTTCTGAACATCCTATCACCAATAAAAAATTATGTTTTAGGCTATTCCATCACTTACGCAGTTAAAAAGAATTCAAAAGTACAGCCCTATTCAATCATTTAATTCAGAATTTTGCAGATAAATATTTTTCTCTGTTCACATTTGCCAGTTAATCTAATAGTTTGACTATCAGCCATCGTTCCTTAATATTATGAAAAGTGCATTTAATGAAATATTGAAAATATTTCTTTCAAATGTGGCATGCTAAAGCCAGGTTGGAATATGTTGTTGTGAGGAATTATCCTGATCTGACTATATCTGTGGATTCTTTTGTGATGATTGACAGTTGATCTGCGTAGCTGGCAAGACAAAATGGTTTCAGTCTCTAGTACTGTTAAAGAGGAAGAGGAAATAGCCGATTCATCAGTGGTTGGGGGAGAGGATGATGATGGCCTCTATAAACAAGGGGACACAACTCTGTTCCAAAATGGAGTTCTTACTATTGGATGTGTTGGTGAGAATGAAACTTACAGTGATTGCCGATGTTAAAACATTATTTGATATTAGCTCATGAATGTTGGAAATCTTTAAAATGCAGAGAGCAAATTAATCACATTCATTTTACACTCTACAAAGAAGTTTTGGGAGTAAATCCTGGTATCACTCTTGGTTCCATATGTCTTGCCTGCATAATTACCTGTAATGTAATTGAAATGAGGAATTCCATAACAGTACCAGCCTTGAGAATATTTACTCTCATGGGAACTAGAATGGATGAGAAAGACTGGTCAAAATTAGCCATCACCTTTTTCCTATGGCCATTTGCTCTGCCCTCAAGTGACTGAATGTAGGCCCCTGAGTTGTTGAAATGTACAGGATTAACACCTGTACTGCAGGACTCTAATCCCCAAGATGACAGTTTTAGATAATTTGTGAAACTATGACTAAACGTTGTCTATAATTTCAGGTTACCCTAATGTTGGGAAATCATCTTTATTGAATGGACTAGTTGGTAAAAAGGTGAGTATCATCATTTATTTATGAGAATGTTTTAATGATATTCTATAATGTCTTCATTTTGTGATACTTTCAATTATCTGAATAAAACTTAGAGAAAATGATTGGAAGCAGTTGACTAAACTAGACATTCAGTGTTTGTGATATTTTAGGGTTTTTTTTGTTTGTTTGTTTGTGGTTTTTTGTTTTTTTTATTAGAAATGTATCATATAGCTATGATTAATTTAGTTAGTGGTTTCTCTTCAGGTGGTCAGTGTGTCAAGAACCCCTGGCCATACCAAACATTTCCAGACTATTTTTCTAACCCGAACAGTGAAGCTGTGTGACTGTCCAGGTCTGGTGTTTCCATCACTCATTGACAAATCATTACAGGTAAAGTGTATAGGCTCTAATTCACCATATCTCCTTGTATCAATTTATAATTCGACAACTTTTGAGTGTTGAAGAAACAGCTGCAATTTGTGTAGCTATATAATTTGTGCAGGTCCTTTTTGCTTAAAAATAACCTTCTATCGGTATATTTTGTGCTTAACATTTTTGTCAATATTTTACCTAGAAGTCTCAGAAAATTTTCAACAACTGCAGTTGTGCTTTGTTGCAAACAAAAAATGAATGATCAAATAAGTCGGATTACAATAATGGCAATACACAATTTTAATAGCCCAGAAAAAGGCATTTTCATGGTAAGAATATTTTGATGGTAATATCAGTTTCAAATACATGGATTTTCCTGACACATTTTAGTTCTTATGTTTAGATATTGGCTGGTATATACCCCATTGCACAAGTGCGTGAGCCATACTCGCCTGTAGGTTTCCTGGCAGAGAGAATAGATGTTGTGAAACAACTCTGCCTAAAACATCCACACTACGAAGGGAATAAAGCTCAGTCCCAGATAGAATGGAGTGCATATGATATATGTCAAGGTGAGTGAGAAGAGGAATGTGTGAATTACTCTCTCATTACTGAATGTAGATAAGTACAGCTGGTAAAGCATCAATGTAAATAGTGAAATAGTGAAGGATGATTATAGTAAAGAATCATCAAGGTCATCCATAGCTTGCTATTGCTTTAGTATAATCTGCTCAATTTGTGGCAAAAAAATATCAACACACACGTTTTATTTTTTTAATTTCTAGCCTGGGCTGAGAAACGAGGATTTATTACCGCCAAGTCAGGCAGACCTGATCTTTACAGAGCAGCCAATAATTTGCTGAGGATGGGTCTGGATGGTCGTCTTTGCCTGTGTCTGAGACCCCTTGGGTATGCTGAAAATAAAGGTATGTACCTCAGGTTTATATAATACACTGACAGTAAAGATATATACTTTAGATATCCAAGGAACACAAATAATAATGGTGTGAACCTAAAATACAGAATGTGCAGTGCGACACAGTGCCACTAATTATACCTGTCAGGATTAAGATGTTAGGATTTAATACTACAAATTATGAATCAGGAAATGTGTGCTTAATATGTTTGAAGAAGATATTCCAAGATGTTTTAGAAGATTTCAAAGTTGTGTCATTGTTTTTTATTTTTCAGGGCAGTGGGATCAGCATCCAGAAACACTAAAGCTGATCAGTGACCTGGAGTTTTACAGAGTCAATGATGATGTGTCTGATGGAGAGGATGAGTCTAGCGATGATGAATTGGGGCATCTAGTTCTAGAACAGGACTCCGATGATGATGATGAAGGAGGAAGTGAGGAAGAAGAAGAGGAAAATAAAGATGAATCTAAATATGTGTCCAATAATCCTTTTGCACTCTTAGACAGTGATGATGACTGAAGTTCTTCACAGTTCTTACAGGTCTTATATTGTCACTGACTAAATATTTTGGTAGCAAATTAAACTAGCCCTGAGGGTCAGTGTATACTACCTGCAGTGAGATAATGATCATGAAACAGTCTTAGATTTCATTCAAAATCTAACTTATCCATAAAATATAAATTCATGGAAATCAGGTAAACGTTTTGCAATGCTGTAGATGGAAAAAAAATGTAAGTGATAAAAATTGAATGATTTCGATAGGATTTAAAAAGAAAAAAAAAAAAAAACACCCTCTAAATTTTTACAAAGAAACACCATACAGTTGAATTTATAGCTGGCTGTCTGTTTTTGCGGATTGGTCACCTAAGACAAAGTTTCAAGTGACCATTTGCTTTTGCATTTCCCTCATAGGGCGTTGTACATCATCAGTTATAGGTCGATAACAATCATAATTTTTTAATTCTTCTGAAAGACCCCTAAATTTTGTGCAGAAACCTTTACAGGTTAAAGGTGAACCAAAATGATGAATTCTAATGATAGCATTTGACTTACATTAAAAACATTGTCTGAGCCTTGTCTTCTGTATAACTAATCATAGAAATTTAATACTTGGGATAAAGGTTAACAATGGTGAGCCTTTGTATAGGTAGGGGACTGTGATTAGTTGAATGACCTATTTTATAATATATCCGTAGATCTGGTTTAGCTTTAAGTATGAACTTTATTTTCAAGACTATGACACCTTTGCAGAATTGAATAAAAATTAAATATACTTTATGCACTATGCAAAATATTCACAATTTTGTACATTGCTTTATGCATTTAACTTAGCTGCAGGTGTGTTATGTACAGAGATTATGTGTCATGCCTATTGCATGGGAAGGTGGGTGAAGGAAGTTTTAAGTTTTATACTACAATCTAAATGTTTATGTAATTTTACAGTTAGTAATATCAATCCAGCAATTGGAGTGAAATTCATCAGTTTGGTATTATGAATGTGCCTTGAAATGAATGATGTTTGATCCAATTTTGTTTCAATAAGATCGACCATCACCACAACTTCATATGAAAGAGAGACTGAAATATTGCCAATAGTATACAATGTAAGATTTTAGCTTTATAAGCTGTACAGATTTCAAGAATGTCCCATTAGCAGAATTTGTTACATGTAACATGTTATTTAAGTAAATGTGAATGTTGAATTTCCTGTTTAAAATATTGAAATAAATAATGGTTTGATCAACATAACCTATAATATGTAGTATTACATACTTGTGTTTCAGTTGGACTCTTAATCTTTGCATAAATCATGTTTATTATTGAAATAAATCTTATGATATAGATAATACTAGTTGTTTTTGTTATTTATTATTGAAATAAATCTTATGATATAGATAATACTAGTTGTTTTTGTTATTTATTATTGAAATAAATCTTATGATATAGATAATACTAGTTGTTTTTGTTATTCATAACATAACCAAAGGGCCATGTGAGCTTATGGCATACAAATCGCTATTAGTCATAAACATAAACTATCAGGATTTTAACCAAATTTGGTCAGAAACATCCCAAGGGGAAGAGGGAACAAATTTGTAAAATGATGGGTTCTTGGTCCCCATGGGCCGGAGGGGCAGGGCCCAAAAGGGGAAATTATGAAATCCTTTTTTTCCCTATAGGAATGATTGGATTGTGTCCAAATTTAGTCAGATGCATTGTTGGATGAAGGAAAATCAATTTGTATGAATAGTGGGTCTCGAGGTCCCCTAAGGCAATAGGGCTCTGTAAGGGATATTAGAGCAAATTATTTAAAATTCTCCCCCTCCTGTGAGAATGATTTGATCTTGCCTAAATTTAGTATGAAGCATTGTTGAGTGAAGGGAAATCAATTTTGTATTAACAGTAGGTCATGGCCTCCCGGAGCAGTAGGGCTGAGTCCAATGGTGGTAGCAGAGCAAATGTTAAAATCAACTATTTATTCTTGCTCTAATAAGGCCATTGCTTTTTATTTGAAGTCATCTGTCAACTGATCATGTACATATCTTTTTGTGTGTCTTTGAACTTTAAAAAAATTGAGTCAATATTTAACTGAAACTGCAGAAATTTCTACAGCTTCTTGTCACAAACCATCATTTCCATGTGCACTTATACACCCTTCCGAAACTTTGTTCAAAATTTGCTTTTAAAATATTGTGTGAAATGCAATTTGTGGGAGCTGGTTAAACTGATATCAAACCCTTTTAATGATTTCCATTATATTAAGAATTAAGATAAGAATCTCTTTGACACCGACACCCCCACTTCAATTAACGTGGTATATATAATTATAGTTTTTTTTCCAAGAGGCCTAATTTATGGTACATACTTATGTAACAGATACTAGTGAAAGGTCTTTTTAGTACCTTTACTTAACTAATATTAATGTATTTATATGTTTTGTAATTATCGTTTATTCTATTTTTTCTCGTCGAGATATTCGTTTTTTCTGTGAAAATTGTTCAAAATTGCTTTAGAAATTCCGGATTTTAGATCCGTATACGGTTTCTGTACTGTAAAAACAAATATGGCAGCCTCCATGATGTTATGCGTGAGTGTAATGTTTACGAAAGTATATGGTCATTGCTGAGCTTTGATTATTGTTTATAATCACTTATGATTTTGTGGAAAACTATCTGTCTTTGATCGTTACAAATTATGACCCAATACGTTGTACCAAAGGTGCACACTTGTACCAGATGATGCACGGACCAGTTTAGCAGCTGTTCTTTGCACCCGCTGATCCCTTCAATATGGAATTCAATAATGTTGATATTGGAGTACCGTAACAAGGATCCGGTAGTATACCACGTGCCTACTCCAAAGATGTTGAGTAGTTCAACACGGCGAGAAACGTTCGACATGCGCCGTATGTCGGATCTCTCTCCTTCAGATACGTATAGGAGTAACCACTTGCCCTGCACGGTGTCTCACCTTGTTATGTTAATCTTTCGGCTTTATATTTTGTGTACTACTATTCAAAGTTTCATGTGTTACGGTATATCAAAGTAGTAATATTGTCTGTAAAGAGAGAATATGTTTGAGTTTCAATTCTTCCTCTCAGTGCCATGGATATTTCCAACCTGTTGAAACAGCTTGAATTTCCCCAGCCCCACATCTGTTGTAAATACATCTGTATACCATATTTTACATGATAATCTGATGTTTATGCAACTTTGGCATTATTTACAAATATATGACAGGGCACTTAGCAGTAATGATGTTTCAAGATTATTGTTTGGGTTGTTTTATTGTTTCATTCAGTTATCTTAATATTAATTCATATTTCAGGAAGAACATTAATTACTCTCCAGAAATAGAAATCATGGACACTGAAGATAAATTACAGAAACAAATTCTAAAGCGATTGGAACAAATAAGTAAGTATTTGAAATGGGATCAGGTAAAATATGTGAAATTTTTATTCATGTACTTCTTGAAAAAGGATGGTTTAGCACTTTATAGTGGAAAGAAGTATATTGTGAAAGGAGAGAATACAGGTTACCCTAGAGCTACTAATCTCTAGTAGAGAGGGAGACTTTCCCTTTTGTCAAATGGTAGAATATCCACCTTGAGAGTGACAGGTCATTAGTTGAAGCCTTCCGGTGCAGAACATGTTTGTCATTACTAATTTCTTTTACATTACTTGTTCCATTCATGTTGGATTAGCTGTCGCTATTTCAAAACCAGACTTATGTAGTTACATCAACATTAATAACCACCACTTGTTCAAAGTATCTGAAAGCGATCAGCATACATACAAAAATCAAAGTGTTTGATAATTTTATAATAGACTAAATATATCATTGAGTATTTTGAATTCACCACAGATTATACGTGTTACATGACGATAGTTACTATCATTTTGATAAAACATCTGAGCATCTGGTCATGGATCAGTTTTTCTCCGGAACTCTTGCTTCCTGCCACCACTCAAACCCCAGGCTGTTAATCAACAGTAAACCATACTAAACTAAGAAAACATTAAGAAGATTATTTACTTGAATAACATCAAGTGAGTGATTGAAGCAGTATCAATCGAAACCTTGAAGCTAGTCCAAATTATTCTGACTGTCCCTCCATGGTCTCGTTTTTTATTATTTTGTTTTACACAAAAGACAAAATATGAAATTTACAGATAGATTGTCAGTACACTTCAAACTAACTGCAAGTTGACAATGTTGATATTTTGAGAATGTTATCCATTTTATATTTTTATCTTACACAGATGAACAATTCCTCGACAATGATGATTACGAAAGACGTGTGAAAAAGGCAAGATTTGGAAAAAGGAAATCAGAATCCAGTCAGTGTGACACAGATGATACAGGGACACATAAAACACAAAGCAGAAGACAGAAGAAGAAACAACGGAAATGTGAACAGAAGAAAAGTTTGGACAGTATGACTGTAGAAATCAGTCAACCACATACTGTAAAAGGAGAAAAGAGACATCTCCAGGACTTAAAGAAATCTCTGGGTTTGACAGGGAGTGACGTTAAATCAAAAGTTTGTGATCAAGAAATAGAGCAGATTTCCAAAAAACCAAAACATCAGGGTCCTGAGGTAGTTGTATTTCACAAGCCTGGAAAAAAGAAACAAATGGAAGAGGTAAAAAAGTTTTCATTGTGATTTATTTGAAGTTTAATTTTAAAGTAAAATTAAACTAGACCTGTAATCCAATGACTGACTAATAACCCCAGTTTTATAGTACACCTTATGTGTCGTAAAAATAAAACTGATATATTAATTAGTTTACAAGAACTTGTTTGCATGCACATCTACACTTGGTCCCCAACATTCCTGTGTAGTTACATTGAAATTGATCCAGTAGTTTAGGAGGAGTTATCCAGACAAATATTTTCTACAGACAGACAAGCTGATCTCTTTTTTTTTTTTATCTATATTTTTTTTAGAGGTGGGAGGGGAGAGGCGACTGTGATAAAGATACAAACATTGTACAGATATTTACAGCACTTTTCCGTAGACAGTATCAAACTATGCAATATTAATATAAGTTTATTGAAATGTTTTTAAATTCTGATATTATTTTCAAGTTACTTAATTACTTAAGTACTTAACTTGCAGAATATTTGTTTTAATTTGTTCTTTTAACAAGATCCTCTTTCATGGATTTTATATTGTTGAACTGAATAAGATGATATTTTGTGTTTGTTTTTATTGTTGTGAAAGAGAGCACAGGAGTCCAGTTCTGAAAAAAGCAACAATGTAGCTGAGGATCAACCAGAGTTTGATATGAAGAAAGCGAGATTTGAAGTTCAGAAAGTCGGCATTAAAGGGTTCAGTGGCAATGAGAAAGATGAAGCAATGACGTCATTTCTGGTCAAGTTGGGAGCCAAGGTAACTTGCACATAAGAATGGAATGTTTGGAATTTGTACAATGTAAAAGACTTAACTTATAGAATTTAAAATTGCACAATTGGTACTAGTTATTCCATTGATATTAACTAATAATTACATGTATGTACTGGAGCTATGATACCTGAAAACAATAAATATCTACATGTATTACCTGGTACATGGACAATGTATATGTGAAAACCAAATTATCTAAAAACTACAGGCTTTTGTATCAAACACTTCTAATTTATACTTATCCCAAGGTTGTACTTAGTAATAAGGGTACTAGATATATATAAGCTTTGCTGTGGACTCATCATCGGTAAATTGTTCTCCATGGCAACATGTTTAGGCTGGCTTGTGTTCTGCTGTGTATATATCTCAATGTATTGTTGAATAAATATTTTTCTGTTGTCCTCAGCTTCCCAAAAACAAATGCTATAAATACAAAGAATTCCTAGAGATGAGGAAACAAGAAAAGGAGTCGGTTAAACAGAAGAAAATTGTGGTAAGGGCGATTTCATGAAGCTGCTAACTATCACAAACTTGTGTTTTGTAGTAAACAAATCTATATTTTCATAGAACTTTTTAAAATAGATATTGTAGATGTACTGATCATATTGAATCCATTTTTCATGTTTAAAAGTATGACAGTAACTCTGGAGGTATTTCATTTGTAATTATTTTATAGTAGATGTTATGGTGATAGAATAGAAGTAGATGTTAACTTCATTTTCAAATGAATTACTTTCCTTATGTAACAGGACCGAGGACTTGGGTACAAGGTGACGAGCTCTAAAAATACAAAGAAGAAGTAAGTTATTGTTTGGTTGTGTGTTTACCTATATTTACCAGCTTTAGCACATCCAGGAAATTCTGAAACTGCTATCATAATTACTTTTATGTAGAAGTTGGTGTCATAAGTTAAAATGACTGGATCTTAACATAAAGGACATTTTTTCGAGGTCGGTCAATTAATGAAAAGAATGTTGGCTCTCAATGTATTTGTCATCTTACTACCGATGAAGGGAAGGTGTGAACGACACACTATAGTATTGAACAAAGTATTGATACTATTGTATTGAAGTATTCAAATAATCGAGTCAAGTTTTCCAACGACCTCTGTGATTGGTCGGGGGCGGAGTTTAGACAACCTGAATAGTTGATCTGACACCCAATTTGTTCCGGTAGGCGGAGTTATTGTACACTATCAGTTACATAACAATTACAAAGTAATCGCTGGAAAAATGTCCGACGACGGCAACAGTACGCAAAATTTTCTTCGACGAAATTATGTCCGATACGAACGATATGGGGAATCCTGTTTTTGTACAAGGCGATGTGGTTGTGATGGATAATTGTGGATTCCATCACCATAGACAGGGAGAGCGCATTTTAAGAAATATGACGAAAGAATATGGCGTGTCCCTGGTTTTTCAGCCGCCTTATTCCCCGGAATACAACGTAACTGAATATGTATTCAATGTCATGAGACAGAGGCTTCGGGCAAATACCCGACTTGTGTCAGAATTTCTGGAACTTGCAGTAGTAAATGCTCTAGATATTCCGCCCAAGCAACTTCAAAGTTTTTTCACATGTTGCGGATATGTATAATTTTCGATGGAAAGATAAAAAATAAAATAAAAAATATATGGGACCACAGAATTCCTTTACTTTTTAATGCAGTATGAATTATCGGTATATATCAGGAGGTCCCAGGTAAATCGTAATTCTTTGTTACATTAATAGAGCTTGGGCTTAAACCGAAATATTTTGAGCCAACCCTCCCCCCCCCCCCCCCCCTTTCAAAAAAATAAATAAATAAATAAAACTAGTACAGAATGACTATATGACTATATTCACTGTTAAGATGTTATGAATTCTCCGGTCCCAGTGATCTAACCTGTTGATATATATTTTGTACGTAAATTAGTTTAGTACGGAGTAACTTTCGTTTTCTCGTTGTACCGTCGATGGAAAAGCAAGGTATCATTGGGTGTAGAACGAAAAAAATGGGACAACCCAATTAGGTCTGATCTGAAGCCACCTGTGACTTGGACTCTTCCAATTAACCTCTCGCGACAGTCGAGTGTTTGTGAAATGCCGATGTCTGCACAGTATTTTTTCACCTGGCTCCACCCACAATCGATCTAGACTTGGCTCTGCCAATCAGAGAGCTTGTTGCATAAATTTAAGGAATTTGATTGGTGAAGTACTTCAGTACAATACTATCAATACTTTGTTCAGTACCTCAGTACTTGAAACGTTCACACCTTCCCTTCATCGGTAGTAACAGGCGATGAATGTAAATATTGTTAATTTTCTAAGTAAAGTCACTTAGATTGAGGTTGTTTTGAGATCAGATGCGAAAAAGGTGCCATGGGTCATTACTCTTTTTAACCAAGAACAATCAGGTTTTAAGTGGATTTCTGCAATGCAGATAAACACATGTACCTTCTAAACTAGTAAAATAATGGTGATGGTTCTTTTTCACGCCTGGGAAGAAAAGTCACAGAAGTGAGACTCATATTACTTTTCCTACAGTAACAACATCGCCATTAACATTTCATTTAAAAGGAAATAAAGAGGGTAGTAGAGCCAACACCGGGTATAATTCGGTAGGTGGTTGGTTGGATTCCTTACCCTCTTCGTCTGGATACCCGGAAGTATGCAGGGTGATTGAAGGAAGAATGTACGCCCTTCATCTTCATTTAAAAGGTTTACATTTAGATCTGTTGCTCAAAAACTTTAACCAGACTTGGTATTTAGCAAGATCAGATAATAGACACCTCGACACATCCATTACATATAAAAATACCTCCTGGATTTTATGGTCCAGCAGCTTTTATGCTCACTTTTTTTTAAGATACAAGTGTTATTCCAATCAGGAATATACTTTGGGTTAAAAATGTCATATCTGAATGATTTTTTGAGAATAGGAGAATTTACATGATTTTCATTTCATGTTTTATAATGCATCAATATTCAAATATGATAACATGAATATGACCATTAAATATTATCAATTAAAATTAACTTGGGGAAATTTGGTATTGGAGAAGGGAAGTCACAACTATAAATGTGTTATATATTTTGTATAAAAGTACCATACCAACTTGGCGGGATAAGCGAGTAATAATTACAGATGTTCCTTGTTTTATATTTGTCACTGTTTAAAAACAAAAAGGATGCCCCAAGCCCTTTTTTCAAAATGTATATTTCACTTCCATGAGTGACAAAATGAAGAAGGTATGATGGAGGCATTCACTTGTTAGTCTTATACCGAAGGCAACACATGTGTTTGGAATGTTTGATATTTGAAGAAAGGAACTCAGGATGCTGTGTTTTAATTTATCTAGGTTGAAATATCTAAATCATGTTATTTTTACCCTTGTTTTGGTTGATAGAGAATGAAACAATGGTTATGTTTTTATGTTGTCTAGGTCGAAAGACAGAAATGATGTTGGTGTGTTGGATGGACAAGTAGGTCATTACAAGGATGGCATACAATTTATCAAGAAAAAAGACCTGAAGGGATTCAACAGAAAAAATAAACGATGAAGGAGATAATCTGACTTTATTGTATTTTTCTAATTTAAGCAATTTTCATTAATAGATATCTTTTAATAAACATGATGAATGGTTTCAAATAAAAAACAATATGACCGAGGGCTCACATATATATCCCAACATACCATCAGTTTTTTCTTCTGATCTAAATGTTTTGAGGGGTTAATCTTTTAAAGGGTTCATGAGATATCTTTTACAAAAGCTGTTTATTTCAAAAATGGTCAAGAGTGACCTTTGACCTTGAATGAAATTGACAGAGATTTCAAAAATCATCTTCTCAACCACCTGATGTGGTAGAATAAAATGATCTGTTTGAATGGAATCATGAAAGGTAATTTATTTATCAAAATGGGTCTCATATTTTTTTCTGGGGAGGAAGTGTTCTTAACATTTACTATAATATTACATTACATATTACATTGGTTATTTCCCACTGGAAGTAACTTTTTAAGAATTATTTGCACAGGATGACAGTTTTGGTGGTATGCATGTATTGACACCAGCTTACTTCATTCAGTGTCACAATTTCTGTTTCATGATACTTGATAACTACCCTTTGACCTTTATATTCAGTATTGCTTGTCTCAATAGTGACTGTCAAGGCTGCTAGGCCTCTTGTTTTTAAAAGTGGTCAAGGGTGATATTTGACCTTTAACCTTGACTGGACTGATGACCATTAAGATCTTATAAGGTGTAGACCTTGGTGGGGTAAAGCACTGGTGTGGATATGAAGTAAAAGGTGGCTAAGGATGACCATACACTTTAACCTGAGCCTAGTAGTAAAATCTCATCAGGTGTAGACCTTGGTTAGGTAAAGCTATGGCATAAGTAGGATCTAAATCTGACCATGAGTTCATGAGATATTTTGTACACTACACAAGTTTATAATGGGGCACAGACAAAGTGATCAATATACCAATATATTATTTCACCAGTTTCCAGTCGTTTCCTTGCTAACAGTATTCCTAATAATGCTGCCCTTTATCTTTTGTGTACCATACTTCATCTCTTGCTTTATCCTTCACCAATGGCATCAAATCATTGTTTATAGTGCAAGTCGCCTCTGGCTCCTCCACATTTCGGTGGACAGATGTCTGGTGTGTTGCCTCCATACCAAATATCTACTTGTCAGTGTGTCTTAAGGTTGGTGTAGGAGTTGGAGGAAACACGTGCATCATGCTACCCAGGTATTGATGATATAATCTGGGCTTCTTCCCAATAAGATGATTTTCGTGCAAGATGACCGACATACTCAAAACACACTGGGTTCCACGAGACCCAGGTTGTTAGGAATTATAGGGAAGTTTAAAGGTTGTCATAGCGATTTCATTGAAAAAAAAATCATTTCTTTGTGCAATATGAAGCTAACGTGCTTATTGCTCCTTAGTTTGCCTGTTCGTTCTGCTGTTACGTACATTTGAAAACGTGTCGTCAAGGAAGCAGAAGATGCTTACTCATCTGGAACACCCTGTCTTCATCTTATTCATTTCTTATGAGTATCCTTACAAATCTTTCTTTTGTTCATAATTTGCCTTAGTTATATTGAATTTGAGTTTGGATTATGGTAGTTCACATGTTGGTATTTTGATGTTTTTCTGTTCCATTTGCTTTGATTTTCTCAACTTTCACTTCTACCCTAGCTAATAGCAGCCCGTCTTTTTTTCTTTTTCTTTTTCCATTTTTTTCTGTTTCAAATTGTCCCACTTTGTATGTCTGAATATTGACTGTTCTACAATAAAACCTCATTAAATAAAGCTCTTTAGAACTGTCTTGGAACATTATTCCAAGTGTTAGTTTCTTATTAGCTTTGGTAAGAAATCAAAGCCAATCCATGCACATAATTCATATTTGTGCTTTGGAAGGAAGATGATTGATGGGTTCTACAAATGGATGCTATATGTTATATTAAACACTTTTTGTGGTTAATGAATCCATTGAACATCGAAGGACTGAAAGTTACCAGCAGAGCTTACATCCAAATATTCGAATAGCATGTATAAAATGCATTCAATTTCTCCGTATAAGAGTGAAGCTGAATATCAGAACTAAATTGTATCTAAACTGCCATCGCCTTGTTTGAAAATATACTGAAATGTTTGTCTGAAAAAGAATGAAAATCATATGTTATGGGTACATATAAAGGAAATCACTCCGGAATTTAATATTTTCCTTTTTTTCTTTTTTTTAATTGTGTTATATATGTGGTGGGTAATATCCTAGAAATCGATTTTTTTATCTGATATTGTTGAGATTTTCACACCTCTAGGGGGGTATTTGCTCCAAGACTTCCATCACAGATTCCATTTTTTTTTTTGTATGCGAATTGCAAAATAAGTTATATATTTAAGTTATTTAAATTGAGATTAAATCCTTTAGTATGCTCCATTAATCGATATGAAATACTCAACACCAACCAACATCGGTGCTTAATACCAAAAACATTTTTAAAAATCGCCCCAACCCGCTGTGTCTACATCAGGAAAGTGTAGACACGCGGTATATTTCCTTGTTACAGTATAACTTCCAGGTACATGTGAATTTATGATAACACAACCCAATATGAATAAGTAAAGAGAAAAGACTTTTTATTTGATAACAAATATATACATGTATGTAGCATTAAATATTTAATTGATAAAGGAAATCAACAGCAACACTTGTAGCGATAAACAGCAACACTTATAACAATAAACCTCAACACTTATAACGATAAACAGGGGGTTTAAGAAACAGCAACAAAATTGTAACTTTATCAACAATAAATGAAAACACGCAAGTTATTAACAAATAAAAATGATTTATAGGATGTTTTATTTAAATGAATTACTTCCCTTTAAGCGTGTATAATGTCACTATCTTTAGAGTCCAAAATAATGACTATTTTTAGAAGGTTATCATTATTTATAGTACTACCTTTTTAACTGTACAAAACATTCAGCAAATTTTTACATGGAAAATTGATATTTTTACAATGTAATTTTAACAGTATATATCTCGAAAATTTGATAAGTGTAACTGTATATGAATATACATATATATATGTATATGAATGATCATAGAAAGCAATAAAATACCATCAAGTGTTAGATATATAAAGTGTATTTCTCTACACTTTTCTTCAGAATTGTTTGTTATTAATCGGAAAAGATATATAACCAAAATAAAGACAAACAGGTCAATAGCACCTTTTGACACAAATTTAGATTTAGCTACAGCAGAGCCAAATAATGAATTAAAATTCATTATAAAGCTGTTTCATCCTTCTATGACTCGTCAGTGATGCTACATCATAAAGCTGTTTCATCCTTCTATGACTCGTCAGTGATGCTACATCATAAAGTTGTTTCATCCTTCAATGACTCGTCAGTGATGCTACATCATAAAGCTGTTTCATCCTTCTATGACTCGTCAGTGATGCTACATCATAAAGTTGTTTCATCCTTCTATGACTCGTCAGTGATGCTAAGAACCTAAATTTTCAGGCCAGGAGACGACTGAGGAAAATCGAAAAAGTGAGTCTAAACCTAAATAAGGAGATGCACTAGACCAATAGTTCAATAAATTTTGTAATTTTCATATATCTCACAATTCATGCAGTACTTGTGTGTAACGAAGAACAAAGAAAGAGGAAAAGAAACCATAATATAGTAAGGTTAATATATTTATACAGACGCAGTGTACCAACATAAATGTAAATGATTTGCAAAACAATTGAACCAGGTGGTTAGAACAGCATATTGATAATTAAATACAATATGCAATGAACAGACATGAAATACATGTAATCTTAAATGCGATGAGTAAAAAATGTTTTATTCTACATGGTGCCAAAAATAAATAGAATTTAATAGATACGTACAAAAACATGTAGTGAATGCAAAAGGTAAATACAGGTGACATATTCTTTAACTTAATAGGGAAGGTTAAATATGGTGAAAACATATTAGTTTGAGTAGAACGTTATATGAATATAGGATTGAAGACTGAATCACAAAGCATATAAGTAATGTTGACATATAGTCATAACTATCACTGTTCTATATATAGAGATATAATATTTACATATTTATCACAGGAGTTATATGTAACATCACACTCATATTTTGTACAATGCTGTATAGATACAGAATACTGCAACAGGTAGGACGGGATGGCACGTCTAATCACACGGAGACGATAGCCTTGATTGAACATGAAAATAAGTATATAGAAAGATTTACCGACTTGGAGCAGGCTTTTAGGGTTTCTCCATTTCCCTTTTCCTACGCTTAAACTGCTTTTGTAACGTTAACGTAATACGAAGTGAAACAGACGAAGAACTTTCCATAAGATGGAATTGTGAAGTGTAAAACTAAGTTTTTCCACATTTAAAATTTTCAACTTTTACCATTGGATTTCCTCAAAGAGTTAATAGCATGGAAACTACAAAAATAAACACATGAATTACGTTTTATAAAGTCTTACAGTCCAAAATTTGAATGATCAATTATTAATTCCATTCATAGTATCAAAGTTTTAACAATAATTTTCAATTCGCAAAATGGTTGTTACAGATTATTGAGCTTTGATAATTTGGCATTCATAGTCAATATAAATTCCAAACGGGAACTAACACAAATTCAGTATATGTAAATATAGCTATGAAAGCCAACCGAAACAGATCAATGAACATTCAAATAAACATAACCTGTTTTAGAAAGTGAACATCACATAACTTTGTACACGTAAAAAGAATGTCATTACATGCGGTAAGTCTATGGACCTTGATTTGCAAATAAATCGACAAAAATAATATTTGTAAGAATACATGTGTAAATCTACAGATAAAAACTCAGGTTGTTATGTTATGATGTCCAACAATATGTCTTGGAGTAAACTTTTTTTTTTTTGCAACATTTTGTTTTCATTGTATCGTCAAGCTACTTAATAATACACACTTCCTCTGGACTAATGATAACTATATAGCGAGTTTTTAAGATACACATGCCGATTCTATATAC